AGTTGCAGTTTTTTTGGATCTTTTATTTGATCTTTTGTCGTTTTCGATGTTTTTTTTGTTGTTGTTATTTTTAATAAACTTTCTCGCTCAGTCTCACCGTGTGTGGTGATGTGGGAGATACAGCGCTGGATGGCGGCTGGGACTGTCCCCCTTGAGCTCAGGTCCATCTGTGGGTACAGAGAGCTGTGATTGGCTGTTGCAGGGGGACGCTGTGGAGCTGTTTTCTGATTGGTCAGGGCTTTCTGCAGGTGGTCGAACCAGGACTGACAGCTGTGCTGCTCCTCAAAACGGACCGACACACTCCTGCTGACACAAACAACACTCTGATGTCACATGTACGAAGACTGAGCTCAGCCAATCAGAGGTCAGGAAATATTAGACCATTGAATTTATTCAGGTGTAGGTTTTTCTGATACCTGTCCGTGTTTCCCAGGGTGATGATGTTCTCAGGTTGGTTCATTTCTGTCAGAGAATAAACATGGAAATTATGAGCCTCTATAATGTAGAGGTAACGTAGGTAAAGGTAATGTTGTCTGATGAAGCATCAGGATGGAGAGATAAATAATATCATGATTCTGTCCTTGAGTATTGATATCCGTTTATCTATAAAGTAGTAAAGAGGTTCAGACCACCTGTATAGACACCTGTATAGACTGAGGTATCGTCTGCATAAAGAGAAACACGACAGACCATGACAGAGATTGACAGGTCTAACACCTCCCAGCAGGTGGAGCCACAGGTGAGTAATAATCTGCCTCAGGTGTCTCAGGTGTTCACTCTCTTCTCATGTCTCTCTCCTCAGACAGGTGAGGAGGAAAAGCATCAGTCAACCAAACTTTACCAACTCCATTGATTTCTAAACGGATTACGTCCATCAGACGGTGTAAAGGAGAGGCTGCGTTACCGTGGCGACTGAGCGTGCTCAGTTCCATTCCCACAGGCTGCTGAGTGTTCCTGTTGACCGGGTGGACGCTGACGCCGTCCTCCCACAGTAACAACCAGGCTTCACTTGAAGCTCCTCCCACTCCAACAAGAGACACTTTACTGGCAGCGGAAGCCCCTCCCACCTCTGCATATGACACGCCCCCTGGGAGTATCACCTGACGATTCAAAAACATGTGAGACGGAAATATTGAACTCAGGTTAGAGATGTCTGATAAGTCAGGCTTTGGTTAACCAGGTAACTTAAACTCAGGTTTGTTTTTTCATGACATGATTGAAGTTCTTTCCCCGTAGACGTGTACCTTCAGGATGTGGACCAGGTGACTCTGCAGTGCATCCTGGTCATCAGCTTCACAGATCAGCTGATCATTTAGAGTCACCATCTCAAACTGATGACCGGCTCTGAAACAGACAGAGGCTGAAGGTTCGATGATCGGTGGATTTGGCAGCAGGAGTACAGAAATAATTATGTCATCTATGGTGTTTGTTATTATAAGGAGTATAAGCACTACAGTGTTGGCAGGAGTATGGTAGTATGGTTAATTATTGATCATTAGTATTGGTAATATAATTAGTATGTGTGTTTTAATTGGCGGTGATTACCCGTGTTTGACGAACACAGAGAGGACCTCTCTCAGGTCGAGGACGTCACAGGCTGCAGACGTATTTTCTAGCGAGAACAGAAACCGATCGTCCTCCAGTTTGCCATGAAGCTCCTCCCCCTCCTCTTCCACCTCCTCACCTGCACACACACACACACACACACACACACACACACACACACAAATGTATTTTATGGTATTAAAAGATTTTAACACCCTTATCAACTCACACTGGTGACAAACCCTACCTGAGAGGGCGGAGTCTGGCCTCCTATTGGCCGGTGGGACGTCTGTATGAAAACGGAACAACACAGCTGTTTCAGATTTAATCAAGGAGCGATAATGAATTTATGTGAGTGAGGACACGCCCCCTAATGATGTCATAGAGTATCACAGCACACCTGCCCTCACCTGTTTTCACCTGTTTTCACCTGTTTTCACCTGTACCTCAGTGCAGGAAGGCGGGACAACATCAAGATTTATACACATCTGTCACCTGTGTCACCTGTGGGTGTGTGTGTTACCTGTGTACTCATTGAGGCGGAGCAGCTCGGTCTGCAGCGCCTGGTTGGCTCTCTCTGCCAGATGGACGGGGGAGGGGTTTTGTGGATCTGTCTGACGCACCTGTAAACAGGTAACAGTTAGACTGCCTGAGAGTGACCTGAGGTCACAGGTCGACATCACTGATGACCTCAGCTCTGTAATCGTCCACAGGTGAGCTCGTCATGTGACTGACTCTCAGGTAAAAACAGAAACGTCCGTGTGTGTCATGATGATAAACAGTCAAAATGAATCATCTCTGTGTAATGTGGACCAACAAATACAAAAACACACTCAACAACATGTCCTTCTGTGTGTGCATGTACGTGTGCACGTGTGTGTGTGTTAATGATTGTTGATCTCTGTGAAGTCAGACCTTTGCTCCTGAGCAGATCAGAGACATGGTTTCCTCCACATCGTCTCCACACACCACCTGACGCAGCCTCTGCAACACACACACACACACACACACACACACACACACACACACACACACACACACACACAATATTCTTATTTTAGCCTCTGTCTGAAATGCTTCCTTTTATACTTTCTTCTGATTGGCCATCTCTCTGGAGGTTGGCTGAGGTCAGAGCTCAATGTTTTGGCCCCGCCCCTTGTTTGTGATTGAGCAGCGTATCCCCCCTCAGGTGTGTTGAAGCTCAGATGAACCAATCAGGAGAGCCTACTGCGATGATGTCATTAGTTTGTGAGTCTGTTTTCTACGGTTATTTTCACAAACGTTTACCTTTGATTTCAACATCCAGTACAGACACTAAACTCTGTCACTTTGATTTCTGATGGAAATATGGAAAAGCATACCCCCCCCCCTTAAAGGGTCAAAGGTCACGAAGTAAAACCCGATTTGACGAGCACTGATAAGTAGTATTTGACAAGTATATTTACAAGTACGTTTAATTTCCTGTTTAATCTGTCTGATCGTCTCAGAGTCACCTGATCCATCAGGGCGTCCGAGGAGGCCAGAGCGTGTACTCTTCTGTAGCGCCCCCTGCTGTATTTATCCTGAATGAACTTTAACCTTTCCTCCTCCGATGAATCCGGACGCAGCTGCTCCACCGCTGGCACCGCCGGAGCCCAAATCTGATTGGCCAGCCTGTTACCATAGGCAACAAAAAGCTGGGAAACAAAAGGTCAAAGGTCATTACAGGTTACCTGAACAAAAGAATCAGACCCCCTCTCACCTGTATAAGTGGTTCAGACCCCCCCTCACCTGTATGAGTGGTTCAGACCCCCCTCACCTGTATGAGTGGTTCAGACCCCCTCACCTGTATGAGTGGTTCGGTCCACACCTTGTTGTCCATCTTCAGACTGCGTACCTTGGACAGGCTGCTGCCCAGAGCTCTGTGCAGACCTGAAGAACAGACGATCCAGGTGATCAACATCTTTGGTTTATGATTAAAAAAAAACATTTTGAACTTGATTCTCAAATCCGATTCTAACTGGATCTTTAACTTGACTGGTCAGGTGATTGGTCAGGTGACTGGTCAGGTGGTTTCACCCTCTCAGCTTAGATCTCAGTGGAACAGGTGATAGGAGGTGTAGACAGGTTTGACGCAGGTGTAAAAGAAGTTAAATATGTTCTTCATAATTCATTTCAAGTTTCATACCTGCACATGACTCACAGATGACCAGCAGCAGGTTAACCGACGCCCACTCAGGATTGGCTGAGCCGCAGTCACCGCAAACTTTGTTGTCGGGGTTTTCCCACAGACGCTGCGCCACCAGGCTGCAGGACAGAGCACTGCGTATCGATGCATTTAGACTCTCCAGCCAGCTCGACAGATCCTTCGACGAATCAACCGACAGGCTACAGGCGGGGGGTGGGGCCAGAGAGAGTCAGAGGGCGGGGTCAAGGAGGAAATAAGGGGGAAGGACAGACAGAAGCAACAATGTCAGGATTGAACACAGACAGACAGGTAACAGACGGGTAACAGACAGGTAACAGACAGGTAACAGACAGGTAACAGACAGGTAACAGACAGGTGCGTACTTGAAGGTCCTGTATGGCGTGATGAGGGTAAACGAGTGTTTTCCTGTCGATTTCACCGAGGCCACATTCAGGGGGACGGAGTACGATGCGATGCCCAGCTGGAAGCCCTCTTTGTTGGGGTAAATCCAAAGGTCGTGACCCCACACTGCAGCATAAACACGGCTTCGAGGGTCCTTCATGGTGAGTTGTCCATGTGTTTCTGGAGGGGCGGGGCTTGTTTGGCCACGAGTTGCCAGTAGAGATGTGACCCAGCCCTCATGAACCTCTGACAAAAACAACAAAAGGACACACCAGATCCTGCGCTCAGTTAAACCCCCACAGGATCATGGTTCATGATGGTCTCACAGGAACCAGACTCTGGCTGAGATCAGCAGAGTCCAGCAGCAGGTTCTCACCGTCATTATGAGCCATGAAGTCGTAATGTTTCTTCCTGAAGTAAACGGAGAATCGGCCTTTGTCCTGTTTCTTTACGTTGGTAATACTCGACACGTGGAACAGAAGCTCACTGAAACGGTCCTGTTAACAACACACACACACACACACACACGTATGTAGGTATTTCCGTGTTTTTTCTCCACTTCCTGAAACCAACATTGTTCAGTAGCGTTGTGCGCATTCGGCGGGAGAGTCGCCAAGAGTCTCTGTGATGACGCTCGGCTCAAACAGCGTATCCCCCGGTGATCTACTCAATCTCTGTCCTCCCATTGGCTGTATCAGGTGTCAATCATAGAAAACATGAACCCCCTAATAACTTTTAAAAATGGAGCTGTACAGAAAAAAGAGGACTTGAGCACAAACCAGTCTGACAGTAACTACATGTCAACATCACAACCAGGGGGGAGAAACATTTATATTCTGTGTCATTCATTTATAAAGTTTGTCCACAGCTCCATAAGGAGGCGGGGTTTATGACCTATACTGCAGCCCGTCACCAGAGGGCGCTGTTCTCAGAGAGGCAGACGGCGTCCATTCTAGATACAGTCTGTGGTGGACACACAGACACACATAAAGACAGACAGGAGGACGGACAGTGACTTACTGTTCGCTTTTTCCACAGAGACATGAGCTGACCGTCCAACGTTGCCCATAAAACACTGTGTCTGTGAAAAACAAAGAATACATCTGTTCATCCATCCATCCATCCATCCATCCATCCATCCATCTATCCATCCATCCATCCATCCATCCATCCATCCATCCATCCATCCATCCATCTGTTCATCCATCCATCCATCCATCCATCCATCCATCATCCATCCATCCATCATCCCTTCATTCATGTGTCCATGTTCTTTCATCCTCACACTCATTGATCCTTGATGTCATAAAGGTGCTGACATTGATACATTGATACATGTGTGTTTTCATTGATGATGACATCATTAAAACGATGATGGTGGTGATTGTGATGTAATAATGAGATTATGATGATGTCAGCAGTAGCCATGGTGACCATGGTGATACTGATACTGAGTTAGTTTACCTGAAGCCCTTCCAGACATCCAACCAGCTGGACCGGACCACCGCGCTCTGAGGGGTCGAACCTTTACTTCCTCCCTTCTTCCTGGACACTCTGATGGTGGCGGCTCTAAAAAACAGAAAGACTTCATCAGTTTCTTACTCAGAGGAAGACTTTTCTAAAAGTAAAGAGATAAACCTCTGGAAATTCTGTGACTTAGTGAGGAACACAGTCACAGTCATGAGGAGAAGACTTATTTCTAACCAAAGGTGTGTCGATGTGATTGGTCTGATACTGGGAACAGTCCTCATGGTTTTTAATGTGACTGGTCTGATACTGGGAACAGTCCTCATGGTTTTTAATGTGACTGGTCTGATACTGGGAACAGTCCTCATGGTTTTTAATGTGACTGGTCTGATACTGGGAACAGTCCTCATGGTATTTAATGTGTCTGGTCTGGTACTGGGAACAGTCCTCATGGCGCTCTCTTTGTTCTGGTTGAAGTCTGGACTTCGATCTTGAGTTGGAGTCGTGACTGAGCGAACAGAGGACGGTGTGTGTTTGTACGTTTACCTGGGGGTCTTCTGTTTGGAGGGCTTCACTGGTTTGTTGGGGGGCAGAGGAGGGGGCGGGGCCGGCCGGGTGGGGACCAGTCGACCTGAAGGACTCAGTGGGAGGCTGCCAAACAGGGACATAAAGAAGGGTTACCTGAACAGGTCCAAACTCGATAGCAGGAGTAACCGCAGTACTGATCACTTACTTGTTGGTATTTGTCGGCAGGTTGGCGGTAGGATCTCCTCCTGTTGGATCACCTACATCTGTGGAGGCGGGGCCACTTCCTTGATCTTCCTCCTCATTGGATGAGTCAGTGTCGACCTCCTCTTGGCTCGCCCAGGAAGCCAATATAGAGATGTACGGATCCTCTTCTCTGATTGGGTAAGGACTCTGTTTGACCCCTGATGGCAGAGAACACTGTTACTGAATATTTACCTCATGGACATGAACTCACCTGTGATATAATGACAGGTAGATCTACTGTAACCACTCCTCATCTTTGTCTGTTCTATAAGTGACTCATGTTTCATGATTCACGTCTGTTCACTGAGAGCAAAGTTTACCAGAGTCACAGTTTCTAATCTGTGTTCATATACTTGGTCAATAGAGCTGGTTCTGGTTCTGGTTCTGGTTCTGGTTCTGGTTCAGACAGGGTTCATCCTCATCAGCTCTCTCTAGTATCAGTAGATCTGTGTTCTTCCTGTGTGCTAAAACTTGGGTGTTTCTCCTCATGGTTTTGTTATTTAGGTGTATTTTCCCTGGTGTTCCAGTTCCCCTGTAGTCCAGTTTTGAGAGTTCTCCGTCTGACCCTGTTTCCCTCCTGTTCTCTGAGTTTTATTCTTTAGATCAGTTTTCAGAGTTTATTTCCTGTTTTATTTTGTAGGAGTTGATTCCTTGTGTTTCTAATTTTCCCTCCTTCGTTAATCACTCATCAGTCTCACCTGTGTCTTGTTTACCTGAGTGTGTATAAAATCCCTGTCTTCCCCTGTTTCTTTGCTGGTTCATGGTGTGTGTGTGTGTGTGTGTGTGTGTGTGTGTGTGTGTGTGTGTGTGTGTGTGTGTGTGTGTGTGTGTGTGTGTGTGTGTGTCTCCGCCCGCCCGCGAGTCACCCAGAAACTAGAAAACTGAACTATAACCAGACCATCGTTTCAGCTCAGACTCATTCATTCATTCATTAATTCATTCATTCATTCATTCTCTGAATCACTGGGTGTTCAGTGTATTGATTCTTTGATTGACAGATCACTGTACCTGTATTAGAGTCTCCATCAGAAGTGGGCGGGGCTGATGGCGTGGCCGGGGTCGTCACTGTGTTGACAATTCCTGATATACTGGGTATGTTAGCTAACGAGCTAACGATGCTATCTAACTTGGCAGTGCCTTTGTTGGCGGCAGGTGTGGCGTCAGAGGCGGAGTTTACTGAAGCAGCAGCTGGGCTCGCCACTGCGCTAACAGCTCCCGCTAAGCTAGGTATGTTTGCGGAGATGTCACTGGCGATGGCGTCTATGGACGGTGGGGCCGAGGGGATCTGGGAGGGAGATGAGTTTGGGGCGGAGCCACCGATAGAATTGGCAAGTCCAGCCAATGACGGGATGTTGGTGGCGATGATGTTTGTAATTCCAGCCAGAGTTGGAAAGACGACGCCATTGGTTGACCCACCAGGAGCTGAAGGAGGAGGAGGAGCATCATTACCTGGGGGGGGAGGAGCATAGTGACATCATTAGGAGACATAAAGAGACACACCTGTCAATCAAAAACACATGACTCAGCGTCCAGCTGCACTTCCTCTAACGTCCACCAGGTGATGATCAAACTCGAAACACAGTCAGCACAGACTTTCACAATAAGAGTCCTTGAAATTAACACTGGGGTTGTTCATTTCTGGGTAAATTTTCAAAATAAAAGCCAGGCTGAGAAATCCTAGGATGACTCTTCTAATAAGAGTCCTTCTCAACAGATCCACAAGGACTTTCACAATAAAACCCTACTCGTTAGTGAGGAGGCCTTTCACAGTAAGAGTCCTGTACACATAAAGTGGAATACGTCTTTATTCTGAATCCACAAACCAGACCTGGACCAGGTTTTAAAGTCAGAGCCTGTTTACCTGGAAGACTTCTAACAAAAGAACCAAACTACAATAAAAAAGGGTAAATTTCACAATAAGAGACCTCATAAATATAGACTTTCAAAGTAAGAGTAACTCTTCATCAGTGAAGGTCGATACAGTTTGAATAAAGAGGCTGAGAATAAACTGAAGAGTTGAGAAGTTTGATCAAACTCTTAGTTTAGTTTGGTCAGGATGAAGTGATGTGATCTCCTGAGGATGAACCACCTGATGGTAGAGGACCAACTGGTTTGAGTTAATCAGCACAAACATCCACAACAGACCGGTTTAACAGTTCAGGAACCTGCAGTTACACGTCAGCACAGACTATAAATACACCGACGCCCCGCTCTCAGCTTTTCATCAGCGTGACTCTCTGAATTCACCGAGTTCAGCTCAATTTTAGTCTGTGATGGTGTGAATGTGAATGAGTGAGGACCAACTGAAGTTCACCAAACAGACAGAGAGAGAGAGAGAGAGAGAGAGGTGCATCATAAAAACTCTTTTTCAATCAAACACTCATTTTTCTGATTTACTACAACAAACCCCAGCTCCAATCAAATTCACTGATGCAACATATATTATTTATATTGTGTGTGTATATGTGTGTGTGTATATGTGTGTGTGTGTGAGTGTACCTGTGCTCAGGTGAGCTGCCTGTGGATTACCCTCGACTGTCAGGTTGCTGTGAAAAGAAGACGAGTCTTATCAAAACAAAAGCTTCATGTTGTCTTAATACTTCACTTTGTTTTTAATGTGAAGTGTGTGTGTGTGTGTGTGTGTGTGTGTGTGTGTGTGTGTGTGTGTGTGTGTACACAGGTGAACATACCTGTCCAGAAAGCCAGCAGAGTCCCTGCTGTAGCGGGTCCGGGGTTTCGGGACAGGAGGAGGCGGAGTCATCTGGAGGATCAGAGAGTCTGTGAACATTTCTGGACCTGGTTGGATTAACTAGTTAAACTCATCGCTAACATGTTAGTTAACTGGACGAACGCCACGCCTGCTGCAGACTCTGATGGAACGTTTTCACGGTTCAAACTTCATTGGTTAATTAATTAATTAATTGGTTAATTGATTCTGCTTGTTGAACTGGAGTAACGCAGGATTAACACACACGACGTTTCACCTCCAGCTGATGTTTGAATATGTCGCACACGTACTGTTGGAGAAAATGATTGTATAGTCTGTGATAATCTGTAATCTGTGCTCTCTGGTGTTCTCAGACGGTGTGAATGATAATCTGTTTCAGGTGAATTTAAACTGAGCCGCAGTGAAGACGGCAAAGACACACCTGTCACCACAGGAGACCACGACCTCTCCAGGTGAGGTCTCACGTCTTTAAACACTCTGAATGTCGACCTTTAAAACTGTTCCTGTGATAATCCAGCAGAGCGAGGCCATCACTGTCACCTCATCTCAAACATCTCCACCATCTCAAGAATGTCTCCGCCCATTTAAGGAGCATTTCGGCGAAGACGTGTCGATAAGCAGATGTTGATTCATCTGCTCATTCTTATTCAAAGTGAAGGACATCAGCGAGGAGGAGAATCAGCAGCAACCAATAAACACTGAGCAGATGTTTGAGCTAAGGCTGTTAGCCTCTAATGTATCATTCAATCAATCAATCAATCAATCAATCAATCAATCAATCAATCAATATTTCCTATAAAGGGACAAATCACAACAGTCGTTCTCCCAAGACTCTGTCCAAAAAAGCAGGTCAAGACTACACTCAGTTACACTGGTCTAATCACAGACAGACTGGTCTAACTACAGACAGACTGGTCTAATCACAGACAGACTGGTCTAATCAAAGACAGACTGGTTTTAATCACAACTAACTACAGACAGACTGGTCTAATCACAGACAGCCTGGTCTAACCTAAAACTGGTTTAACTACAGACAGACTGGTTTTAATCACCAACAGACTAGTTTGACAACAGACTGACTGGTCTAACTACAAACAAACTGGTTTTAATCACAACTAACTACAGACAGACTAGTCTAACTACAGACAAACTGGTCTAATCACAGACGGACTGTTTAAACTACAGACAGACTAGTCTAACTACAGACAAACTGGTCTAATCACAGACAGACTGGTTTTAATCACAACTAACTACAGACAGACTGGTCTAATCACAGACAGACTGGTTTTAATCACAACTAACTACAGACAGACTGGTCTAATCACAGACAGACTGGTTTTAATCACAACTAACTACAGACAGACTGGTCTAATCACAGACAGACTGGTTTTAATCACAACTAACTACAGACAAACTGGTCTAATCACAGACAGAATGTTTAAACTACAGACAGACTGGTCTGACTACAGACAGACTAGTCTAACTACAGACAAACTGGTCTAATCAAAGACAGACTGGTCTAACCACAAACTGGTTTAACTACAGACAGACTGGTTTTAATCACAAACAGACTAGTTTGACGACAGACTGACTGGTCTTATCACAGACAGACTGGTCTGACTGCAGACTGACTGGTTTTACTTCAGATAGACAGATCAACCTAATGGCAGTGAGGTATGACTACAGACCAGTAACCAGTCTGTCTGTAGTTTGTGTTCTTAGGTGCAGTTTTCTGGGTATTTTTCCTGATTCTTCTCTTTGTCTTATTTGTTTATCTTCTTTTTATGTCATTATTTAATCGCTCAATTACAGTTTTAATATTTTAAATCTTTCTGTTTTTTCTCAGGCTGCTATCGTCGGTTTTCTGACGTGAGTTTCAGGTGTTTTCACACCTGTCCTCATGATTCCTGTCGTCTGATTTAAGCGTCTGATTAAAAAGTTTGAATCAGATTTTTAAATCAGACAACAGGAAAGGTTTCAAAGGTTTAAAGATTTTTAGTTGAATGAGGATAAAGAAATGTTTAAAATCACATAAAATAATCAGAGTTTTAACCTTTAAATGGACTTTGAGTGTCTGAGGGACTTCATATCTGCAGGTCTGTCTGCAGGTTCTCTGACGGAGCTCAGGTGTGTGTCAGAGCTGAGTGACAGTCCTACCTGTCAGGTGGGTTAAATTCCAGACTGGTGACTGAACTTTCATTTTAAAGTGTTAAAAAACTAAACTAGAGTTTGTGTTTCAGAGTTTATCTGATTTAACGAAGTTTTTAACCAAGTTTGTGAACCAACACAGCTGATTAAAAATCACTGAAACACCTTTAACCTCAGAGAGTTCATCTGATCTAAAACTGTGGAAATAAAGAGCGTCTCTTACCGTGACAGGAAGTCCTCACAGCTGAGGGACACACACCTGTCTGTCAGTCTGAACGTCTGTCCACCTGTCTGTCCACTGTCTGTCTGTCTGTCTGTCCAGCAGCGTCCTGCTCACCTGTGTCTCTGTCAGCAGGTCTCTACAGTCTGTCTGAGTCCAGGTCTCTGGTTCACATGTTGACGCCTCAAACCCGCCTGCACTCAAAAAACATACCTGTCACAACAAGTGTGTGTGTGTGTGTGTGTGTGTGTGTGTGTGGAGGGGGCGGGATCTGTGTGTGTGTGTGTGTGTGTGTATGAGAGAGTGTGTGTGTGTGTGTGTGTGTGTGTGTGGAGGGGGCGGGATCTGTGTGTGTGTGTGTGTGTGTGTATGAGAGAGTGTGTGTGTGTGTGTGTGTGTGTGTGTGTATGAGAGAGTGTGTGTGTGTGTGTGTGTGTGTGTGTGTGTGTGTGTGTGTGTGTGTGTGTGTGTGTGTAGGTGTGAGTGTGTATGTGTGTGATAGGTCCCGGTATGTGAGACTCTCCTGAAGCTCAGCTGTTTTTACTGTGAGTGTTTTAGAGTGAACTCAGAGGAAGGTCGCTGGTCCAACCGGCTGCAGGAATGTAGGTGTGTGTGTGTGTGTGTGTGTGTGTGTGTGTGTGTGTGTGTGTGTGTGTGTGTGTGTGTGTGTGTGTGTGTGTGTGTGTGTGTGTGTGTGTGTGTGTGTGTGTGTGTGTGTGTGTGTGTGTGTCTGTCTGTGCGTGCGTGCGTGTGTGTGTCTGTGTTAAATAGTTTCTTATTGTAGAAGTGTTTCTTTCTGTCTTTCTCGTTTCTTTATTTCTAAACTCTGATTTTCAAACAGCCTCAGTTTTTTACAGTGTAAAGCTCCTCACTGTAAAAAATGATGTTTGAATTCAGTTTTCTTTGGGGGTTAAAAACTGAACATTATATCAATTAAACTTGGAGGTCTGACAGGTTTTTCTAAATAGATAAATGACTCAATTAATAATGAATATGTTAGATAGATTCTAATAGTAATGGTGTAAAAAATGTAAAATAAAGGTTTTACATTCATGTTATTTTTTACAGTGTGGAGACTGACCGCACACTATAAAAACTTTTTATGTTTTTGGTCCTGAACTAAAAATATCTCCATAAAAGTAACTGTACTTTCCTTTTGTAGTACCTGTACTACAGTAGGGTGGTACAGTCCAGGCAGTACTTTAGTTACTGAGAGTATTGAAGTATTTTTGTAGAAACTGTAGTTTTTTTTACTTTCTGTCATTGTGACTGAAGTCAAGTGTGGAGGAAATGTGCGGTTGGTGTGATTGAATCTGCAGTTCCTCTCATTACCACTGGGTGGGGCTATGAACCGATGTTTCTCAGGTTAAAGAGGAGTCACTGTAAAGATGGTAAATCTGATGAACATAAATATTATTTTAAATAATAATATTTATAATATTTATAATAATATAATATAATATTTATAATACTATAATATTATTTTAAATATAATAATATTTATCAAAGAGAGGGATCTGAAAACAAACCTTCATAAAACAAAGATTCATCACACAAAGTGGAATATAACAAGACAACATCACAACAACAACATCATAACAACAAAAAAAACAACAACAAAGACACAACATCAACAACGACAAAACAACACAAAAACAAAGACACAAAAACAAAGACACAAAAACAAAGACACAACATCAACAACACAACAACGACACAACAACAACACACAGACACACGGACACAACAACAACAACAACAACAACACAACAACAACAAAGACACAACAACAACAACACAACAAAGACACAACAACAAAGACACAACATCAACAACAACAATGACACAACAACAACACACGGACACACCGACACAACAGCAACAACAACAACAACACAACAACAACAAAGACACAACGACAATGAATCAACAACATCACAACAACGACAACAGCACAACACAATGACAATGAAACAACAACACAAATAGACGAACACAAAAACACAGAAACACAACAACAACAAAAACGAGAAAAACAGATAAAAACAGAAAAATCCACATGAAGGAGTTTCTTCTTCATTCGCCTCATCGATCCTTAAACGATTTATTACTGATCAATACATCACTCTGTTTGTCTCACACACACACCACTTTATTGAATCAGCCTTACCGTGCACCCACCCACACACACACACACACAAACACGCTTGCTCGCGCACACACACACACACTGTTTTTAAACTTTTTACTGGTTTTACTGAAGACTCTGTTGTGTGTGTGTGTGTGTGTGTGTGTGTGTGTGTGTGTGTGTGTGTGTGTGTGTGTGTGTGTGGACCTAGTTCACTTCCTGCCAGAGAGAGAGAAAAGGGGGAGAGAGGGTGAACGAGAGAGAGAGACAGATTGGAAACAGACGTTGCCCCCCCCTCCTCCTCTCTCTCTCTCTCTCTCTCTCTCTCTCTCTCTCTCTCTCTCTCTCTCTCTCTCTCTCTCTCTCTCTCTCTCCCTCTCTCTCTCTCTCTGAGTCAGTCGGTTGTTTCCATTCGTCTTCTATGTGGAATGAACTCAGACTGAGGAGGAGAAGAGGAGGAGGAGGAGGTGAAGGAAGAAGAAGAAGAAGAAAAGAGGAGTGGAAGGAGATCTACGATAAAGAAGAAGAAGAAGACGAAGAAGAGGAGGAGGAGGAGGAGGAGAAGGAGGAGTAAGCGGAGCAGCATCAGCAGGTCTGAAAACACTCGTCTTTTTCTCATCCCTCGCTCTTTTCCTCCGTCTCTGTATCGTCCGGCGTCCTCTCTTTCTGCTGAGTGGACATGTTTTCTTCTGTGTACCTCCATCAGAAACTGCAGTAATACTCCGAGTACTGCGAGTACTACCACTGTCACTGAGTCTGTTACTGCGTACGGAGAGGACAAACACTCAGAGACGTCCTCTCTGTTCAGATTCAGATCTTTATTATAAAATCATTACAACAGTTCGTCCACAGGGGGCGCTGTGATCAACACAAACAAACACTCTGATGACTGAAACCAGCTGAAGTAAAGTTCAAATATTTAACTCAAGTTTGAGTTTAATAAGAAACTGAAGAGACTAAAAGTAAAATATCGAACAGAAAAAGAACTTTGAGAAACACGAAAAACAACAAAACTAATGATACGGGGAAAAAAAACAAACAGGTCCAAAGTTCTGACGTTAAACAAACATCTGGAGGAACATCTCAGGAGGTTTACTTCCAACAGGTTAGTCACATGACCGGGTCTAAGACGGACCTTCAGAGAGGCGGTTTCATCCTCTACAGAAGATCAGATCATTCAGAGAAATCTTTGTACTAAAGGGGGACAAGGACCAGAACCAGGACTGGATGGTCCTGATCTTTAGAAACAGACAGGACTCTGGAGTTGGGTTTGATATCACTCGTCCGTGAACTGTCCTGAGGTCTGCTGGATCAAGATCTAACAGTCTTTAGGAAACGTAGAACTGTAAATCATAGATGCTGCATCCTCAGTTTAAAACAAGATCTCCAGGTCTAGGAGGAACATCTGCGTCCATCCAGACCTTCATATGATCCAGAACCACATCCTGACACCAGCATGGCTCTGTAGGAGAAGAGTCCTGGACTGATGTGGTCTTTTTGTTGTTGTTGACAGAATTAAACCAATCAGGACACAGGAAGCAACCCTCAACATGGCGACCTGACGGACAGGTGACACACCTGTGGACAGGTAGGCGTGACCGTACAGAGATTAGATTACCCACAATTCAACTCGGCTGTGGATTATATTTATCATGCTTTGCTTCGTGTCGCTACCCGATCCGTCCCGGAAACCCGATCCATACTAAGTGCAAATCTGGCGATGTGACAGGCTAGCTAAATGCCGAGCTAATGCCGAGGTATTCTCCAGAGCTCCTGCCCAGAACGGTGAGACCTTTTGGGCCACAAAGAGCGCCACCACCTGGTCAAAATGATGGTTCTCTGACTCTTCTAAGTATCAGGATCGTGTTTTTGGGACGGATTAGGAGGAGACACCATGTTTGTCGAGGCGAATGAAGCTCAGGTCCACGGTCTCTATGCTGACTCAGGTGGTCACTCTGGTTTAAACTCTGACGCTGTCGGAGAAAGGCATTCTGGGGGTTGTAGTTCATGGATGAGCCGGTAATAAAAAATCATCTGTAGTTTGACAAGGACAGTTTACACTACACACACACACACACACACACACACACACACACACACACACACACACACACACACACTGCTGGTGTTTGTGTGTCTCATCCTGCTCTGCTCTGATTGGCTCTCAGTGACCAATAAGAGCTCAGCAAATACAAACATGGAATAACAGTTCACCTCTTATTTCTGGGTATAAGAGAGGACCTGTACTCTGAGTGTGTGTGTGTGTGTGTGTGTGTGTGTGTGTGTGTGTGTGTGTGTGTGTGTGTGTGTGTGTGTTAAAGAAAATGAACCTGGTCGTGTCAGTAAAAGTTTGTTCAAACTCTTCATATCGATCATATGATCATCAATAATGACTCAGAGGAGTGTTTTAGACTCTCTGCTGGTCTGAACCTCAGTCCTCTGGTCTGAACCCCAGTCCTCTGGTCTGAACCTCAGTCCTCTGGTCCTCTGGTCTGAACCCCAGTCCTCTGGTCTGAACCTCAGTCCTCCGGTCTGAACCCCAGTCCTCTGGTCTGAACCCCAGTCCTCTGGTCCTCCGGTCTGAACCTCAGTCCTCCGGTCTGAACCCCAGTCCTCCGGTCTGAACCTCAGTCCTCCGGTCTCAACCCCAGTCCTCCGGTCTGAACCTCAGTCCTCCGGTCCTCTGGTCTGAACCTCAGTCCTCAGTCCTCCGGTCTGAACCCCAGTCCTCTGGTCTGAACCTCAGTCCTCAGTCCTCCGGTCTGAACCCCAGTCCTCTGGTCTGAACCTCAGTCCTCAGTCCTCTGGTCAGTCTCAGTCCTCTGGTCTGAACCTCGTCACAGACTTGAACTGGTCCTGGTTTAGCTGCCGACACTGATTAGGTATTAGGAACCACTGTAGGTACCAGCTGGTTTAGTGAGTGGCGTCACACCGTGGGACCTTCTGTCTGGTAGATTAACACCTTCACTTCATGATCGGCTGAAGTTCGGAGACTTCACCAAGTTTCGCACTTTTCCGTTGTTTGTCCTCGTGGACTTGCTGTAACGACAAACAGGAGTGTTGTCGACTCCTAAGACGGGAAAGCCCCTCCCAGCTGTCGTAAATGTCACTTGAAGTCGCTCGATGACGTCATCGCCTAGTTTGCATAATTTCTCTGTCAAACCAACTGTTGCCACCGACGTCCCCAACCCCGCGAGGAGGAGGAGGAGGAGAAGGAGGAGGAGGAGGAGGAGAAGGAGGAGGAGTCTCCCGCGGGGTGCCTGAGTGTCTGTGTTTTTGAACCGGCTGCCTGTTGAGAAGAGTAACATCGATTTCTGCGTTTCTGAGTCTCTAAAGTCCAGAAAAAGTCACTAGATTTGTTGTGAGGCGCTTTTTTAAAAATGAGTCGTTAGAGGGTCTGAAAAGATGACAAAGTCGCTCGGTCGGCAACGCTTCATCAAACCGATATTCAAACCTCCGACAGACATTTATCATCAAGTCAAAGAAAGTCACTCTATATTTTCATCTACAGCTTTTGAAAACAAACGGCCAAACGGCCAATCAGATTCGAGCAGAGGACCGCAAGCTGATCTGACCACCTGACCACATCCGGTACTTAAACATGGCGACGTTAGCGGTTCACGGTTTTCTGGATCAAACGGAGCTGTGACTCAGCGGAGTGAACCACGAATAAAACTGAGAACAGACGAAGAAGAAGCAGCTGCTGTTAGCGAACTAGAGCTAGCATCCCTCAGAGAGATGATCTTTAAAAAACTGAACTTCAAAGAATCAAAAACAGCGTTAGAGCTCGAGTCTCTTCAGGTCGTTGATCAACTCCATATTTCTGAAGTGACCTGATGGAAACAGGAAGCTTACCAAAATAAAAGCATGACAGGAAGGAGAGAGCAGTTTGGTGAAGACGAAGTTCAAAACTTTAAAACCCTGATGAGAAAAACGACCCCTGATGACCCAGACTACACCTCGTTAAACCGCCATTCTCTCCACACGATGCACGTTAAGCCCCGCCCTCTTCCTGCAACCATTCACCCTCCTTTGATCATGTGACCAATCGAGCTAATGTGGCGTTAGCGTGTTAGCAGGAGCAGAGGTTCGTCCTCTGGTGGAGGCCGGGCTGCACAGGAAATACTTGACTGTTTATTTTCTTCTTCGGTGGTCGGCTTACATTCCTCACACACTCCCTCACTCAGGATCAACCAGGCCTCTGATTGGCTGAGATCCCAGGGGACACGCTCTCATTGGACGGCTTCTTTTCTCTCTCTTTTTCTCTCTGTGGAAGGAGAAGAAGAAGAAAAACCCAAATCCCCCAGAGAACACGCACACACACACACACACACACACACACACACACACACACACACACACACACACACACACACACAGACACACACACAGACACACTAACACACACACACACTGAGTCAGAGGAATGTGTGTTTGAACCAGTGAGGTGAATGATTTCACAGACGTCTGAGCAGGAAAACTTTATTACTCCTTCACACACAGACAGACACACACACACATAGACACAGATGCACACTAACACAAGCACACACACATAGACACAGAAACACAAATACACATATACACTGACACAGATACACACTTGTTTTTCTGTGTTTTTTTGTTCTAGTTTGGTTTGTTTCATTGTTGTTGTGTTTCTGTTATCATTGTGTTGTTGTAGTTGTGTTGTTGTTGTTTTGTGTTGTTGTGATGGTGTTTTTGTTGTTGCTGTGTTCCTGCTGTCATTGTGTTGTTTGTTGTTGCCGTTATTGTTATCATTGTGTTGTGTTGTTCCTGTTGTTGTCGTTGTGTTGTCTTCGTTGTTGTGCTTTTGTTATCATTGTGTTGTTGTTGTTGTCATTGTTGTGTTGTTGTTGTTGTTGTTGTTGTCATTGTTGTGTTGTTGTTGTTGTTGCCTATAGTGTTGTTGTTGAAAATCTCCCCCCTCTCTGTGTTGTTGATGTTGTTGTTGTTGTTTTTGTTGTTGTTGTGTTGTTATTGTTGTTGTGTTCCTGCTGTAGTTGTGTTGTTGTAGTTGTGTAGTTTTTGTTGCCTATAGTGTTGTTGTTGTTGTTTTGTGTTGTTGTGATGGTGTTGTTGTTGTTGTGATGGTGTTGTTGTTGTTGTAGTTGTGTTGTTGTTGTCATATCGCTGTTATCATTGTGTTGTTGTAGTTGCCTATAGTGTTGTTGTTGTTGTTGTTGTTGTGTTGTTATTGTCGTTGTGTTCCTGCTGTAGTTGTGTTGTTGTTGTTGTTGCCTATAGTGTTGTTGTTAAAAGTCTCCCCTCTCTGTGTTGTTTTTGTTGTTTTTGTTGTTGTTTTGTTGTTGTTGTTTTGTGTTGTTGTGATGGTGTTGTTGTTGTCATTGTGTTGTTGTAGTTGTGTTGTTGTTGTTGTTGTTGTTAAAAATTTCCCCCCCTCTCTGTGTTGTTGTTGTTGTTGTCATTGTGTTGTTGATGTTGTTGTTGTTGTTGTTGTTGTTGTTGTTGTTGTTGTCATTGTGTTGTTGTTGTTGTTGTTGTTGTTAAAAATCTCCCCCTCTCTCTGTGTTGTTGTTGAAAATCTCCCCCTCTCTCTGTGTTGTTGTTGTTCAGGATGTCGTCCATCAGAGGAGGAACAGGAAGTCTGGACCTCCTGCGCTTCCTCCTGGGTGGGTTAAACACACACCTGTCACTCTCTACAGGTGACCTGAGACTCACCTGTGTGTGTCTGTGTGTTACTAAGCTTCACTCACCTGTCTGTGTGCAGGTGTGTTCCTCGTCCTTCCTGAAGGGGGCATCAGTCTGGAGCTCCAGCCATCGTCCTCTGAAGTTCTGCTCAACGCCCACGCCAACTTCACCGTGGTCAGTACTCACCTGTCTGTCTCTGAACACCTGTCTGTCCCTGAACACCTGTCTGTCTCTGAACACCTGTCTGTCTGTCCCTGAACACCTGTCTGTCTCTGAACACCTGTCTGTCTCTGAACACCTGTCTGTCTTCGCAGGTAGACTTGTGTGGTCTTTAAGGTGGGGACAGGATTTTAAGGGTTCTTGAAGGTCAGCTTAGGTATCTGTGGGTTCTTGCATGTAAGTTCAGGTCCTTGCGGGTCCTTCAGGGCTGGTTCAGGTACATGTCAGTTCCATGTAGGTCGGCTCAGGTGTCTGCAGGTTCTTGCACCTGTCTGGGTTCGGGTGGTTGTCCTTCACCTTCAGACTCACTCTAACGTCTAATTTACCAGAAAAAGAAGGAACTGACTCGTCTTAACACTGACAGTCAGTGAACGAAACCAACGACTTTATTCAGACGGAGGAGGGAGGGGTTTATCGTGGTTCACTTCCTGCTGAGCAGCGGTTGGTTGACTAAGATAAATCAGGTCATTATGGCGCCTTTACATTAAAACACGTGTTTAAACTTTCCTGTATGAAGGATTTAAAAGTCTCTGAATCCTCGCTGCAGCTGACATCTTTATTTTTAATCTCGCCACTTTTCCGCCGTATAAAAGAACGATGACTCGCGCTCGTTTAGCGGCGTGCTGCTCGCTGACAGATGGCGACACACAGAGAGGTGAGTTTTTCAGGGCGGGGGAGAGATTCTTCCTTCAGGACTTGGCGAATGAACGACACAAGTCACCCAGAGAACGACGCTGTGACATCATCAGTGAGGAGGGGAGGGGCTAATGAACGAAGTCGCCGCTGTGTCACTCACTGGTGTCTGTCTCTTTCCCAGGTGTGTTCCGGCTGGAGTCAGGTGAGCTGGCGGTTCCCCCAGGACACTCAGGTAGACGGCGTTTTTGTGGACAATCAGGGCTCCAGCAGTATTCTGCAGCTCTTTAACGCCACCTGGAGGAATTCTGGGAGATACACCTGCGAAGAGGTTTCGTCCTCTCAGAGCAGAGAGATCGACATCTTCATACCTGGACAAGGTGAGCGTGACCTCCCACACAACCTGAAGGTCGTTCCTTTTGTAGATTAGCAGAAACAGACGGACACCTGAGCGGTGTGGTTCTCACCTGTCCCCCTTCAGGTCCTGACGAATGGTTCGTCCCGCTCGGTCCAGGTGTGGTTATGAAGGAGGCGGAGGAAGACACCATCCCGTGTGTGGTGTCGGACCCTCGCCTCAATGTCTCCCTGTTCCAGCGCCCCAGCAGGACGCCCGTTAGCGGGATGCTGTACGAGCCGGGCCGCGGCTTCACGGGTCGTCTAAACGACACGTCTTACATGTGCTTGGCGAGCCGAGGTGGCGAGGAGAAGGAGTCCCAGGTTTACCACGTCTTCAGTATTGTAGGTAAGGAGAGCAGACCGACCCGGATCAGGGTCAGGGTCAGGGTCAGGGTCAGGTAAAGGTAAAGGTCAAACGTTCAGGTGAGAGCGAGTTCGATCAGATACACTCGCACCTTTGTCTCTGACCTCATACCTGTTTGTCTGTCCCTCACCTGTCCGTGTCTCAGTGCCTCAGCAGATGGAGGTGGAGCTGACAGCGTCAGGGGCGGTGCTTAAGAAGGGGGAGGTGCTTACAGTGAACTGCACAGTCAGAGACACCGAGCTGGTCTTCTTCTCCTGGGACTTTCCTCGCAGACAGGTACCTGTCTTCTTTACCTACCTGTCTGTCTGACCAATCAGCTGTCTGACCTTTGAACTCTGGTTTTAAACAGGAAATTGATCCTCTGACGGAGTTCCTGCCCAATCAGATCCGCTCCGTCGTGAACATCTCCTCTGTGACTGTGGAGGATTCAGGTGAGACACGAGTTTACGGACCTCTTACAAAACAGGAAAAAGGTTTAAATCATGGCGACGTTTCCATGGTTACATCAGGTGTGATTGATGTTTTGAGTTTTGGTAACCATGGTGATGTGTGTGTGTGTTCTTCCACAGGTGTTTATATGTGCTCTGTCCAGGAGACGATGCAGGAACGAACCGTGAGGAAGAACTTAACAGTGACTGTGTTGGGTGAGAAACTGAGAGGTAGAAGACAGGTGCTGCGTCCGAACTGCCCGCTCGGATACTACATGCTACTGCTACGTGCTACTGCTAGATCCTACTCCTACATACTAAAAACGTTGGCCCAATTCGGACACACTAGACGAGCGGTGGGGAAAGACGACCCCCGCAGGCAGAGAGTAGGTACTGCGCCCGTGCAGACAGTGGTAACTGAAGCCCCTCATCTGCGGGCCTGGCTGTAGTACTGCAGCTGTGCAGTTTAATGATGGAATAAGTGAGCTTTACCTCCATGATGTCGCCACTTGCTCATAAAATGATTACTTGGGCAAATATGACACCATGACATGACAAAGAGATACAACCGCACATTTTTTAGGACAGTGTGTGAAGTTACATGAAACTTACATCTGTACTGCTGCGGTCCCGCCTGCTGCTGCTGCTGCTCCGACATGGTGCGCGCTGCTGTGGCCAGCCGGCGTTCGCGACACTTTTAAATAGGCAGAGCAGCTGGTGGCGCTAGCATCACATGCGCTTCTACAACTTTTAAGAGGACGAAGAAGAAGCCCGCGGTGCATTTTGGGTCAGTAGCATGCCCGTAGGATGCACCGAGACCAACCTACAATGTGGGCGTGTCTAGTATCTGAAGTAGCATGCTACTCGCTCCGGTGGCCAATTCGGACATGATAGATACTACTTCGACTACTACTTGACAATTCGGACGCAGCACAGGAGACAGGTGAAGGGACGAGTAGACAATCAGGTAGATAGTTAAGATAACATAAGATAAGTACAGATAAGATCAGTTAAGAAAGGTTAAGTTAATTTAAGATAAATTAAGTTAAGATAAAATTAGTCAAGATAAGTTAAGTTAGGTTAAGAAAGGTTATGTAGATTTAAGATTAGTTAACTTTAGATAAGTTAAGACAGGATAAGTTAGAACTTTAAATAAAGAACTTTATTGATCCCCACAGGGAAATTTAGACAGATAAAGACAAGTGGACAAACAGGTGACCTCCCTCTCTCTCTCTCTCTCTCCCCCTCTCTCTCTCTGTCTCTCTCTCTCTCTCTCCTCTCTCTCTCTCTCCCTCTCTCTCCCTCTCTCTCTCTCTCTCTCTCTCTCTCTCTCTCTCTCTCTCTCTCTCTCTCTCTCTCTGTAGAGCGAGGTTACGTTTACCTGTGGCCCTCAGGTGACACTAACCTGTCGTCCCTCCTCCATCACTCGGTCGAGTTCAGCTTGGAGGTCGACGCCCATCCCATCCCTTCTGTCCTCTGGACCAATCAGAACCAGACCATTCCCCCAGAAACCAGTACCACCGTCACCACACACCTGACAGGAAGCAGGTACACCACATGATCGAATGATGGATTGACTGATTGATTGATTGATTGATTGGTTGATTGATTGATTGATTGATTGATTGATTGATTGATTGGTTGATTAAATGATTGATTGATTGATTGATTGATTGATTGATTGATTGATTGATTGATCGATGGGTTTCAGGTATCTGAGCACGCTGACGTTGGTTCGCGTGCGGATGGATCAGACAGGAAGTTACACGGTTACTGTTTCCAACGATGACGACATCCAGGAAGTTACGTTCAACCTGGAGGTCAAAGGTCAGAGGGGTGGACAGTAGTTGTGTGTGTGTGTGTGTGTGTGTGTGTGTGTGTGTGTGTATTAATGTTGGTTCTTGTGTGCACCTGTAGCGCCCCCTAGGATCACGTCTCTGTCAGAGTCGGGCAGTAAAGCCGTGCTGTGCGTCAGTGAGGGAGCTCCGCCCCCGTCTGTCACCTGGTACACCTGTCCTAGCTCACACAGGTGAGTTCACTGACTGTCCACCTGTGGTTGTAGGCGTGTTCAGAGTCCGTCCAATAGAAACAGAGTGTACCTGAAAACACCTGCAGCCCTGCTGTTGCCATGGTAACCTAACAAAGCGGTTTCCTTCAGGTGCAGTAACTCAACAGGCGGCTGGAAGAGCCTATCAGCGTCGTCGGAGGGCGGGACTCTGCAGGAGAACGCCACACAGGTGGAAGAGAGAGGCGTTACCCAGGTAACTGGTGATGTCATCTTCAGGGGACAATGACGCTCAGACAAAAATCACACCAACGCTCCGTCACTGAACGTGTGTCTCACCTGGACAGGTGCGCAGTGTGTTAACCTTGAAGAGTCTGGCGTCTGTGTCGGCCGTACGCTGTGAGGTCAGAAACTCAGCTGGACGGCGAGCGCGGGACCTCAGGATACTCTCCAACTGTACGTATCAATACTGCAGTAGTACTACAGTAATCCTGTGTACCCAACAGAGAGACAGTTCTGTTAGAGTCCGAAGGATAGTATTGATTTTCCTGAGTTGATCTACATCTCTGTCATCATGACCCCCAACCTCCACCTTCATCCTGATGGTCTCCTAAAAGGTCGTATCCTCCGATCGTAGCTGATCGTAACCATTCAAGTTAACGTGTCAATTTACACCGACTTCTTTCCGTTCCTCTGCGGATCGCCGGACTCCTCAGCTGATCACAAGAGTTCTATTTTTTCTGGACGCCGGAGCATGGCGGATAAATTCAGCACAGATTAACCCGTGCTGGAAAGGAAGTCGGGCACAGACTTCAAAATAAAACATCCGGCTTCTTTTCAAAATAAAACACTCCGTGTTTCAGGAGGATCGTATTTCACACCATGCAAACTGGCGGAGACGAACAAGTGAAAGGTTTTTAGACGTCATTTCACCCCGATGACACCATGGATGAGGAGATGCTGATTCTAGAAGTCTAGAAGTAGATTTCCTCCTCTGGAAGGACACAATCTACTGCTTATATGTCTATGTGTCTGTCGTTATAGAGACAACTCGTTATCGTGAGATTGAACGTTAATCAGTAGGTTCTTGTGAGTTCTCGCTATTCCTGCGTCTGTAATTGGCGGACAGTGAAAATCGCCGCTGTCTGGGGTTGGAGCCGTTCAGGATGTGGTGAAAATTGGGGGTAATAGCGCCACCTACAGGACTGAGGATTCATTCTTGATGTCCAAGCTCTCTCTCTCTCTCTCTCTCCAGCTCTCCTGTCCCAGGTTGTGGTTCTGGCAGCAGTTTTGGTTCTGGTCGTCATAGCGATCATCTTCCTCATCATCCTCATCCTCCTCTGGAGAAAGGTCAGTGCTCCCTTTAACCACCTGTAGTTTGGTTCTATCACAGCTGAAGTTTTAAATGTTTCAACGTCACTTTAAGTTAAACTACAGTGTTTCCTGGTTACCATGACGACGTGTGTCGTTCTCCTCCTGTTTGTCAGAAACCTCGTTATGAAGTTCGCTGGAAGGTGATCGAGTCGGTCAGTCCTGACGGGCAGCAGTACACCTACCTGGACCCTACACAGCTGCCCTACAACTCCACCTGGGAGGTACCGCGAGACAACGTAGTACTAGGTACTAATGTACTACCTTAACTAGTACTCTGACAGTACTGACCAACCATGTCCGGACCTGTAAAGAGTCAGTTAACCCGTCTGTGTCTCCAGGTCAGGTGTTGGGTTCAGGTGCCTTCGGTCGAGTCGTCGAGGCGACAGTTTCTGGTCTGATTCACAACAACTCCACCAGTAAAGTGGCAGTGAAGATGGTCAAACGTACGTACCTGACGAACCGTTCACCTGACGAACCGTTCACCAGACGAACCGTTCACCTGACGAACCGTTCACCTGACGAACCTGACGAACCGTTCACCTGACGAACGTTCACCTGACGAACGTTCACCTGACGAACCGTTCACCTGACGAACCGTTCACCTGACGAACCGTTTACCTGACGAACCTGACGAACCGTTCACCTGACGAACCGTTCACCTGACGAACCGTTCACCTGACGAACCGTTCACCTGACGAACCGTTCACCTGACGAACCGTTCACCTGACGAACCGTTCACCTGACGAACCGTTCACCTGACGAACCGTTCACCTGACGAACCGTTCACCTGACGAACCGTTCACCTGACGAACCGTTCACCTGACGAACCGTTCACCTGACGAACCTGACGAACCGTTTACCTGACTGTGTTGTCCTTCTTCTTACTCAAATGTAAGATTCAATGTAACTCTGTGAGTGTGTGTGTGCGTGCGTGCGTGCGTGCGTGCGTGCGTGCGTGCGTGCGTGCGTGCGTGCGTGCGTGTGTGTGTGTGTGCGTGTGTGTGTGTGTGTGTGTGTGTGCGTGCGTGCGTGTGTGTATCCAGCCAGCAGTGGTGCAGCTCAGTCTCTGATGTCCGAGTTGAAGGTCCTGGTCCACCTGGGTCCTCACCTGAACATCGTGAACCTGCTGGGCGCCTGCACCAGAGGAGGTAAATCTGACTTTATTGTAGTCTAAATTTAATCCTGAGATTAGACAGACTTAAATTTGGATTAAGACTTGAACCAGATTTAATCTGGGCTAATAAAATCTAGATTATATATATTATTATATATTGCCTTAATTTGAATTTTTATTGATTACCTCCTGATTTAATCTGATCCGTCTCAGTTTAGACTTTAACAGATTTATTCCACATGAATCTCGACTTCCCAACCAGATCTTTTATTTTGGTTTGTTCAGATTAAGTCCAAAGTCCAGAGACTAAATCCTCAGTCTGTCCGTCTGTCTGTCTAGGACCTGTCTATCTGATCACTGAGTTCTGTCGCCATGGAGACCTGGTGAACTACCTGCAGAGGAACAAACACACCTGTCTACAGGGTGATTCACACACCAAGAGGTCAACACACACACACACACACACACACACACACACACACACACACACACACACACACACACACGTGATGCCCTCCTCTCTCTCTCTCTGCCTCATTGATCGCCGATGTCTCTCGCCCCGCAGTGACAGTGATGGAGGTTATATGGACATGAATAAAGAGGAGAACGCTCAGTACGTCCCCATGAAGGAGCTCAGCTACGCCGACATCGAGCCCGCCGTGTACGAGACGCCGTACACCCCCCAAGGTGAGGCGGCGTGAACATCAAACAGATCAATCAAACAGCAATAATCAATAAAAACATGAACAGAAAGGGGAAAACCGTCATCTATGATTCAGTGACTGATTAATGAAGGTCTGACTCAGGATCAATAAACAGCCTGTGGTTCTCTTTTAGACCAGCAGGAGGCGACGCTGCTCCTCTCTGACTCTCTTCACCTCACCCTCGACGACCTCCACAGCTTCTCCTACCAGATCTCTCAGGCCATGGACTTCCTGTCCACGAGAAACGTACGATACACATCTATTTATACCAGATCTATGCTGTACAGAGTGAGATTAACCTACGGGAAACAATCTATATGGTTATTTATAGATCTATACATGATCAATCTATATGGTTATTTATAGATCTATACATGATCAATCTATATGGTTATTTATAGATCTATACATGATCAATCTATATGGTTATTTTTAGATCTATACAGAACCAATCTATATGGTTATTTATAGATCTATACATGATCAATCTATATGACTCTATATAGATCTATACATGATCAATCTATATGGTTATTTATAGATCTATACATGATCAATCTATATGGTTATTTATAGATCTATACAGAACCAATCTATATGGTTATTTATAGATCTATACATGATCAATCTATATGGTTATTTATAGATCTATACATGACAGTGCATGACTCATACATGCCAGTACATCTATGCAAAAAAGATCTATGAAACAAAACAGATCTTTAAATAACTGATTAATCCAAACCTGGTCAATGCTGTGCTGATCTATATGTATATATATCTATATGTGAATATAGATCAGCCCTGCACTTCTATCTGAACACGCCTGATCGATTAAACCTGATCGATATAAATTGATCTTCTAAACTTAAACAGACTAAATTAAACTTATTAATTCTATATGAATCTTATCTATACATCCCTGATCTAGAACCAGCTGATCTGTGGTTTACTGAGTCAGTGTTGTCTGTTGTGTGTTGTGTGTTGTGCGTTGGCGTGTCCACAGTGCGTGCACCGGGACCTGGCGGCGAGGAACGTCCTGGTGTGCGAGGGGAAGCTGGTGAAGGTTTGTGACTTCGGTTTGGCTCGAGATCTGAAGAAGGACGGAGACTACATCGCCCGTGGAAACGTAACGAACAACGACCGCACGCTCATGAGTAAAAGCGAACAGTACACCTGCTGACCACCTGTCACATCTGCTGAGTCATGTGATCTCTGGTTTTTAGAGCTTCCTGCCCGTGAAGTGGATGTCACCTGAGAGCATCTTCCAGAACATTTACAGCTCTCAGAGCGACGTCTGGTCCTACGGGGTCCTACTGTGGGAGATCTACTCTCTGGGTACGAACACCAGGACCACCAAGTTACACACCAGTTTAACCACTTTAACCATTCTGACTAGTTTAACTCACCAGTTTAACCAGTTTAACCACAGTGCTGTAATCAGAGCTGTTGTGTTCCAGGTGTTAGTCCGTACCCGGAGCTCCCCATGACTCAGGAGTTTTTCTCGGCCCTCAAGAGAGGATACAGGATGAGCCGGCCGGACCGGGCCCCCCAGGACATGTATGACACACACACACACACACACACACACACACACACACACACACACACACACACACACGTCTCCACCTAACAACATCCTTATCAAACATCCAACAGCCAATCAGAATCCAGCATTTACCATGATGATCCACCTGTTGTTTACCTGTCAGAGTAGAAATTTACTGAGATAGTTATAGTTGACGTGTGTGTGTGTGTGTGTGTGTGTGTGTGTGTGTGTGTGTGTGTGTGTGTGTGTGTGCATGCACGTGCGTGTGTGCCTCTCAGCTTTGACCTGATGAAGTTGTGTTGGGAGGAGAAACCTGAGTGCAGACCGTCTTTCTCCTCATTGGTCGTCTCCCTTGGCGACAAGATGACTGACGACTATAAGAAGGTGAGAGAGACGTTAACGATGTTTACTGTCGTTTATTAACGAGACAAACAGCTGACAGTTGATAAACAACAAACAACTTTTTATTTTATTGTTAATGTTGTTATTTCATTGTTAATGTTTGTGTTTATTTACGTTGTTGTTTATTTTATTGTTTACGTTGTTTGTTTGTTGTTTTTCAGCGGTACCTCCAGCTGACCGACAGCTTCCTGAGCGGTGACAGTCCCGCCGTTCTTCGATCCAGACTGAGTCCATCCAGCTCTGCTCCGACAGACACACAAGGTCAGACACACACACACACACACACACACATTCACGCTTACGTGACAAACAGGGGACTATCAGCCCAGACTGACCCAGAGGGGACCTCTATTCCTGGTCATTCTAATAAAATAAAATTATAATATAAATTTTTCTTTTAAGGTCTTTTATCTTAATGTTGCTTAAAATGTGACTTTTATCTTATTTTTAAATTGCTAAGAGGCGACCTGGATCCATGAGTGATCTACCTGTCTAACAGGTGACCTCCATATAAGGCAGTGAGCCGTCTGAACCCACTCACACTGATGATGCTGACGATGATGAAAGTTTGTTTAACACAAAGACTTTATTTGTTTCTTTATTAACAGCTGATTTAACCTTCATGTGACCTTCATTTAAATATTTCTCTCTGAGAAAATATTGAGAAAATATTTGGGCCCCACTCTTTCTGTGGATTATATTTTCTTTTATAACTGCTTTAATAATAATAATTATTATTTGGTGTCAGGAGAAAAACATTTCCCATCTTTGGCAGATATTTTTAGTTTAGTTAAATGTTTATGTAGAGGGGACAGTGTACATTCAGGGACATGATCCTGTTGTCAAAAAACAGCCCACCTGATCCGACGGCCTAACTTCACCTTATTTGCAGGAAGCCCCGCCCCCCAGGAAGATGCACACCTGTTGGAGGTGAAGCCAGAGGAGGCAGGCCCCTCCCACGGAACCTACATCATACCTGTCACTGACATCACCATAGAAACCAGCAGGGGCGCTGTGCTGGACGCAGTCAGGTGAGAACGCCGCCGTCTTTGTGAGGACACGTTTGTTTCTGTTTAAAGATGTTTTTATTTATTAAAAACATCCTCATCTGTGATTTATCGAAGGAACAGATTTTCTCCGATTATGAAGATGATCGTGTTTTATTTTTTAGCCCTCAGATGTCGGAGTCAGAGGATGCAGCAGGGACGCAGGAAGTGACATCATCAGAGGACAAAGAGAACGCTGAGGAGCATCCTGCTGCTGCCTCCTCCAGAAGCAACGAAGAAGAAGAAGAGAGTTGTCTGTGAGCGGCTCAGCTGCCTGACAGTCAAAACAGGGGGGTAAATTGACCCGTTTGTTACCTGACAGACAGGGCTGAGGGTAAAGCAAGTCCACACTCCACCAAGAAGGTAGAACAAAGTCCTTCCTGTCAGTCAAAGCAGAGGGTTGAAAATACCCACTTTAGACATGAATAACATGGATGTTTAATTTTCTCACTGACTACCTGTCAGGCAGAGCAGAGGGTTTAATTACCCCATTGTCCCCCTTCAGAAGGAGACAAAGGTCAAAGATACCCTGAGGGCTCCTGACAGGTAAAACACAGGGTTAAATTCACCCACAGTCTTCCTGTCAGACAAAGCAGAGGGCTGCAGTAACCTGTTAAACCCAGAGTTTTGACTGTCAGGCTGCTGAAGCACATTAAACAGAGTGATTGTGAGTTACAGGTGTGTTAAAGGAGACAGAGGTGTGTGACGCTCAGACTTTCATCATATCCAGCTTCCTCTTCTTCCTCTTCCTCTTTTTTCTCGTTACGCTTTTATTTTGAAGTTTCTCTGTATATGAGTAATAATGATCAAAGTTTTATATCTGATATTAAAGTTTATATCTGCTCTTGGTTTATTCAGACTGCTTTAGACAACCTGCTGCTGTCAGGACTCTTTATAATAAACGACTGAATATAGAAGTCAGACTCTTTGTTTTCTCTGTGAGTGTTCAGGTGAGCTGACGGCAGGTGAGGCCGTCGTTCAGGAAACTAAAGACAGAAAGACACTGAAACAGTCACACACCAACAAAACAATCTCTGAAAACCAGGAAACTTTAAACTTTAGTTTGGCTGTGAACACGGGGAGGAGTGACGTCAGGAGAGACTTCAGCCAATCAGAAACGTCCCTGAGGCGTGATCAGATTTAATCTCAGGCCTTTACACTTTATTATAATTTATCAAAGACTAATTAAAAACTGTGATGATGATGAACGACAAACTGAAAATGAGGAAGGACAGAAAAATGCAAAGTCGACCATTTTCCCTTGAACCCACAGAGTCACGTGATCATCGGCTCTGTTTGTGAGACTGTGTTTGTGTTTCCCACCGCCTCAGTGTGTGTGTGTGTGTGTGTGTGTGTGTGTGTGTGTGTGTGTGTGTGTGTGTGTGTGTGTGTTCTCTTGGTCAGATGTGGGACAGTTTAACTGGTTGAGATTTCCGACGGTCAGTGAACGCCTCACCATTAAAAGTCTAATTTTCCCGTTTGTCACGGCGGTGGAAAGGTCGACGCCCTGAGCTTTAATGATGTCACAGAGACCCTGAACCTTCACTAACGAACATCAAACTCAGACTAATTAAACCCGTCAGCAGCAGGTGAGTTCAGCTCAGAGCTCCTCTCTGGTTTCTGACCGGCTCTGACCCAAAAACACTCTGTTACTGTAAACTGACCCGGTTATTGTTTGAGTTTCAGTCTCGGGGTCGACCCGTGGCGTTCAGTGAAACTGCGTATTGATCGGTCTAAAGTGGCTCTGCTCTGTTTGTTCAGTCTGTTTGTGCTGTTGGCCTGAAGTTCAGGGCTGTGATCAGTTTCTCATCCTAAACCATCAAAACACTCCGAACGCTCCTCCAACACAAAGAAACGCTGTTTTATTTTAACCGTTAAAAACTCTGGATAAGAGAGGAGCCGACGTCAGGATGAGGAACCGAACCGAAGAGACCGAAGAGACCGAACTCACTCTGAGTGAAATAAATACTGCAGATTAAAGAACGAACTTTACAGACAATATTTGACTCAGAAATGAACTTTTATAAATATAAACTCTTTTTTTTACACAGTTGGGACCAAACCCACTTCAGGTTTGAGGAAACAGAAAAACTTCATAAAGAACCAAAATGTTTCATCTTTATTTCCCAAACTAAATAAATGAGGATATTATTCTGTAAAACAACAATCACAGACACATGGAAACTAACACCAGTTTATCGTGATATATCCTGTTTATTTAGTTTTCTCCTCATGGTTTTATCATTTTCTGTATTTTCCTGATTGTTCCAGTTCTCCTGTAGTCCAGTTTCAGAGTTCTCCGTCTGACCCTGTTTCCCTCCTGTTCTCTGAGTTTTATTCTTTAGATCAGTTTTCAGTGTTTATTTCCTGTTTTATTTTGTAGGAGTTGATTCCTTGTGTTTCTAGTTTTCCCTCCTTCGTTCCTCACTCATCAGTCTCACCTGTGTCTCGTTTACCTGAGTGTGTTTTTAGTCCCTGTCTGTCTGTCTGTCTGTTCACCGTGATCCTGGATCTGTCAGTCCCTCGTCTCCTTGTGTTTTTTTCAAAGTAAGTTTTTGTTGTTTCTAGTTTCGTCTTTTATTTAATCTGAATTTTTGGGTCAACTCTGCGTAGTGACATTACTGCAGTTTTCCAAACTCACAAACATGTTTATCTTCGTCTACGTTCACTCTGCAGGTTCTGATGAACGATTCTGATTTTTTGTTAAATCTGATCTTTCTGTGCGGTCGTTCATTTAACAACAACGATCATCTAATGTGAACAGAATGCGTCCATGAAGTGACCCGCGTGCGCACAAAGCATAAAATGCAATCAGAACTGACCTGTTCACACTCCGATGAAAAAATCAGAACTGACCTGCAGTCTGAATGTTTCCTAATTTGTTGACTAAAGATTCTGAGTTTCCCTCTGAAACTCTGAGGGAACGTCTGCTCCTGAGTTTAAGGACGTGGATTCGGATTAAGAGAATAAACACAAAAAAAAGAAAAAAATGAATTATTCTCTCTTCTCAAAAAGCCACCGCTCTTTAAAATTTTACCATCAGACATTCATGTTGGAGCAAAGAGTGTTTTTAAGACGGAAAAAGGACAAAAATCAACCATGTCTGTTTTTTCTTTTTGCTTTAATTAAACAGGTTTTTGGTGTGGAAGAAAAATCAAATCATCAGCAGACGTTTGTGTAAAAAAAAGAACAATTGAGTGAAAAAATAAATAAATAAAATGACCTCAAGGCTTCATCATGTTTGTCCTGAGAAATCAAAAACTGTAAAAGTCACAAACAACAAAATTAAAGAACTAAATTATTTATTATCATGGAGGTCGTTCTGATTTCTGAGGTCTGGATTTTGGTCCATAAGGATCGACACATTTACTCTGGTATAAATATAAATATATAAGAATCATGACGAGTTCAGACGGACCCACTGAATAAAGTCTGTGAAGTAAACATGTTCAGACGTTTATCAGCAGATATAAACCTGATCTCAGGTCCACGTGTTCATCCTGTTATATATGAGGGTTTAATATACGAAGGCACAGTTTGAATTAACATGAACAAAAAACAACAAAAGGTTTAGGATAAAAAAAGACAGTTCTGTGATTAATCGACTTTTAAAATTCAAAAACTGTTTAAATTCTTCCTAAAATAATCAATAAAAGAAAATTCTGATCAGAAATGAAAAGGTGGTCAAAAAATATCAACATGGAACCGTCAAACTTCAGTGTTTTCAAACAGCCTGATGGACCACGTCTACTATAATACTATAATATATGTTTATATGTAAATGATATAAACTAGGATTACAGTAAAGACCTGAAAAATTAAAATGGTCCAAATAAAGTAAAAAAAAAAATCATCAATCTACTACAGAACAGTTCATGTATAAAAATCTCATTCAGTTATGAGAAAAAAATTAAATTTCTCAGATTAAAATTTGATGAAATAAAGTCGTAAAAAATTCAAAGTTTAAGAAGAAAAAGTCAAATTTCAGGTGAACAAAGTCATAAAAAAGTCACAAATTTACTCCAATGAAGACAAAGTTTTATGACGACAAAGTCAAGATACAACTGATTGGTTTAAAATACTCCTGAGAGAGAGAGAGAGAAGTCTTAAATAAACTTTTACAAAGTTTGGATTTAATGAGAAAAAAGTCAAAACACTAAAAATTTTATAGAATAAAGAAACAAAAAGTCTGAAATAAACAAAGTCGTGATTTTACAGGTAAAAGAGTAAAAAGTCGTAAATTCATGAGAATAAAATCAGAAAAGAGTAAAAATCTTTTTTTAAACCACAATATTAAAAATTTATGAAGTTTAATGAGAATTAAATGATTTATAAATAAAGAGTGACTGAGAGAGATCGAAGCGTTTTCCTCTGAAAGGTTTAATTTAGACGAATCAAAGATAAAAACCACGACTCTACTCTCTGAATCTTCAAACTTTATTTTTATAACTTTATCTTTTCTTCCTTTTTCTTCTTTAAAGCTCCTGTGAGGAACTTTTGGTTTATCTCAACGTTGGCGCCCCCCTGTGGACAAAACGGTCTTAGTATGTTGAAGCTGTGACAAAAACCTCATCCTGCTGACAGTCGAGTGTTCGAGTTAAAGTAAATATCTGATCTGGGAATCGGACACACACACACACACACACACACACACACACACACACACACACACACACACACACACACACACACACACTGTAGTTTTTTAAGACATTAAAAAGAGTAAATAAAGACCCTCTCTGGGGTCTGTGATGGTCTGTGATGGTCTGTGATGGTCTTGTTTACGTTGTGATAAAAACCCTCATTGAAGCTTTAATGCGGCTCAAATCCCGGGTCAGAACAAACTGGGAGTCACAGACCAGGATCAGACTAAGTCCTGCTCACAGGGATGAGACGGTGAAAGTCCTGAGTCTGACCGCCGAGCTGCTGACGAGGTTCTGGAATCGTGACCCGGTCCAACATTTACAGAATCAGAGCCGTTAGATAGTTTGTACCAGTTTGTTCCTGTCATGGTGGTCCAACAAATCCTGTAAGAAACCAAAAACCGGACCCTCCACGGGTGAGGAAGGCCGGCGCCAACGTGACGTCACGTCATGGACAGATTCTTGAAATCACCTGATTGGTCTTCGTTTGTGTCCGTGAACCAATAATTGTCCGTTTAATCGACCCGCGGCGTACTCACCCCTACACATATCCTGTGATGTCATATCCTGCCGCCGTGGGCTTCTTGGCGCCCTGTGCGGCGTGTGCAGTTGACTGTGAGCTTCCCGTGTTACTGCGGAGCAGGGTCGCCCCCCTGCTGGCTGCGTTGACTCCCGCGGCGTGCAGGGTGGGGTTTCGGTAGGTCTGTGAGGCCGTCCGCACCCCTGGACCCGGGATCCCACCGGGAACCGGGTACGGATACCCTCCACCAAGACGCCTCGCACGGCCGCCTTCCTGTTCCTCGCAGCAGGACACGCACAGCATGGCTCCGCCCAGCATGGAAATGAGCGCCGAGGCCAGCCCCACGTACAGACACTCCCCCAGCTCAAACTTCATGCTCGCCGGTAGACTCGGTCGGTAGAAGCTCTGGACCACCTCATGGGTGGTCCACGCCACCGGGATGAGTGACAGGAAGCCTGCGGCGAGGAATAACCCCCCTCCGGTGCCCGCCACTCGACTCTTAACCGTGCCCGAGCCCTCCAAGCAGAGAGTGCACTGCATCCCCAGGACCGCCACGGCGATGGCGAGGATGGACAGGACGAGAGAGATGACCATGAGGGCGCGGGACGCCTGCAGGTCGGAGGGCAGCGCCAACATGGAGTTGTAGGTCTCACACTGGAACGCCCCCGTGCTCTGGTAGACGCACTCCATCCACAGACCGCGCATGTTGGCCACCGCCGTGACGATGTTGGAGCCGATGTGGGCGGAAATCTGCCAGTAAGGAAGGACGGTGGCGACCAGCGTACCGAGCATGCCCAGAAGGCCCAAGAAGAAGCCCATCAGCTCCAGAGCTGCTGACGCCATGGCGAGGAGAGACGAGCGAGTTCCTGTCAAACAAAAGGAAACAGCAGTGAGAACCAGACCCTGACATGGAGTCCACATCAGTCCCCGTCCCCTGACTCAGAGTCCGACTCTGCAGGACGGACCCGTCTGACCAGGATGTCGACACAGTCCGACCTCCAGAGTGGACTCACCTAGATTTAGGGTCTGGATAAACGGCGGCGGCGGGTTGAACTCTTGTGATCAGCTGAGGAGTCCGGCGATCCTCAGAGGAACGGAAAGAAGTCGGTGTAAATTGACACGTTAACTTGAATGGTTATGATCAGCTACGATCGGAGGATATGACCTTTTAGGAGACGATCAGGATGAAGGTGGAGGTCAGGGGTCGGAGGTCAGGGTTTGAATCTGTGTGAAGGTTCAGAGTGTGTCTGTGTTCAAACAGACCATAAACTCCAGAGTCCACCGCTCTGGACTGACCCAGTTATCACTAACCCCCCCAAACAAAGACAGACCTTCAGAGGTGGAGCCACAAATTTAAAGATAACAGACGTCTGAATATTGACGATAAAAACACGATGAAGTGAAGAAGAAGAGTAAAACGCCGAACTCAGAGGCTCCAGAGTCACTCTGAAGGGTTTTTCAGGGATCATGTTGGTCTGAAGACTCCAGATCTCAGGTCCCAGTTTTTTCTCTTCTCGTCACATTAGAAGATTTCTTGTTGATTTTCTCACAGACACTTTTCTGCTCCTCTCACTGAAACCTTCTCAGCTGAATGAAGTTATTAAAACATTTTCTCGTTTACATCTCAGCCAAACATCCGTCATAAATCAGACCTGCAGAGTCTTCTACCTCAGACCACCATAAACCCTCAGACCACTTTCACTCATTACCTGATGAAGCTGCAGGTTCTCAGAGACCCAGACTCCGGACTCCGGACTCCGGACTTCTTCACGATCTCCTGGTCTGCTGAGGAAGAGGTTGATGATGACGGTGAATCCTGCATGAAGATCTCCGGCTCTCCTGCTTCTTCTCGTTCCTCTGGTTGAAACAGTTTCAGACTCAGACCGTTTCTTCAGACCTGACAGAGTCGCAGCTGTTTCTGCAGAACAGAGCGAGTCTGTCGGCCAACAGGAGGAACTCTCTGAACTACAGCGGGACACTCCTCCCAGTCTGATGATGTATATGTGTATATGTACGCCTGTAGAATAATCGACTCAAATCAACACAAATGCAGCAGGAGAGAGAGAGAGAGAGAGAGAGAGAGAGAGAGAGAGAGAGAGAGAGAGTTAGAGTCTGCTGCTGTCCGTCTGTCTGTCTGTCCGTCTGTCCGTCTCAGATGCTGGTCCGTCTTTGTTTAAGTGATCTCTGTCCCTCATCCAGACCTTCACCTCCTGTCAGACACACACACACTGACACTGACACATCTGACAGTCACACACACACACACACACACACACACACACACACACACACACACACACACACACACACACACACACACGGGTTAATCATTCCCTCGTCTCTCTTCATTTGTACAAAAACAGATATGCTCCTCGCCGCTCCTCGCCGCTCCTCGCCGCTCTGCAGGCTCCTGTAACAGGATGAATATTCAGGTTTTTCACTTTTATGTTAATTTGATTGAAAAAAAAAAAAGTGAAATTCAGCAAATTTAGTGAAAACAAACGAGCTCCAGAAACCGTCGCTGTTTCATGTTCAGTCTGCAGAAATGCTCAAAAGTTGCTCGGGAGCATTTCTCCGTGTTTTTTAATTAAACGGGTAATGAAATAAAGTCGCCTGCAGCCAGAAGAAGAAGAAGAAGAAGAAGAAGAAGAAGAAGAAGAGGAAGAAGAAGAAGAAGAAGAAGAAGAAGAAGGAGAAGAAGAAGGAGAAGGAGAAGAAGAAGAAGAAGGAGAAGAAGAAGGAGAAGGAGGAGAAGAAGAAGAAGAAGAAGGAAGAGGAGTAATAACTTTAAAATCCTTTTTTTTTTCAATCTCTTTTAGTTTTAATCAAGTTTCCTGTTTTATTTCTCTTCCTCTGAAACTCGAGGATTGACTTTTCTGTCTGTTTGAAGAGTTTCTGAGTTTCTCTCCATGAAGACGAAGACGCCGTCCTGTCTGAACGTTCATCATCAGGAGGATCGAACTCTGAACTTCATCACTTCAGCTTTTATACACACCTGTGTGAGTGAATCTGATTCTATCACCTGTGCCTCTTATAACCTGATTGGTTATCTACCCACCAATCAGAGGAGAGAACACGCTGTGGTTCTGTTTTGGTCGGTGGCTCTCAGGTGAGAAATCCACATTTGTCAGGACCAGCGCTGCAGCGGTAACACGTCAGTCCTGATGTGATTAAAGGTGAAGTTCGTCAAGTTTTATTATTAGACGATCAAACCCTGAAGTCACATGATCATGAAGTCAGGAGTAAATCCTCGTCCATCAGTGAGAGATCAAACAGTGACGGTAGATTTACTCCTCACTCAGGTACTTTAAGGTTTGAAAATATTAAATATAAAATATTAAAACAAACTTAATAATCTGCAGAGTTCAATCTGTCAAAACTGAATTTTATTGTTTTTAAAGTTAAAGTATTTAGAAATATAATTAGAATTTTCAAGTTTAGTTTTAAAATGATTTTAATTCTATAATTTTAATTCTATAATCCGCAGGTTACAGTGATTTCTATTTAAAGTGGAAAAAATGATCATTTACAGATTTTATTTAGACTCCGGTGACGAAAATCAACTCACGACTTTTTTATATTTAAAGTTAAACAACAAAAACAGAAAGACAGAATCTACAAAAATATATAATAAAAATAATAATATAATACAATATAATAAAAAAAATCTTTATTTTTTTGTTTTTTATTTTGTCTGCTTTGTTTGTTTGTTTGTCGTTGTGTTTTTCCTTCTTTCTTAGTTTCATTTTAAAATAACTGATGTATATTTATTAAATGTCTATATTTTCCACTGTCTAAGTGTGATAAAGTAAATTAAATCACCACTGTAAAGGACATTTATTGATTTTTTAAACGTGTTTTGTTGATAATCTAAATAAATTAGTTAAATTCACATTAATCCCGTTTTTTTAAATCGTGTCGTTTTCTTATTAAATGTTTTCTGAAGTCTTGAGATGTTTTTGGACTCCACACAAACGTCTCTCCTGCTGTCATTACATAATATGAAATACGGCTCAATTAAGCTGACACCAAACTTGGCCGCCGCCGCCTCCTCCTCTGCCGCCTCGCCATCCATCAGCTGTTTGACTGCCTGTCCATCTGAGGACCGCTGACACCCACAAAAACTCCGACACAGACCACAAACACTCACCATGTGGGCTCAGGTGGGCTCAGCTCAGGGTCCCAGGGGTCCATCAGGGTAATCCAGGCTCTTCGTGGTCCATCCGTGTGTTTCCCTGCGGTCACTGTTGATCCGGTCCTGGAGCTCCAGCCTCTAGTTTCTAATCCCTCACATCGCGGCAGCATCATAATGGGATTACCGGGTAATCCAGTCACTTCCCTTCCAGAGTGGACTGAGGGGGCAACGTCCACACACTCGGAAACACTGAGCCTTTATTAGAAACCACAGAGAGGCTTTCTATCCGTGCACGCCGCATATTAACGAGGCCGCCGCTCAGGTCGGCTTGTGACTCCTTTGTTTTTCTGCTGTGAGCGGCTGAAGCTGAGCGACTGTGAACGAAGGAGAGGAGAGCATCAAAACATCACCGTAGAAACACCAGAAACACGTCAGAGCGGCAGAAAACCCACAAAAGTATGTGGACTTTCCAACATGTGATTGTTGGACACGTAATCCCAGAACTATCCGCACTGATCCAGGACCGTGAGAGACCCTCAGTCTTCTGGGAAACCACAAGATTTATGAGTCTGCCTTAAACATGCTCACCGAGGAATAGGTCAAGATAGTTTAGCGGTATCTCACATTTAAGGCCCGGTACCTCCAAGAACCCCAGGATTCAAGTTCTTGGGTCCTAGTTTGGCACTGATCAATGTGCTGTAATATTGATCGGTTGCATGCCAGATCATGGTATGTAACCTTTAGAAACTGAGACCGGATCAGTCCAGGACTCTTCTCCTACAGAGCCATGCTGGTGTCAGAATGTGGTTTGGGATCATATGAAGGTCTGGATGGATGCAGATGTTGCTCCTGAACCTGGAGATATTGTCTAAAACTGAGGATGCAGCATCTATGATTTCCAGTTCTTCGTTGAAAGGACAACTGGACTTAGTTGGGACGTTTCGAAACGTCCCAACTAAGTCCAGTTGTCCTTTCCCAAAGAGTCTTAGATTTTGATCCATCAGACTTCAGGACAATTCACGGATTAAACCCATGCGGTGACTCCAACTCCAGAGTCCAGTTGCTCCTAAACCTGAAGATCCTGTTCAGCATTATTGAAGCCTTCACAGATGTGGAAGACACCCATGACACGGACTCTGATGATCCCCAGAACATCAGGGATGTTGGATTTGGAGGATGTCCATGATCTCCAAAGATGATCTCACAGTTTGATTTGTCTGGACAGTCTGACACGTCGACTCAGTCCATCTCAAACGGGCTCAGGCCCAGAACTGTCAGTTTGATTTCTGCAGGAATATTAGAGCCGAGGCTCCCCGCTGGTGTTTGTGTCGTTCATGAACGATTCTTTCAAAAGAACTGCTGAGTGAACGACCTGAACCGAATCACTCTGAGACCTGATTTGTTCCTGTCTCAGTTCAGCTGAGCTCAGCCACGAGACCGGACAGTCTGAGTATGTTTTCTGTTGAAGAGGATGTAGCTTATTGTACCAACCACTAGATGGTGGTAGTGAGTCGAAAAGAGGTCTCCTCAACTATTTGTATGGTTAAGATTTATGTGGCTGATTGATTAAGGGAAGAGGAAAGCTTAATAAACTTGACAAACACAGATAAGTGACAGACAGCTGTGTTTAGTCATGAACCTGATTTAGTTTGAGATGTTTATTTTCATTTATTTAACCTCATTAAATCACTTCAGATTAGACCTTAGATCTGTAGAGTCAAACATGTTTTACAGATAATTGATGAGCTTCACTTTGTTAAACATCTGTAAAACTATCATGCAGTCCATCATTAATTAGCCTTCGTTTTGACTCATTAATTAACATTTACCTTAACACAGACTGGTTTTAGTGAACTCAACTCTGACAAAAACAACATTTACCATCCCCCAAAATCAAATGATATACACACTTTTGGTGGTGATTTTAGCACTTAATAATAATAATAATAATAATAATAATAGTTATCATTATTATTATTATTGTTGTTGTTGTTGTTGTTATTATTATTCCTTATCACCCCACAAAAAAGTGAGTCCCCACACCATGGTTATATGATCAGGTTAATGTCCCCTAATATCAGTAAAACAAACGCATGCACACACACACACACACACACACACACACACACACACACACACACACACACAGTGATGGAGTTAGAGACAGTCTGTATTAGTACTGAATATGATAAATCAGATTAACTGCATCACTCTTGAAATCTGGATCAGGTCACAAATCAAAGATGTTTTCTTTATAAAAATCATCAAATCATTTGAAAAAGTTTTATAAATGTTAAGTTTTATAAGTTAACTTAATATTAGTGTTATAAAAGTTTCATAATGCTAAAAAAAACAACCTCACATTAGCCTCAGGTGAGTCAAAACGATCGTTCAGGTCTAACTGCAGTCTTTCACAGACACACACACAGAGTTGATAGTAGTTTTTCAAAGTTCGTTCCCTCTCTCTGTGACGCCTAACAAAGCTGGTTAAATGAAACTTTGGAGACATCTAGTGTTCAGTAGAAAAACTGCATGGTTAAAAACCACCAGCTGCTCTCCATGAACATGTCGTTCTTCGTTCAGTTTACAGTTTTCATGATGATTTACGTCAACACCTCATCACACTCATGCATGGATATAAATCCTCTACTTTAGATCCTTTCATGAGGTTAGTGACAAAATTCACCTCCAACTCTGACACTTGACTGTTAAAAATTATTTGTTTTTATGAGTTATCCAGAAGTTTACTGTGTCTTATTGTTGAGTCGGTGCTTCATGCATCAGTGGGGTTAAAATATGCTGTGACCACCGACAAGGATACGGGCGGATTTGGGACATTGTGAGAAGGTCTTTGTGTTTCCTGGCAGCTAAGTAGACTTTGTGTGCATGACCAGCCTGCAGAGTGTTACTTTAGACTGTGTGCTTCAAAGAAGTGCATCTGCTGCAGAGTGTGTGACATGCACTCAGTGCTGTTGGTGGTCAAACTGGGACTTTATCTGCTGCTTTTATCTGATTTTAACTGATGTTGACGTTGTGGAGCCTCTGTGAAGTGCTCGTCTCTGTGCTGTTATATGCACTGTTTTTCTCTGTATTCTATTGCATTTAATCCTTGTTGTAAAGCACTTTGTGATGTTATCTATGAAAAGTGAGGTATAAATAAAATCTACTTAATTAATTACATACAAAGAATTCACACATTATAGTTATTGTTTGACGAAGCTGCAGAGAAAAGTGCAGTATCTGATTCATGTTTTTACTAAAATAACAATCTGAATGTGGACAAAAGTTCAAGTGTTGCTTCATCTGTGGTTCATCTGGTTAAGGTTGGAAACAGCGAACTCCGGTGGCCAGAAATGGGACTGAAGAAAGCTGTGAAAATAGGTGAGCTGCAGCCACACTGAGGAATAATATCTGACAGACAGTAAATTACAGTTTTTTCAGTCTCTAACAATCATTTGTCCGAAACTCTAAACCCAACGATCACAGCATCAGTCTTTTTACCGTTCACACATTTCATGTCATTTTCACACAATATCCAGTCAGTGAACACATTTACACAACACTTACATTACATTAACAGACGAGCGACACCTCCCAACAAAACCATGATTAATTTTTATATTATTTACTAATGTTAACTCACAACATCCCACAATAACAAAAACATTATTTCAAGCCTTAGAAACAGAATAAAAACCTCCTCTGCTGTAATGATACCAGTTCAAAAACAATAAATCTGAGCTGATAATAAACAAACTATTGAATCACTGACACACAGCTGGTTTATGTTGGTAAACTGGGTTTGTATCATTTACATGTTTGAGATTTTTCCTTGTTTTTATTGAATGTTTTAAATATTAACTGAATGAAATAAAGTATGAAAATGAAAAAAATTAGAATATCGGGCCAAAGGTGGATCTGACATCTCAGGTGGATCAACTCGGATAATGTCAGATGTGATGAAAACATGTGGCCTAACCCTGACGATCACAGAGATCAGGTGGGTTTGATTTAGAAATAAGAGTTAGTAAATATTTAACAACATGTGTTTTTAAAAGAAGAGAATTATTGTGTTTGTAGGAGTGAGTCTGTTTAGAGTTTATAAAAAGGATCTGGAGTTTAGTTAAAAGATTGTTAGGGACTGAAAAAAACTGTAATACTCCACGGTCACAAACTCTTTAAAACTTCAGAGGAAGTTTCTCTTTATAACTCTGACTAATGTTGTTATTTATATTCTCTGTATCTGTCTTATTATACCATAGACTGTATATACTATACAGTATATATACACTTCTTTATACAGTCTGTGTTATAGACCTCTCTGTTTGGCGGGTCAGCTGTCAAACTGGTTCCCGCCCCGCAGCAGCCCACCTGGCCAATCACAGGAGTCTACAGTATCGGGTTCTTGCTTCGTTGACCAATCAGGACGTTTCAAATCCAACAGGAAGCGTCGAAGCTCTCCATATAAACGGAGTTAAGCCCCGCCCACAACATCAGGGAATTATGAGACTGAATCGCCCACGAGCCTATATGGGTTCACGTGCTTGACCAGAGCCGATAACTGTAATCGATTAGACTCACCTGGTCTAATTTAACGACATTTAGTACCGGATACCTGATCAATGACTGAAAACAGTCAAAATGTTACCTAAAATCCGGGTTGAACTGCGCTTTCAGACCAAACTGCATTCATATTTTTTCACGTTTTTCTTCTTTTATTTATTTGGGGAAATGGATGAGTTCTTATAAAAAACACAAACTGATATTTAGAAACACTGAAAGTTGTCTTTTAATTCGGCATACACTAAATGTTTTAAAAGAACCTAATACTGGTAATTTTTTGACAAATCAAACTGGTACTCGGCTGTTTTCTAGTCTAAGATACAGTGTTGAAGGCAGTGAAAGAACACAAGGGAACGCGCTTTTAACTTTGCTTTTTCTGTGAACTTATTGTTTTATGTCGATTTAGCTAAAGCAGATTTTAGGAGTATAACCAGCGTTTTGGAGCAGTATGACTCAGGCTTTCGTGAGTCACACATTTAAACGGATTAGTCCGGGTCAGCTCCAATCTCCATGTTTTTGAATGAGGATCGTCGGTGTGATGCGCCAGACCTAGTTTACACTCATCATACCCCCAGGAGGCTCTGCTTCCCAGCCCCTTTGTTCAGTCTAGCCGGTGGGTTGAGTCAGAGGGAGGCTGTGCTAACCCAACAAACCCATACCATCGTGGGAACACGGGCAGGAGAGCGAAGAGGCCAGAAAAACACCGAAAACCGGACAGTTTGGGCGGAAAATCGGAGGCAGACGAGAGAAAAGTTGGCTTTGAGTGTCGCTGATGCTGCGTTTCATTTTCACCGATCATCCGGATGTTTGTGTGTTTTAGTTCTGGATCCTGAAGCTTCATGTCGAGGATCTTCTCCCGGTGGTCTCTGCTTTAGCTCCCCGGCTGACTGAACTGAACCGGCGGACTATCTAACCCTCATCCCCGCCGGTCTGCTGTGTGTGTCTGTGTGTGTCTGTGTGTGTGTATCTGCTGCTGCAGTTGTTGTTTCCATCCTCCTCACTGACGGACTGACTCTCAGTTTCTGCTCAGCATCCATATTTGCATCCCAGGGAGTGGCAACCACTAATCCCCCTTTGGCCTGGGAAGAAACCTGAAAGTTGGCCGGTTGTCGGACACCCCTCGGACGCTTTATTTCCCCCTGAAAGGTGAGTTTAATCCCGCAGTTTTGTGTCTTTGTGCCGTTTTTGTTCAGGGGGGAGACTGTGTGTTGAAGTGAAGGACAGCTTTAGGACCACGTTGCCGCAGTCGCTACAACAATGGATCAAAGTGTCGTTGTGTTGGATTTAGTGGAGGTGCGCATTATCATCCTCTGAACATCAGGGATCCATCTGATGCTTAATCCGAGTTTATCGGGGGTTAGTCTCAGGCTGAGCTGAAATCTCAGTTTAGGGCCTCACAGCCATCATTGTCGACAGCTTCATGTGGATTCTGAGTTCTCTATAATCAAACATGTTTGTAATAATCTGTATGAGGTTTAATGAAACAGGAACAGATTAACTGCCCAGATTGGTAGTCTGCCTGGTTTCTCCCCTAATTCTCCCTGCCCGGTCTAACAGCCTGATCCAGATGTGTGTTGTTTATTGTGGGCTATAACGGCATTAGATCTCCTTAATGGGCTTTGGGCCATGATTTGTAGGCCATGCTCCACTTGGGCACCGGCCTACATAGCCTGGGTTTGATTATTACTCTGCTAAAACTGACCATTAATAAAATATACAAAGCTTTGGCGTGGAACAGGTCGGTCTACGCCTGTAAATATGCAGTTATACGCTGATATTTACAGGTATTTGGATAATGAAAACACTTGAAACTCAAATATCTTCATTTTTGGGAGTTTTTTTTGGTGCTGTTATGACGTTAATCTGTTCAGCGAGGACGTTTGATACGCTGACCTGAAACAGAAGTAAAGTGAGGTTTATAAGTGGGATCCTAAATCCGATAATCCTGCGATAAAAGAAACACAAATAATGGAGATTATTGAGTTTAAAATGTGCATGAGGCCCACAGAACAACCAGAACCAGGGTTAGAGGAGGATCAGGTGTGTGTTAGTGAAGCAGAGGGACACAGTGAGCATGCTCAACAAAGCTGCAACGTTTACAACCATCAGTGATGAACCAACACCTTAAGGTCCATATCAGAGCAGAACAGAGACGACCCAAATGGTGGTTCTACAGTCCTGGACCAGAGCCCATCAGTCCGTTTCCATGACAACTGAGAAAACCGAATTATCGCCTTATTCCGATTAAGACAACTGAAGTTCATATAAACACTTTAGTCCGACTATAATCAGAGTTTAAGAACTCCGATTAAGACACCCAGATAATGCGATTGGAATTTGATTTTCTATGATCGGACAGTGCATGTGCGCCACGCCCCCGTAACCCGATGTAGCGCGTCCATCATGTCGGACAAAAACAACGCTGTACGATGCTCCATCTTCTTGTTTCTCCAAAATGCCCAGCAGCAGTTGTAGACACTTCTGACGTCTGACACCGACCTGCTGTTGTTGTTGACATTTGTAACAGACCCATATCGCCCCCTAGTGTTGGGGAGGAGGACACGTTCATGTCAAAATTATGAATTATGAGTTTAGTCTGATTAAACTGAGACTGTAAACGAACTGAGTGTCTCATTAACTCGACGTTTGCTGTAATAAGCAGCCAGGAACACAGACAGGAGCCAGAACCAGGACCACAGTGTTACCTGTGAAGTCTGCAGCACGGCTCCTCAGAGCCAGGTGGGAGGGGTATCCAGGAGTATTTCAGGGTCCCAGATCTCCCAGTGGTCCTTTGTTTTTGTCTTGGCAGATGAGATTAAAGTAGAAATGCAGACGGGGGACAAGAAAGGAGGCGTCACAATAAATCTGAATATTTATCATCGTGTCAGCGGCGTTCAGAAACACGCAGCTCTGTCAGGGTTTGTAGACGTGAGCTGCTGGAAAGAGAAGTTTTCTTTTAAATGTAAAATACTCTCAACCTCTCCTGTCGTATCACCTGAGAGTCACACCTCCTGCAGTGAGAAATAACTGTGGCCTTTTCACACGTTCACGTTCTTAAATAATGTGTTGGCACGATGTAAACAATGGAACAGTGCAGCTGCAAAGTGTGTCGAAGAAAAGAAAACATGAGAGTATTTACATGACAGGGTTATACAGCAGTCTGCAGAAGACTGTGAGTGCATCAAAATAAGTCAGTAAAGATCCATGAATGAGTATTAAAACGTAACGATAATAATAATAATAATAACTTTATTTGTAAAACATTTAAAAAACAGACAGAAAACAAACGTACAGTGAAGCTGCAGAAGAACAGACCCTGATTTTATGTTTCAGAGAAATGATTCACGGCTCAGTGGGTTTAGGGTGTTCAGGGATCTTCTAAATTAAAGGTGAGCGGCACCTCTCCGTCCATACAGGTGTGGAGGTCACATGACTCATGAACAGTCTACCTTTAAGAGACGACGGACTCAGAGTGACTTTATTCATCTCTGCAAGAAATCAGCTGATGTCTCATCCAGACAGAACCACCCTGGGTTCTGTTCTGCAGAACCACCTGCTCATTAAACATCATCACGTCTGTGTATGTACATTATATTTGTGCATATGTGATAGATTCAAAACAGTATCCATGGTAACGACAACTAAAGCGTCTCATTCTTCTTTTGATGGTTATTTTGAGTATTTGAATGTGTACGACAGTATATACAGTCCTCTGGTTCTGGTTTGTCTCCATGACTGTGAACTCTTGAATGTCTGAGAGTAGGGCTGGGCAATATGTGAAAAAGTTTATCATGATATATTATTGATTTCCTATCAGCTGATATGGATCAATATCAGGATATAAAAATCTAACAGTGTTTATTGGTCTCATGTCTTTTCCAACACAATAATCTCCTGCATCTGTGAGGTCTTTGTGTCTCTTTGGCGTTTTGTCGTAAGGCGTCGCTCTAGAGAAAGCCGACTGAATGGTCGTCTGTTTCAGGCGCCACGGGCTCCTCGCTCCTCTCGGGGTTGGTAACCTTTGGCGTTGCGCGTGCTCTGCGGCGTGGCGCTGCTTCAGGTGGTGAAAAAGATTTGAGGTATTCCCCGACTTTGTGAGAACATGTACTCGACATAATTTACAGTCCACATTACTCTGCTTCATGTCCGACCTCCAAAAACCAAAATACCTCCACACCACCGACGTTTTCCTAACGCCAGTGTTGTGGTTGACATTGATGTGGTCATCTGTTGAGCCTTCATGGTCATTTCTGTCGGGGGTAGCACTCATTTTCTTTGTTTCTCACCAACAGTGCTGTCGGCTTCACCTGTTAAAGTGCTATGGTTGGGTGGAGCTGCTGTCTGCTCAGTCGGTTGATTCTTGGTTCTAATCGTTCTGATCGTTTTATCGCCTAGTGTGTCTAAAAGAGGTGAGCGCTCCTGTGGGGCTCAGTCCTGCAGCTCAGTGAAATCAGCCTGTTTGTTGAACAACCTCCAGGCCTTCGTTGGTTGGTGAATCGGTTCGTTCATTCTTTCGTTTGTTGGTGTGTTCGTAGGTTTGTTCGTTAGTTGGTTTGTTGGTTTTGTTGGTTGATTACTTTGTTGGGTCATTGGTTTATTGGTTGGTTGGTTGGTTTGTTTGTTTGTTCGTTCGTTGGTTTGTTGGTTTGTTGGTTTGTTGGTTTGTTGGTTCATTGGTTGGTTGGTTTGTTGGTTGGTTTGTTGGTTTGTTGGTTTGTTGGTTCATTGGTTGGTTGGTTTGTTGGTTGGTTTGTTGGTTTGTTGGTTTTGTTGGTTGATTACTTCGTTGGTTTATTTGTTGGTTTGTTGGTTTGTTGGTTTGTTGGTTTGTTGGTTTGTTAGTTCATTGGTTCATTGGTTGGTTGGTTTGTTGGTTTGTTGGTTTTGTTGGTTTTGTTGGTTGATTACTTCGTTGGTTCATTGGTTGGTTGGTTAGTTTGTTGGTTTGTTGGTTTGTTCGTTCGTTCCTCTGTCACCTCCTGAATCCTTTCAGTCCCGTTTCTCCTCCTCTCTCTCTCTTCCACCAGCTCATCATGGAGAGTGACAGCCTCCTCCACTCCCACATCTAGTGCCTGATCCAGAAGCCTTCATCATCAGGGAGGAGCTCTCAGGTCCTGGCCGTCTTCCCTGCCTCTCTAGAATGAACATGCTGAAGTCCAGCGGACTGAAGATCCCTGGCCGGGGGCCCAAACATTCCAGCCCAGTGGGGAGGACCTCAGCGGGAGGAACCTCCAGCCCCGTGGTCCCCAAAGACAGTGAGTTATACTTCCTGCTTCTGAAAACAGAAGGAGTTTCTCTCCTTCTCCTCCGGAAGTTTCTCAGTGTGATAATAACTCAGCCGAACACAGCTGCTTCACATTACACACACACACACACACACGCACACACACACACACACACACACACACACACACACACACATTAACAGGAAGTGTTGTCTTCAGCTGCTGACTGTTGATTCATGTGAGAAAGGGTCTCCGTTCATTTCAGTGTTAAAGAAAAGTTCAGATTTATCTCTCAGGTGGAGCGACTTTCATTAAGTTCAGGATGTTGAGTGGAGTTCAGTGGGTGTCCTCTTTATGTTTGGTGTTTTTTTTAGTTTAGGGTCAAATTAAAACCACCAATTTAGGGTCAAACCCACCATAAGTTATACCAAGTTATACCAACTTTAGTAACGACCACAGGATAACAATACACAGCGGTCTGAGGAGCCATAAACAAACCTCAACCAAAACGCCACTCTATTTCCATTACAGACTACAGCGGGGTGCCGCAGCTCAAGGAAGAACATTTATGATCATTTCTTCATGGAAATACAATCAGACCGAGACGCTAAGACAGAAGAACTACCGCGTCTGTAAAATGATCAATATGGTGATTATTACTTCAATGATAAAGAAACGTATTTTCTGTTTGACGCTGACTGAACGCGCTCAGCATGGCGCCTGAAGGCATCGTCATCTCCTCGCAGGGGAATCTAAATACAAACATCTCTACGGTTCTCAGGACAAAGAGAGTAAAATAAGAAAATAAAACCTAAAATCTGTTTCTTTTTAAACCGATTTTTCAGTTTTTACCGATTTTCTCCTCCATCATGTCTCTAAACTAACGAAGAAACAGTTCGACTCTTTTTCTCGTCTTTGTCCAGAAAATCAAAAACGTGTTTTTCCTCCAAACTGGATTTATCAACGATTTCAGGCTCATATGAGAAACAGAGAAACAGAACGGGGACATGTGGACATGTGGACATGTGGACATGTGGACTTTGACCTGCTGCTGCTAAAATCCGACTAACAAAAATAAACATCACAATGAAAATCTGCTCAGAGTCGGCACAGATGTTTGTTTATCCACCGCAGTTTTAGCTCAGGACTGAAACTCACACACACCACAGATACTGGAGGGGTGTGTGTGTGTGTGTGTGTGTGTGTGTGTGTGTGTGTGTGTGTGTGTGTGTGTGTGTGTGTGTGTGTGTGTGTGTGTGTGTGTGTGTGTGTTTGAGGATGTTAGGGTTCATGTTGAAGGAGGAACTTTGGTCCTTGGGTTCTTTAGATTCTATTACACGATACTTAACCCAGTACATTAATAACATTATAATATTAAAATATTATTATAATTTGATTATGGATCTGTGAAAATATTATTTTCTATTCTATTCTATTATAATACTATTTTAAATATATATCATAATATAAGTAAATATCCTTTATAATATAATTACATATCTATTTTAATCTATTATAATATTATATATCCATTATAACAGTATTATAATACTATTACATATATATTAGAATATTTTTATAATATTAATATATTTCTATTATAATATTATTATACATCTATTATTATAGTATTGTGATATTTATATATTTTAGTTACAAAATTATTACAATATTTTTAAATAGCTATTATAACATATTTATAATATTAATACATTTCTGTTATAATATTATGATAATATTATTGTTTTTTATTATAATATATTTATAATATTAATATATTTCTATTGTAATATTATTGTTTTTTATTATAATAGTATTATAATATTAATATATTTCTATTATAATATTATTATACATCTATTATAATAGTATTATAATATTAATACATTTTTATCATAATATTTTTAGTCGTAGTAGAAATGAAGGTTTAGGTCCAGGTCTCTGCTCTTGTGTTTCTTCTTCTTCAGTTTCAGGCTCTAAACTTCAGTCGGTCTCGTCCCTGTTGGTTTTGTTTGATTCTGATTTTATAAAAAGGTAATAAAACAAATTTCTGTCTGTTTCTCAGAGTCAAAAATCCCCTACAGGAGCTTTAAGAGGCTCTGACAGTGTCGTCTGTAAATGCGTCTGTCCTCTGGTCTGGTGACGGTTTTTCCTTGTTCGTGTTTCTTTGTTGATTTTCTGTGTTTCTGGAGCCACAGTGGTATTTAATAAATAAACATATATTTACATGAATGTATATTTAGTCCTCAGTCCTGGGACACTCCTCCTCCTCCTCCTCCTTCAGCAGAGATCAGTTTCCTGTCTCTGATCGTCTGAACCCTGACCCGGCCTCGTCCTCCACTCTGTTTGTTGGTTTTCTGTGGGAGGGGGTCTGAAGCTGGCAGAGTGAACTTCCTGAACTTAAAGAAGTGTTTCCACAGAAAGAGAGCGAGCGGTGGAAAAGATCCCGCCTCCTTTGAGCCGCGTTTGATGTGGAAATAGCTGAGCTGTCGCTGCGCCACGTCTCTGCTGACCTTGGAAGTGAGCGTCTCAGCAGAAACATCATCTCAGACTCGCTCAGAAGCTGCCGAGTTTATCTCAGATTTACTCGTTCTTCACCTCAAACTCGCTCACCGTCTCCGTTAGTTCTGGATTGTCCTCAGTCAAAGGTCCAGAAACAGAAGCTCTGGACGTTCAGGATGAAGGTGGAAATTAGGGGTAAACCTTGAGATGTTGTTTGAAACTGAGGATGAAGCATCTAGGATTTCCAGTTCTTCGTTGAAAGTCCAGTTGTCCTCTCCAAAAGAGAGTTAGATTTAGATTTTGATCCTCAGAGGAACGGAAAGAAGTCGGTGTAAATCGACACGTTAACTTGAATGTTTACGATCAGCTACGATCGGAGGATACGACCTTTTAGGAGACGATCAGGATGAAGGTGGAGATTGGGGGTTTGGGTTGTGATGGAAAGTTCTGGTTTTAGTCCCTCATGGACTGGTCTACGGTGGACACAAGAGTCTTAGATTAACGAGGAAACCAGATTATCGTGTTTATGTTCTTCGGTGAGTGAGATTATAGTGTTTTTGGTCTTATTTGATCCAGTAAAATGAAGGTTCAGGAGTAGGCGGGTGGGGGGGGCAGAAACATACTAAGGGAGAGTCCAGCCCCCCCGCTCCTGCTCCTGCTCCTGGTTTCTGACCCTGTACATTAACCTTCAATTAAAGACTGTAAAGAGCATCTGTCTCCTCCTGCTAACTGAGCGACCTGGTCCAGAACAAAACCAGGATCATAAATGATCAGCGCCGGAGAGCGAGCAGAGGGGGGGGGGGGGCGGTTCTGTGGAGGTTTCATTGTGCTGAGTGGATGAATAGTGGGATTCAGATGGTGCTGGAGGAGGAGGAGGAGGAGGAGGAGGAGGAGGAGGAGGAGCAGCACAATAGTCAAAGTAAGGACTGTGTTTCTTCGCTCCGCTGAGGATCCTTTTACCCTCGCTCGCCTGTTGCCGCGGCAACCTAAAATCATGGGTTAGCTGAGTCTTTTAAAGACTACCCTGGGATCACATGACGCAGCGCTCGGTAATAACTGAGTCTGATCCTGAGCAGAACTAAAGAAGGTTCTCCAACAACAAACGAGGCAGGATCAGGTCCTGTTCAGAACCAGAACTTTCTAGTCCTTTTGGGGGGGTGGAGGGTTTTCTACAGGAAGAGTGGATCAGATCAGCAGGTCAGACCAGGACCGTGGACGGGGTCTGAACTGATCAGGTCATAAACATGTTCTAGTCTCATGAATCAGATCCTGTTTTGACAGGATCAGACTGTCAGTCAGATCCTCTCTCATCACTTCAGTGTTTGATCTTGTTTTGTATCTCAGTCTATCCTGTTTTTACAGGATCTTACTGTCTCCTCTCTCACTCTGTTACCCTCTGGTTCCCTGTCTTCTCATCTTGTTCTTGTTCAGTTCTCGGTGTGAAGACGTTGACTTTCCTCCGTCACTGTTGTTGCTCATTTTAAAGGTTTTTTATATCTGATCACAAACTGAACAAAAGTAACAGAACAAACAACATGATCGTGTGCAGAAGTCTGAATTCAACACCGTAGACCAGGAAGGAGCTTTATGACTTTATCTCACTCAGGATGGATGGTTTTTTATCCTCCATGTTTTTACTCCATCTGATGAAGCTCCAGCTGTCTTTAACCTTCAGATTTACTGGAATAAAAAACTGATTTATTTTAGTTCTTCACAAACATGAGAGTTAGAGGAGACCTGGTCAGAGTGTCTGTGTGCAGAAATGTAAATAAATATATATTTATATATCAAACATGTTTGACACTTTGGACTCTGAACTGACCCAGAATCTTAGATAAAGACCTCTGAGATAGACGGGGTCCTGGTTCTGTTCTGAACCCTCTCTGGAGGGACCTGGTCTCCCAGCTGTGGGTCGAACTCTCTCTTGGACTGATCGCTGATGTTGATGCTGTTTGACAGTTTCCTCCGGGCGACTCTCATTCTGACGATTAATGAAGAACCTGAGTTCTCCCAGGGTCCGCAGAACGTCGATATCTGTTAGACGGACTATTGATTATAGCGACTCAAACATCCTGGATTTAATAATAACAATAATAATAATAAAATATTTACTGTATTAAACATTCAGGATTTATATTTAATAATAATTAAAAAATAAAAGAAATTAAATAATAATAATAATAATTTATAAAATATTTACTGACTCAAACATCCAGGATTTAATAATAACAATAATAATAAAATATTTACTGTATTAAATATCCAGGATTTATATTTGATAAAAATAATTTAAAAAATAACATAAATTAAAAAAGATAGAATATAATAATAATAATAAAATTGTTATTATTATAAAATATTTATTAAAATATTTATTGACTCAAACATCCAGGATTTATATTTAATAATAATGAAAAATAAAATAAAATAAAAATAATTATGATAATAATAATTTATAAAATATTTACTGACTCAATCATCCCGGATTTATATTTAATAATAATTAACAAATAACATATATAAAATAAAAAATAAAATAAAAAATATTTTTATTATTATTATTATTATAAAATATTTATTAAAATATTTACTGACTCAATCATCCAGGATATATAGTTAATAGTAATAATAATTATTATTTTGATAATAATAAAATATTAATTTATCCAGGGTTCATGTTTACTGCCTCAGTTCTGGTTCTGTCTGTTGTGGATCTGCGTCTGTATCCTCTGAACCTGTCCTCTGAAAACTCTGTAAACTTCTCCACATGTGCGAACGATTGAACCTCCAGGTGATTCCGGAGTGTCAGGTCTTCCTCAGGGTGTCAGAGAGGCAGACAGCGCGGGTACCGCCCACTTTGGCGAGCACAAACACAGATGACCAGACTGTCACTGCAGCAGACGTCACACTGATGGAGCTCTGCTCGTGTGTGTGTGTGTGTGTGTGTGTGTGTGTGTGTGTGTGTGTGTGTTAATCAGCAGCACTTCACAGATACGGCGGTCTCGCTCTGACCCAGTTTTCAGAGTGACGCCTCGTCACGCACAAACCACACTGTTGTCCCGCACACTGACACACAAACAGGTTTCTCTCTGGGCTGGCACGAGTGCTGGACTGGGAACGAGGGAGCGGAGCGGGTACAGAGTCCGCTCTGTTCCAGACCAGAACCCCCACCAACACCACCCTCCATCAGTTTCTTATTTCAGCTTAATTTTCTCCGCCTCTCTTTTTTAGATGTTAATAAAATGTTGATAAAAAACAGAGTTTGAACGTTTGATTATTGATTAATTTAACTGAAAGTAGAAAAAGAATCAGAGTGAAAAAGTGACGTTTTATGAAGCTGTCGTCGTCATGGTAACGTGGTCGAGTCAAAGAGTTTACTGAGAGACTGTGTGAGCGAACAGTTCAGGACAGAGTCTGGATGTGTTGGTTTTCAGAGAACTGGGAGGAACCTCTGTACAAAAGGGGCGGGGCTTCACTCTGCACGCCCCTCAGGCAGCACTGCATTAAAATCAGACCGGACTCTGCAGTGGGAATCAGCGCATGAGATCAGAACCACTTCAGAAACCATGATCGACACCGGTCTGGACTGACCTGGTCTCTTTAAAAACCTGCAGACAGACAAACAAAAACTGACCCCCGACCTCCACCTTCATCCTGATCGTCTCCTAAAAGGTCGTATCCTCCGATCGTAGCTGATCGTAACCATTCAAGTTAACGTGTCAATTTACACCGACTTCTGTAAATCCTAGATGTCTATTGTATCATAGATAAAACCATGACTCCCTGACGTAGAGGTCGGGTCAGAACCCGGCGGTCCTGCAGAACTCTGAGTTGATGGTCCAGATTCCTGATTTCTCTCGTTTCTCCTCCTCACAGACGCTCCTCTCAAACCCACCACGCCGACCAAACTCACGGAGGAGGGGGACGATGTTCTGGGGGATTACACGGTCGGCGAACAGGTCTGGGTCAACGGGGTCAAACCAGGAGTTATCGCCTACCTCGGGGAGACCCAGTTCGCCCCCGGACAGTGGGCCGGCGTGATCCTGAACGACCTAGTTGGCAAGAATGACGGTTCAGTGGGCGGCGTGCGCTACTTCGAGTGCCAGCCCCTCCAGGGGATCTTCACGCGGCCCTCCAAGCTCAACCGACAGCCGGCGGGCGAAGGAAGCGACAGCCTGTCCACCGACTCCGTCTCTGCGCACAACCAGAGTCAGCAGGGCGGCGGCGGCGGTCCCCAGAGGGTGGTGGTGACTCTGAGAGAGGGGCTGCTCAACAGTGCGGTGAAGACGGGGAACGAGTCCGGGTCCAACATGTCCGACAGCGGGTCCGTGAAGAAGGGAGGGGAGAAGGACCTGAAGGTGGGAGACCGGGTTCTGGTGAGTAACCGTGTTCTGGTCTGAAGGGTTCTGAGACAGTTTAAGGTCCACATCAGATCCACACTCAGATAATGGCGGCAGAAGCTCAGGAGGCGGAGCGGTCGGCCAATAACCGGAGGGTTGGCGGTTCGATTCCCCCGTCTCCTGAGTCTGTGCGTCGTGTCTCTGAGTAAGACTCTTAACCCACCTCTGTTCCCAGTGTGTGTGTGTGTGTGTGTGTGTGTGTGTCCTCACTGGTGTGTGATTGTGAGTGTTGTGTGATGGTCAGAGAGGCTGTAGGCGCAAACTGGCCGCCATGTTTCTGTGAGTCTTCCTGAGGTCAGCTGATGATGGATCCAACGAAAAGAGCTTTGAGGGTCTGAGAAAGAGTTATATGAGATCTGATGCTTTATTATTATTATACACAACATGACCACCAGGGGGAGGAAGGGGTCGACCGTTCAAGTTAACGTGTCAATTTACACCGACTTCTTTCCGTTCCTCTGCGGATCGCCGGACTCCTCAGCTGATCACAAGAGTTCTATTTTTTCTGGACGCCGGAGCATGGCGGATAAATTCAGCACAGATTAACCCGTGCTGGAAAGGAAGTCGGGCACAGACTTCAAAATAAAACATCCGGCTTCTTTTCAAAATAAAACACTCCGTGTTTCAGGAGGATCGTATTTCACACCATGCAAACGGGCGGAGACGAACAAGTGAAAGGTTTTTAGACGTCATTTCACCCCGATGACACCATGGATGAGGAGATGCTGATTCTAGAAGTCTAGAAGTAGATTTCCTCCTCTGGAAGGACACAATCTACTGCTTATATGTCTATATGTCTGTCTTTAGAGAGACACTCGTTATCGTGTGATTGAACGTGAATCTGCGGGTTCTTGCGTGCTCTTGCGATTCCTGCTGTCTGTAATCCGCCACGAAATTCACCTCACAAACAGATCTGGTACGAATTGTCGGACAGTGAAAATCGGCGCCGTTCTGGATGTGGTGAAAATTGGCGGTCAGAGTTTGATCACCTTTTGTTGGCGAGTGTTCCTTCAGGTGAACTTTTCTAACTCAGGGATCTTCTCCAGATCATCCCGATCTTTGGTTTGTTCTTCGTCTGAGAATAATTTCATCCTGATCGGACAGACATGAGCGTCTCACTCTCTCAAACAGGAAGTGGTTGTTGTCGATGGTTAAATTCACGCGGTCGCCTCGTTCCTGGTTCTTCTGCAGATGTTTGAGACTCGGATCTTCTTCAGAGCTTCTGTGTTTGTTTGAGTCTCAGAGGAAGATTGATTTCAGGTCTGAGGAGATCTCCTGATGATGGAGGAGAAACCTGAGAGGAGCTCCGTCCCTGAGGAGACGCTGCTCCTCACTGAAATCTGAGGTCAAAGGTCACGCTGACATCCTCTGAGTCTGTTTGGACACAGAGGAGAGGAACACCTGATCCAGTACAGACGGGCCGCTCCAGAACCGCCCTGCTGGTCAGTCCTGTAGATCAGAGCGGATTACTCTGAGCACTTAGAGGAGGAGAGCCGATCTGACATATTGATCAGTGGATCATTGATCTCCTGAACCTCTCCTGGGTCATCCATCCTCTCTGCTCTGAAACACGACACCGCCGCAGAACCCGGAGAACCCGGAGAAACGAGACGAACTCTGATCCGGATCAGACGGTTTCTGACGTGGACTCCTGTAGACCACGTAAACTAGTTCACTGGATTATTTAGTTTTTATCTATATTTGTGGTTCTGTTCAGTTTAAATGTTTTTATATTTTTTTAAGTTTTATTTTATTTTATTTTATTTATTTACTTTATATGTTAATAAAATGTTAAACTGATCTCGAGTTTCTTTAGTTTTTAGTTCAGATGCTTTAAAACATGTAGTTTAAAAAAAATCGTGAAAATAACCGAGATCGGACGATACGACAAAATCTATCATGATCATCTTTTTTTTGTCAAATCGCCCAGTCCGACCTCAGGTCACATTTTAGACTCAGACTCAGACTCAGACTCAGACCTGGTCCTCAGAGCTGGAGGTGTAGATCTGAACTGTGAGTCACCCTAATGTGTGGACCACATCAGCAGGTCCAACGTCCCAGACCAGGAGGTCCTGAACCTGAGACCGACAGGATGAAACGTTTCTCAGGTTTATCAGCTGGTGTCTGAGATTTTAAAAACAGATGTTAGTTAGTTAGTTAGTTAGTTAGTTAGTTAGTTAGTTAGTTAGTTAGTTAGTTTGTTTGTTTGTTTGTTTGTTTGTTTGTTTGTTTAGTTAGTTAGTTAGTTAGTTAGTTAGTTAGTTAGTTAGTTAGTTAGTTAGTTAGTTAGTTAGTTAGTTAGTTAGTTAGTTTGTTTGTTTGTCTGTTTGTTTGTTTGTTTGTTTGTTTGTTTGTTTGTCCGTTTGTTTGTTTGTTTGTTTGTCTGTTTGTTTGTTTGTTTGTTTGTTTGTTTGTTTGTCCGTTTGTTTGTTTGTTTGTTTGTCTGTTTGTTTGTTTGTTAGTTAGTTAGTTAGTTAGTTAGTTAGTTAGTTAGTTAGTTAGTTAGTTAGTTTGTTTGTTTGTTTGTCTGTTTGTTGATCTGAATATTCAGCAGAGTCGTTTCCTCGCACACAGCGGTGACCTCGAGGGTCGAACCCATGACTGGTATCTGCAGGTCTGCTGCTCTGAGTCTAGACCCCGAGGCGGTCTCTGCTAACGTAGACTTTGGTTCAGGATCAGAGGGTCCACATGTGACCCTTTGATTTCACCTCCTTGTTTTCTTCTTCTTCTTCTCTTCCTCCTAATTTTGTCTCACAGAGTTCTCACTGTTCACCTTTAGCTCTTCAGCACAGAGGTTCATCTCTTTATCTGAGGGTCACGGTGCTCATGGGAAATGTAGTCCTGATCCCTGAGGTCGGGGTCTACAGGAAAACCCCTGACTGTGGCTTTAAACCTGATAGACCACGTTCAGATGTTGGTTAAACCAGAACGTCCTTTCCTCCAGTGATCCGGTCCGCCCTCTTCTTCACGCCCACACCCTCTGAGGTGAAATGCATCATGGGATATTCTGCAGTTCTCCAGTCCGTCCTTCTCTGGGACTTTAATCCCGGACTAACAGGGTCCACGTCCGTCTGGACCAACAAAAGGACTCTCTGCAGACCAGCTTTAACCACAGCGGAGGTGGATCAGGTCTCTGGATCTAGTCCAAGTCCCTTTGACCCGTCAGTCCCAGACTTCAGACCACAGGATCCAGAACAGGGTGTGGTCTGACTCTGACTCACTGAGGCGGGACTCAGTCAGACTGACGGCGACCGTCTCAGCGTAACGTCTCCTGACAGCAGAGGACTTCCTGCCACGCTGTCCTCTCTGGTCCTGGTGGGTCTGGAGTCTGAGGGGGGACCGCAGAGACTGAGTCAGACCCTCTAAGTCCAGACGTCTGTAAATAAAGGTTTTTAAACGTCTGTTCACGCTCACAGAGGTTTCTGTCGTTCTCGGTGTGTTTCTGTGTTTGGACGTTTCCAGATGTTGAGGAGGAGGTTCTTGTGTGTCCCACATGTGGACTCGGTCTGTGAGTGAGACCCAGGAGCTGATCCAGAGAGGTTCTGATCTAGATGAAACACGTCTATACTCCTCACGGCGTGGAGCTGCTGAGTGACCACGAGGCTCAGAAACGCAGATCCTTCCCCACATTAACGTTAAAATAACCGTCAGGAACAACAGTCAGGACTTTATATAAACACACATATATATATAATAATATAAAGTTATAATTATATATTTACTCTCTTAACCCTCTAGAACACGAGCGCTGAGATCAGTAACACCATCACTGTCACTATCAGGTGATTTTTACCTGAAATAATGAACCCGAGAAAAAGTTTTTATCACTAAAATATATAAAAATAGGAGAAAACATAAAAAATTAAAGTCGTTTTCTTTTATTTTTAACAGTTTTATGTCCAAAGGGAGAAAAATAAGGGCCATGAGACCAAATAAAAATACAACAAAAAAACTGAAATTAGACATTCAGCAACAAAAAAATCCTAAATAAATAAACACAGATTTATAAACTGTAGTTATTTTTTTTCCAGCCCTTCCTGGTTCATGTCAGTTTTCCTGGTTCAGACTCCGGGTCCTCGGCACAAAAACAGGTTTGGTGAAAATCACTGAACCTGCAGATAAAACAGAAAGACGCTCAGACAGAAACTGATTTATTTCATTTTCAGCTCATTTGTCTAAAGAGCTCTCTGCTGTTTTTAGTTCCTGTTCGTTCTGGTTCTCGGCGGTAATTGGGGTAAAATAATCGTCCTAAAAAGGCGAGAAATCATCACACGGCGGCGTTTCCTCTGCAGGGCGGCAGACGTGTCTGAACCGTCTTTTTTTTTATAAACATATATTTTATTTTCAGATTTAAATAGAACGAAACATCATTTTAACTTTAATAAGGTAGAAAATGACGAGAAAAGGATCAAACATGAAGGACAACGAAACAGAAAGAAGAGTAAACAAAGAAAAACAACAACAACACAACAGTGTGTCATCAGTTAAAGAAATGTGTGTCCTTGTGTTTATAAAGAGGTGTTTTTGTTTTATCGTTCGCTCACTCTGGGACCCCCTAAACCGTCTCTCCTCTGAATCGTCTGTTTTTGAGCCTCCGTGTACGAAATCTTTGAGTTACCGAGAAAAGTGAACGAGTCACGGAGAAGATCTGTGAGAGGAACACCAGGGAGAGGGACCAACAGCAGGGTCTGTGGTCCACTTAGTGAGGGGGATTGTGGGAAATGTGGTCCAGAAACTGTCCAGTATGATATCCTTCAAACTCCAGGACAGTAAACCGGGTAAACCAGGACCGCCGTCCTCCAGGACTGAAGTCTCTGAAGGATTTCACTCTTAGACCAAACCATCAAAAAACCGGACCTTCTCACCTGAGGTCTGAGCAGAGTCTGGATCTGGAGTTCTTCAGGACCACTAAGGAGCGCCCCTGTTTGGTTCGGGTTCACATCAGTCAGGCGGACGGGTCCTGGATTATCAGGATTGGTTTTATTGAGCGGTAGGACTGAGTGTCGTCGGCGTAACAGAGAGAACAGAGGTGGACCAAGAACTGGACCTTGGGGTTCTCCATTTGGAGTTGAGGAGCTGGATCAGGAAAACCGGTCCTGGGTTGGTACCAGAGGTTCCCACCCAGAGGTCAGTCCATCAGTGTTGGACCAGCGTCTGGTGTAAACCTGGAGTTTGAGGTCCGAGGTTCTGTTTCCGTTTTTCTTCATGTCGTGTTTTTTTATCGTCACTTTTCTTCTCGTCGCTCTTCGAAGGTCGGAGGGTCAAAGATGGGCGTCATTCGCTACATGGGAGAGACCGACTTCGCCAAGGGAGAGTGGTGCGGGGTCGAGCTGGACGAGCCTCTGGGGAAGAACGACGGAGCGGTCGCTGGTACAAGGTACACACACTAACACACACACAATAACACACACACACACACACACACACACACACACACACACACACACACACACACACACAAACACACACACACTCACACACAAACACACACACACACAAACACACACACACACACACACACACACACACTAACACACACTAACACACACTCACACACACACACACACACTAACACAAACATACACAAACACACACTCACACACACACACACACTAACACACACACACTAACACACACACACTCTCACACACACACAATAACACACAATAACACACACACACACACACACACACACACTAACACAAACACACACTAACACTAACACACACACTCACAAACACACACTAACACACTCACACACTAACACAAACACACACAAACACACACACACAATAACACAGACTAACACAAACACACACACTATCGCACACAAACACACACAAACACACACAAACACAAACACACACTAACACACACACAATAACACACACACTCACACACACAATAACACACACTCACAAACACACACTAACATACACACACTAACATACACACACACACACACACAAACACACACTCACAAACACACACACAAACACACACTCACACACACTAACACAAACACACACAATAACACACTAACACACACACACACTAACATACACATTGTGTGTGCGTCAGGCTCCTTACATTCCTCGGCTTTTCTCCCTAAAAGGAAAGTAAAGAAGAGGAGGAGAGAGAGGGAGGAGGTGGAGGAGGAGGAGGAGGAGGCTGTGTCTGCTTCGTCTCCATCTGTTCACTCTGTTTGTCCTTTTGTGTTTGTCCATAAAATCACACTGACTGACCCTCAGACCTACAGCTGGTCTGAGAGACGAGGAGGAGGAGCAGGAGCAGGAGGAGGAGGAGGAGGAGGAGCTTTAAACGTGTTCCTCCTGTTTCTCCTCCTCTGTCGTCTCCTCCTCTCTGTTTGGACACGTGTGTTCACTCTGAGAGGAAGAGTCTTTTTAACTGATCATGAGTGTTTTCAGCTCAGATTCACGTTTATCTTTATTAAAGGTTAATGATCCTCACAGTCGACCTCCTCAGTAACAAACTCATCAAATAAAATCTGAAATATGGAGGAACAAGGTTTTTACAACTTTGAAATATGTTCATATATATTTCCTTAATAATCTTCATCTATGTGTTAAAATATCACATATTTTAAACCTTAAAATTGCAGTACAAACAGGGGTGAAAATAATACATATGATAAGAATAATACTAGAGATCACCCCCCTTATAAAAAAAAAGCACATGTTGTAAATGAGAAACTGAATAAAAAGAGCGTCTTAATGAGGAAACACTGAAGGTTGAATAAAATGTTAAAACTGACAGATTAGGGGGAAAGGTGATAAAATAATCGGTCCAGTAAAAACATAAGACAGTAGAAAATAAAGAGTTAGTTACAGAAATAAAAACAGTCAAATGGAATAAAAAGAAACACTAAAAACTTTAAAATCTCGTCTCTTTCTCGTCTCCCTCGTCTCTTCCCACAGATACTTTCAGTGTCTCCCGAAGTTCGGCCTCTTCGCTCCGATCCACAAAGTGATCCGCATCGGTTTCCCGTCCACCAGTCCGGCCAAGGCCAAGAAGAGCAAACGGGTGGCCATGGGGGTCTCCTCTCTGGCCCACAGCCCCAGCAGCTCCTCCATCAGCTCCGTCAGCTCGGTGGCTTCTTCAGTGGGCGGACGACCGAGCCGAGCCGGGCTGGTAAGATAACGGCTGAGTTAAAAGACATTTTAAAAGGGTTTTTAACTTTCAGATACTCTCTCTTTCTACCCTCTGTTTGATAACATTTGATAAAACTCACTAAAAAAGAGATTTAAGTGCTTTTAAGGGATTGGTTAAACTTAAAAGCACCTAAGATAGAACTTTCCTCTGTCTTAAGTGTTAATGCTAAACTAACTTATGCTTCGTATCAAAGCCTTGTTTTTACTCTGAAGCATGAGATTAATTACCATCTTTTTTTACTGACTCTTGGCTTAAAAGTGTTTCAGTAGATTTCCTGAGAGTTTTCCTCAAAGTCAACTTAAGCTGTTTATGTGAATCTTGTTTCTATTGTGCTGCTGAAAATGACAGTTAAGTGTTTTTATAAACTATTTAGAGACAAAAAGAATAAAAAAGGAAGAATTTAATTAAAGACTCCAATAAAAGAAATCCATAAAAATGTTTTAACAGAAAGATTAAAAGCAAGATCAGGAAGGATGAAAGAAAAGAACAAAACAGAAATAAAGTGAGATAAAAAAAAATCAAAGGCATGAAGATTGTAAAAAAGGTAAAAGGCGAGTCTTAGTCTATGTTCACCCTGCAGGTCATTCTGATGTTTTAACCATCTGTGACTCATATCTGATGTTTTCATCTAAGTGTGAACAGGTCAGTTCTGATTGGTTCTGATCCGACCCTCTTCTGTATGTGGATATAAATCTGATATGTATCTGATGTGACTGCAGTGTGGACGCTCAGGTCGCGTTCATCCGACCTTTACGTCATCAATATGAGACAAACGTCACCATTGTTCAACACAAACAGGAGCGGAGAGATATTTGTGTTTTGTGTTCATGAGGGTCACTTCACAGACACATTCATTGTTGTGATGTGAACAACCGCACAGAAAGATCGCATTTAACATGAAGTCACGAATTGTGCATCAGAACCTGCAGAGAGAACGTAGCCTTAGACATCAGTAAAATCCAAGATAAAAGACTTTTAGAAAACAAAAGCCAAAAAGTAAATGCTTTAAAAGGCGAGATAAAAGTCTATGAGTCAAGATAGAAGACGGTAACATTGTTTTAAAAAAACAAGAAAAAAGGATAAAAATGTAAGAGTATATTAAAAAAAGATAAAAGCCAAAATAAGAGAATAAAGGGCCTAAAATCAACAATGGGAAAAAAAGATCAAATCAAGAACAAAATGTTAAAAAAGATGAAAGAAAAACATACTGATCAAAGGAAAGACGAGATAAATAAGATAAAAGAGAAGTTAAAAAGATCAAATCTTTAATCTCAAAAAGATTAAAAGGAAATAAAAGATAAAAGAAGTGAAGATGATCTCCATCTTATTATAGTTCAGTGAAACACTGACTCTTTACAGAAACGTCCGGATGTCTGTTTCAGCGGAAAAGTGACATTTCAAACAGACGCAGCAGAACCATGAAAGACCGCATTGTATCCACACCTCCTCTGTCTCTCTGTCCGTCTCTCTGTCTGTCCGTCTGTCTGTCTGTCTGTCCGTCTGTCCGCTGAGCGCTCAATAATTAGCATTTAGTCTCTGTGCAGTTTGAGGCTCCGATCTCTGACTCTGCATTTTGTTCTGCTGTAAAAAATGAGCCGAGAGGGAGAGAGAGAGGGAGAGAGAGAGAGACAGAGAGACACAGAGAGAGAGAGCGAGGGAGAGCGACCCACATCCTGAGGAATTATTGGCACCAATCTCCACAAATGGGCCTTTAGGGCATCTGGGATTGATTTTAGCTGCTGGCGGTGAGCCAGGTCTTGGATGGAGGACACGCCCCTTTACTCTCCTTAATTGTTGGCATCAGTTTTAGACGGCGGTGAGGACAGGAACTCTGAATCATCATCATCATCCTTCCTCCTCCTGTCATTCCTGAAGACTGCAGAGCTCGGAGTAGATCTGGACTCAGTTCTCCACCTTTACAGACTCAAGAGAGAGAGAGAGAGAGAGAGAGAGAGAGAGACGCTCTGATTACTGAGTGAAATCCTGCTGACTCATCTGAGCCGGAAACCTTTTTACGGTTAAAATCTGGAAAAGTGCGTCTCTCTGTGTAGACTAGTCTTCTCCTGTCGACGTTTATTAAAACTGAGAGTGAAAATCTCAGATCCTCCTGCTGGAGTCCAACACCTTCTCATTCAGACCCTCCTATTTAAGTCCCCTTTCACAGACATTTATCATCAATATTAATAATCCTTAAAATCAATCATTTAGAGATCTTGTGTTTCTGTATGTTTGTGTTCAGATAAAGGAAGTCGGTGAATTTGTTCTCCTCCTGTTTATGGTTCAGGCCTCTCAGAAGAACCAGAACCTTTGTAGACCAGCTCGGTTCTGCTCAGTCCGTGTCAGTACGGTGAGGGTCCGGGTCAGGACTTAAACTATTTTAATCCACCATGAAGAGGTCGAGATAAAAAGGTTTGCGCTCGTGTTAGGAGGCGGTTCAGGAGTCGACCGATCCCCAACCTGCAGGTGAAAGTGAGAGTTCAGGGTTTTTATAAACGATTTAAAACTGAAAATAATTAAAAATAGAAAAACTTAAATAAAGACTCCAATAAAACAAAATCATAAAAATGTTTTAACAGAAAGATGAAAAACAAGATCAGGAAGGATGAAAGAAAAGATTAAAAAAGGAATAAAGAGAGATTAAATAAAATCAAAGACATGAAGATAGAAGAAAATAAAAGGCAACAATTTAAATATCAGTAAAATCCAAGATAAAAGGATTTTAGAAACAAAAGCCAAAAAAAAAAAAAAGATTAAAAAGGGAAGATAAAAATAAACGAGTCAAGAAAAGATCAGGTGAGAAACAGACAGACGATAACATGTTTAAAAAAAATAAAAATAAAAAGGTAAAACAAGAAAAAAGGATAAAAATGTAAGAGTATAAAAAAAGATAAAAGCCAAAATAAGAGAATAAAGGACTTAAAAATCAACAAAGCAAAGCAGGAAAAAAAGGTTAAAAAAGATGAAAAAAAAAAACACAACTACGGGTAAAAAGCTTTTATTTTGAAAGGATTTGAAATGACATTTGAAGGCAGTCTTAAAAGCACCGACTCTCTGTGTCTCTAAAAGCTTTTAAATATTAATAACTTAAATCTGAATAAACATGATTTTTTTAAGAGTATAAAGACGTAGAAGGAGCGTCTGTTTATCGGCGTTTTCAGGACCAGAATCACGAGTTTTCATCTGTGATCAGGAGACGTTTCCTGTCTCTACCAAACCCTCAGTTCAGGAGCAGATCCTGTCTCAGAGCTCCCTCTAGTGGTCAAAGAGGAGATGATAATATTAATAATAATAAAAATACATTTTATTTAAGAGCACCTTTCTGGACACTTTACAGGATAAAAACAACAGAGAGAGAAAACAAACAAACAGTAAAAGTAAATAAAATCTGTAAAAATAAATAAAATTAAAACCATCATGAGGAGTGTGTCGATCTGACCAGGAGGGTTTTAGTCTGGATTAAAGAGAGGCAGAGGGTCAGATTTCTGGATGTGAGGTGGGAGTGAGTCCCAGAGATGGGAGCAGAGCGGCTGGAAGCTCCGCCCCCCATGGTGACGCTGAGGTGGGCGGGGGTCACGGTGATGTGGATGGAGGAGGAAGATCTAAAATCACATCTATCAGATTAAACTACACCTGTTGGTGCAGCGATGAAGAACTCCTGTCGTCTTTAAACCCCCGTCTGTCCTCTCACCTCTTCTCTTACCTCGCCATCGTCCTCCTCACACTTCCTGTTTCCTTTTCCTGTCTCCAGCTGACCGAGACGTCGTCCCGGTACGCCCGTAAGATCTCGGGCACCACGGCGCTGCAGGAGGCGCTGAAGGAGAAGCAGCAGCACATCGAGCAGCTGCTGGTGGAGCGGGACCTGGAGCGTGCCGAGATGGCCAAAGCCACGAGTCACATCGGCGAGCTGGAGAAGGAGCTGAGCGTCCTGAAGGCGCAACACGTACAGGTGCGTGGAGTTTTTATCTGCCTGAATGAAGGACGTCCTGATGGATCAGTGTGTGATCAGATCCTCTGCTCCACCCTCAGTACCTGACGGAGAACGAGGGCGCCATGCAGCAGGTCAAAGCCATGCTGAGCAGCACGCAGAAGGACAAACTGGAGCTGGCCAATCAGCTGGAAGAAGAGAAAAGGTAACTCTGTCCGTCCGCGGTTATCCATCAGTGTCTTTGGGTTTATCACAGCTGGACTCTGGTGACCCCCGGACCATCAGGGGTGAGGGACCAACCCGGGTGGTCCCAAAATCAGAGGTCCAATCAATTAAACGATCAATATTTATACAGATATTTACAAATACGATAAAGTAGTTTAACTCAGGTGAGAGAGAGTCAGAAATCATTAAATTATTCAAGAGAGAAACTTGATCTGAAAACTTTATAAAGAAGTCGAAAAATTAAAGGTCAACAAGAAAACAACAATTATAGAAGACAAATGTGAGAAAGAGTCTGAGAGGGAGTTATCAGAGGAGGAGGTGAATGGAGGAGAGAGGAGAACAAGGAGGAGAGAGTCTTAGTGAGAGATTTTATTACAGCAAAACAACAGAAACCTGGAGACGATGTGGAGAGAAGAAGGCCGACCATTTTCAGATTTTTGTAAAGAAGAGGATGGAAAACATTTTAAAACTTCCACTTAGAAGTTTTATATTTGAGGAAAGAGAATCAGGAGAAAAACACGGATTTACAGTCATGTTGGTGGGACTAAAAAGACGTCATCTCCACGAAAAACAGAAACTTTAAAAACTGGGTCGACTTTGTGTCTCAGACTGTGTGCAGTAAAGACAGTGTGTATTATAGATTATTGATCCCCCGGTTCAAACCTGTTCATGTTTATTATGTTTATTATGTTTATAATGTTTATAATGTTTATTATTTATGTTTATAATCTTTATAATGTTTATTATTTATGTTTATAATGTTTAAAATGTTTATTATTTATGTTTATAATGTTTATAATGTTTATTATTTATGTTTATAATGTTTATAATGTTTATTATTTATGTTTATAATGTTTATAATGTTTATTATTTATGTTTATAATCTTTGTAATGTTTATTATTTATGTTTATAATGTTTATAATGTTTATAATGTTTATAATGTTTATTAAGTTTATTATTTATGTTTATAATGTTTATAATGTTTATAATGTTTACCCTCCAACAGGAGAAAAGAGACGATGAAAGAGAGGAGTGAAAAAAGGACACTCAGTGGTTCTTAACGTGATTCTGAGTCCATGCGGTGATTTCCACTCCAGAGTCTGTTTTTAATACAGCGCCCCCCTCTGGACTCTGCAGCTGTAGGAACACAAAGACTATCAGCTGATTCAGACCTGGTCTCAGTTTTTTATCTTTTTTGTTGTTTTTCAGGAAAGTGGAGGATCTTCAGTTCAGAGTGGAGGAGGAGTCCATCACTAAAGGAGACCTGGAGGTATTTATGAACCTCCTCTTTATACATGTGTTTCTACGGACGCCCACTGTTAGCTGTTGTTAGCTGTTGTTAGCTGCTGTTAGCTGCTGTTAGCTGTTGTTAGCTGCTGTTAGCTGCTGTTAGCTGTTGTTAGCTGCTGTTAGCTGTTGTTAGCTGCTGTTAGCCGCTGTTAGCTGCTGTTAGCTGTTGTTAGCTGCTGTTAGCTGTTGTTAGCTGTTGTTAGCTGCTGTTAGCTGTTGTTAGCTGCTGTTAGCTGTTGTTAGCTGTTGTTAGCCGTTGTTAGCTGTTGTTAGCTACACCAGCTGTAAACAAACTCAGTATTTACTCGAACAAACACAGCAGCAGCGTGTCTCACAGTTCGACGTCGGTCAGTAAAACATAAACACTGATTTAATTTAAAACTAAAACTAAACAGAAGTGATAATAAAACATGAGGAGAGCTTCACTGTTACTCTTCACTGTTGATAAACTGCCATCTTGGTTGATGACGTCGTCGTCAAGTTAGGGTTGGCGACGATCGTCCGACTTTGCGAGTCAGAAATCCGACTTCAGGAGGGCGATCCACAACGAGTAAAACTGTAAGGCAGCGTCAGACCTCCTTTTAGTTCCTAAATTCATTCACACACAGTCGCTGTAAAGGAGAACTTGACCTTTGACCTCTGTAGTAAGGTTTCCTTCTGCCTACAGGGGTCATGCCCTCGTCACGCAGCGTCCTTGAGGTTGGGTAAGAAAACGAAGGTGAAAACAAAAATCCTCTGATCCGCCGCTCAGCTCCTCTGTGGAGAACTTTAACAACCCTCTGAAGACTGACTCTGCTGCTCTGACTGTGACTGACCAAGACTGTCTGAGGGAGAGAGAGAGAGAGAGAGAGAGAGGGAGAGAGAGAGAGGGAGAGGGAGAGAGAGAGAGAGAGAGAGAGAGAGAGAGAGAGAGAGTGAGAGAGAGAGAGTGAGAGAGGGAGAGAGAGAACTTTAACCCTTTAAAGACTGACTCTGTCTGTTTCTGACCAAGACTGTCTGCCAAAGAGAGAGAGAGAGAGGGGAGAGAGAGAGAGAGAGAGAGAGAGAGAGGGAGAGAGAGAGAGGGGGGGAGAGGAGAGAGTGAGAGAGAGGGGGGGGAGAGAGAGAGAGGGAGAGAGAGAGGGGGGGAGAGAGATAGAGAGAGAGGGAGAGAGAGAGAGAGAGAGAGAGAGAGAGGAGAGAGAACTTTAACCCTTTAAAGACTGACTCTGCTCCTCTGACTGTGACTGACCACGACTGTCTGAGAGAGAGGAGCTCTGATACAACTGTGTGTTTGTGTCAGCTTCACTGAATTTGCTCGGCTGCTTCTAGATGATCAGAGAATGGCTGTGCTGTCCTCCTCCTCTCCTCTCCTCCTCTCCTCTCCTCTCCTCCTCTCCTCTCAGATATCCAAACATTGGTTCTCCGTCGATAATTCTCTGACGATGATAAACTTTAAAACTTTAAATCATCTCTTTGGTCGTCTCTCTCGGCTGCATGGATGACCTTTCTTTGACCTCTGACAGACGGACAGATGTTTCTCCTCTCCTCTCTCCTCTCCTCTCCTCTCCTCCTCTCCTCTCCTCTCTCCTCCTCTCAGGTATTTCTTTAGATAATTCTCTGATGATGATAAACTTTAAAACTTTAAATCATCTCTTTGGTCGTCTCTCTCGGCTGCATGGATGACCTTTCTTCGACCTCTGACAGACGGACAGATGTTTCTTCTCGTTTCTTGTCTGATTTTTTCTCCTCAGGCCTGATCTTCTTCTCTCTCCTCAGATCTGTTGTTCTTCTCACTGACGTTTTTGATTTCTAGGTTTCTCCTCCTGTTTCTGTTTCTTAAAAACATGATCAGCGTTGATCGCAGACGAACCTCCATCTGAACTGACGGATGTCGTTTCTCTCTTCTCGTCAGCAAACCACGGTGGAGGAGCAGAGTCGGATCGCTCAGCTGGAGGAGGAGCTCAGCCTGCGGAGAGCCGAGATCGGAAACCTTCAGTCACAGCTCAGAGGATCAGACACGACCAACAACGCCGAGGCGGCCCCGGGGTCAGAGACGCTGTCCGCGGAGAGCAGTGAGCTGAGAGAGAAGTACGAGGCGGCGGCGGCAAGCCAGCAGGAGATCGAGTCCCTGAAGGCGCTGGTGGAGAGTAAGAGCCAGGAGATCGGTGAGATGAAGCTGAAGGTCCAGCAGGCCACCAAGGAGAACATGGACATGATGGACACCTGGAAGGTACTTCTGCTCCGTGACGTGATTTCACACCGACTAACTCTGAGGTTAACTCTGAGTTTAACTCTGAGTTTGTAAATACAGAGTTTATAAGAAGAGTTTTATTTAACCCTGAGGGGAAATGTGATATAATTATAGGAATTTATTCATGTTTTATTTATTTATTTATTTATTTATGTTTCATTTATTTATTTATTAATTTTTTATTTATATTATTTATTTATTTGTTTTATTTATTTATGTTTAATGTATTTATTTAAGTTTAATTTATTTAATGTATTATTTTTTTATTTACTTATGTTTTATTTTTATTTATTTATTTATTTTTATTTATTTATGTTTTTATATTTTATTTATTTATTTATGTTCTATTCATTTATTTATGTTTATTTAGTTATTCATTTATGCTTTATTATTTTGAATTTTTTATTTATATTTTATTTATTTATTTATTTAAGTTTAGTTTATTTATTTAAGTTTAATTTATTAATAATATTAATTTTTTGTATTCATTTATCTTTTATTTATTTATTTATTTATGTTTCATTTATTTATTTAAGTTTAGTTTATTTAATGTTTTGATTATTTATTTATTTATGTTCTATTTATTTATGTTTATTTAGTTATTTATGTTTTATTATTTTTATTTTTATTTTTATGTTTTTATTTGTGTTTTATTTTATTTATTTATGGGTTTTTTTTATGTTTTACTTATTTTATTTAATTATTTATGTTCTATTAATTAACTATGTTTATTGTTTATTTAGTTATTTGTCTTTAATTTTATTTATATTTGATTTATTTATTTCAATTTTAATTATTATTATAATTTTTTAATGATTTATTTATTCTTTTTTTGTTTTTGAATAACTTTCTCTCTCTCTCTCTTTTTCTCCTACTCTCCCTTTTTCCTCTGCAGGAGAAGTTTGACTCTTTGGTGGGCGATCACCAGCGCTCTCTGGACGAGCTGAAGGCGTCTCTGAGCGGCGATCACGCAGCTCCAGAAGGTCAGGAGCTGGACGCCCAGGAGCTGAGAGCCGCTCTGGAGAGCCTGAAGTTGGAGCACCAGCTGGAGGTGGAGAACCTGAAGGCCAAACACAAGATCGAAGCCGCCATCCTCACCAAGGAGCGCGAAGACCTCTGCTCCCGCCTGCAGGAGGCCAAAGAGCAGCTGGCTGAGGGAAACCAGGCTGTAAGGACCGAGGCGGAGGCTAAAAGTGGAAAACAGGCGCTGGAGGAGGCGGCGGATAAACTCCAGAAGGCGGAGCAGAGGCTGGCGGAGATGGAGAAGCATCAGATGGAGCGGGACAGAAGCACAGAGGAGCTGAGAGAGAGGCTGGAGCTGTCTGAGAAGAAGATGAGCGACTACCAGGCTCTGCAGAAAGCTCAGGCCGAGAGCCAGGAGGAGATCCAGAAACTGGAGGAGAAGCTGAGGGTGACGGCCAACCAGCTCCAGGCCATCCAAGCCGACCGTTACACCTCCAACGATGCAAATGTGAGAGTCTGAGAAGAAACCGCCGAGTTCATGATGGAGGCTGTTTCTGAGTGTCTCTAACAACGTCGTCTTTTTCAGGTGATCGAGGACAACGAGATCTCCGAGGAGAAGATGAAGCTCAAACAGAATATCGAAGGTAAGAAGGGATGGATTTTTTAACGGGGAGGAAAAATGTAATTTATTCAACTTTATGTTATATTTAAAATTAAACTTTATTTTATTTTATTTTTATTTATAATTAATTTATATTACATTTATTTAAACTTTTTACTAAATTTATTATAAAATTATATTAATTTATATTAACTTTGAAATAAATTAATAGCAAATTTATATTGAACTCAAAATAGATTTGTATTAAATTTATATTTTTTTCCATAATAAATTAATATTTATTTTATATTAATTATATTAATATTATGTGTCTTAACTTTAATTAACATTTAATTTCTATTCAATTTTCATTTCATTTATTTCTATATTTTTATTTTATAATTATTTCTATTTCAGGACTTTAGGATTTACCGTCATTCTTCGTACATTTATCACCGTTTTTAAACTTTGATGGGTTTTTTTTAGAAACGATGGAGAAACTGTTGAAAAGAGAGAAAGAAGTCACGACGCTCACGACCCAAGTGGAAGCTCTTAAATCCCAGATCGGAGGTAAATGATCGGTCAGGTTCGGGGTCTAACGCAGAATTAAATTTAAGATGTTTTTAATAAATGATCGACATGTTTGTGAAATCAGCTGATCTGAGGTGGTTTTGAAAAATCAGGAGGTCCAACAGAAAATTCACCAAATACCCAAGAAAACAACCGGATTTATTTATTTCTGTTCACGAGAACAATTTAAGGATTTATAGATGAGCCATAGATTTATAGATAGTATAGATGTTATAAGTGTTCATATATAGATCTGTATAGAGAGGTCAGTATAGATGTTATAAATGTTCATGTATAGATCTGTAGTAAGGTAAGTATAGATGTTGTAACTCATAGATCTGTATATTGAGGTCAGTATAGATGTAGTATGGTATAGATCTGTATATTGAGGTCAGTATAGATGTAGTATGGTATAGATCTGTATAGTGAGGTCAGTATAGATGTAGTATGGTATAGATCTGTATATTGAGGTTATTATAGATGTAGTATGGTATAGATCTGTATATTGAGGTCAGTGTAGATGTAGTATGGTATAGATCTGTATAGTGAGGTCAGTATAGATGTAGTATGGTGTAGATCTGTATATTGAGGTCAGTATAGATGTAGTATGGTATAGATGTGTATATTGAGGTTATTATAGATGTAGTATGGTATAGATGTGTATATTGAGGTTATTATAGATGTAGTATGGTATAGATCTGTATATTGAGGTTATTATAGATGTAGCATAGTATAGATCTGTATATTGAGGTTATTATAGATGTAGTATAGTATAGATGTGTATATTGAGGTCAGTATAGATGTAGTATGGTATAGATCTGTATATTGAGGTTATTATAGATGTAGTATGGTATAGATCTGTATATTGAGGTTATTATAGATGTAGCATAGTATAGATCTGTATATTGAGGTCAGTATAGATGTAGTATGGTATAGATGTGTATATTGAGGTCAGTATAGATGTAGTATGGTATAGATCTGTATATTGAGGTCAGTATAGATGTAGTATGGTATAGATCTGTATATTGAGGTTATTATAGATGTAGTATGGTATAGATGTGTATATTGAGGTCAGTATAGATGTAGTATGGTATAGATGTGTATATTGAGGTTGTCTCTCTTCATATTTACACTCTCAGGATTTAAAGATGTTTTAATTCTTCTTCATGTTTTTTCTCAGCGCTGGAGAGTAAAGTCCGCTCCGGGGAAAGGAAAGCCGAAGCTCTGACCCGTGAGAAGACGCGCATGGAGGCGGAGCTGGAGTCCATGACCAAAAAGTCCCATGATGCATCTGGGCAGCTGGTCCACATCAGCCAGGAGCTGCTGAAGAAGGAGAGGTACGGGGACGAGGGTTATTGATTTAACGGTCTGCAGCGGCAGCAGCAGCACTTAGAGCGAGTGAAAAACGACATCCAGGTTTTCATGTCGACACGCTGCATGAAAACACTTCAAATCATTAATCTGATAATGGAGCCTGAAAACAGAGTATCGATTTAATTGTTCATATTGTCAACTTGAAACATGTTTTCTAAGTCGCTGTATTTCTGCCTGTAAAGTTTCATTAGGATAAAATCTATATCACTTATTAACCTCGCCAGAGGAGCCATTACAATCAGCGGGAGAGGAGGCAGCTGATTTTCATAGAGAGGGGGAGAGAGAGAGGGGGAGAAAGGGAGAGAGGGGGAGAGAGAGAGTTCTGGTTCTGAGCCGTTCTCCGTCCTGCACGCGCTCAGATCGACCCAGAACTTTTGACTCTCTTCACTGTAACTCAGAACTTCAACGGTCCTCAGGGAGACGGTTTCTGCACAAAGGTACTGAGGTGAAAGAAGAAAGAAGTAAGGTTTAATAAAAAATAAAATAACTTTATAAACGTGTTCAGAGAGTTTAGAGGAGCTCAGCAGGAAGTGGATCTGAGGTTAGAGATGATAATCCCAAACCTGTAGACCTCAGCAGCCTCCTGGTCCAGGATCATACACTGTTAACCCGGAATTTCAGACCGGTGGATCCTGGATTTTCAGGTCGTTATTAAACCGCGTCGGACCCCTCCCCTCAGTCGGACTCAGAGTCCTGGTCTAACTCTCTCACATCCTGCTGCAGTTCTTACATTATTGATGTTTTTATGGCCCTAAAAGACAGTAAAAATAAGAGCCTGTGGCGCTCACAGGTTCTGCTGTGTGCGGTAAAATGATGGAGCATTAGTGAGGTTTGATGAGACGAACATGAACTTTCTTTCTGTTCCTGCTGCTGATTTTTCAGAGGAAACAAACAAAGACTTTGATTCAGGACAGAAAACAGACTCACAGAGTTCAGGTTCTTCTGATCCACAGAGAGCAGCCGGGTTCAGGGAGGACAGGTTCCTAAATCTGATTTACTGCTGAAAGATGGTTCGGTTCTTCTGTTTGGAATCAATCTAGATTAGATTAGATTAGATTAGATTAATTAGATCACATTAGATCGACTTTATTGATCCTTTTGTGAAGGATCTTTCAGCGAAATTAAAGTTTCTACAGCATCAGCATAAAAAAAAAACATGATGATCAAATAAAAGTCAGAAATAAAAATACAATAAATTTATAAATAAAACTGAAATATTATTAGAGTTTACACGTGACAGTCGTCCTGCTGCGGCTGAACTTCTTATTGATCTGATCGGATGTCTGACTTCAGGTTGTCATGGCGACAGTCTGATGGTGAGGAATAACACACCGTTGCTATGGAGTTTTGACCCGACAGGAATAAATCATATCCTGTCAAATAGGAAAGGGAGGAACTAAGTCTGAGTCTAAATCTAAGTCTGAGTCTGAGTCTAAGTCTGAGTCTAAATCTAAGTCTGAGTCTGAGTCTAAGTCTAAATGTATAAGTCTAAGTCTAAGTCTGAGTCTGAGTCTAAGTCTGAGTCTGAGTCTAAGTCTGAGTCTGAGTCTAAGTCTAAGTCTGAGTCTGAGTCTAAGTCTAAGTCTGAGTCTAAGTCTAAGTCTAAGTCTGAGTCTAAGTCTGAGTCTAAGTCTAAGTCTAAGTCTGAGTCTAAGTCTGAGTCTAAGTCTAAGTCTAAGTCTGAGTCTAAGTCTGAGTCTAAGTCTAAGTCTAAGTCTGAGTCTAAGTCAGTCCTGATCCTCAATATCGTTATTTTAAACCATGGCGCTGCTGTTGGAGACGCTCTGATGATCCCGCTGTAACGAAGCTGCCTTAACCCCCCCCCCCGAGCGGTCTGGGGTTCAAAGGTCACAGAGATCAGCGGTCTGCTCATATACAGTTCAGTTAGTTTTCAGGCAGACCGCCAACTGTAGGTCTGAGCTGAACTCGTCCTCCGTCCTCCTCCACAGTCATGATTTTACTGACCCCAGAGTTTGATCGTCTCTTAAATGATGATGAAGTTTGAGACTAAAGGTCAGAGTAGATGAAGCGCCCGCGTCCTCCCCGGTGGATAAACGCTTCTCTTCTCTTTCAGCGCCGCGCCAAGGGTCACGGCGAGTCGAGGCCCGGAGAGCTCAGGCGGGAAATGAACAGATTTTTATATTTTAAAGTTTTCTGAAATGTTGAAATTGTTGGTTTGTGTCTTTTCTCGATCGCAGGAGTCTGAACGAGCTGAGGGTCTTACTCCTGGAGTCACACCGTCACTCTCGGGACATGGAGAAGGACCTGAACCGAGAGGTCCACAAGGCGGAGTGGAGGGTCAAAGAGCAGAAACTCCAGGATGACATCAAGACTCTGAGGGAAAAACTGCTCCTGCTGGTGAGGGAGACACTAACGCATGAGCTCACACTGTCTGAGGACATCTACTCTGTGTTCTAGACGTTCTTTAAAGAGTCCTTCGAGGAGGAGAGGAGGTCTGTGTCGTCTCCTTCAGAAAACCTGTTTTTAAAAAAGACCTTCAGTCCAGAAGGAATAAATCAGCGAGGAGACGAGAAGAGAAACGTCGCTGACTAAACAGACAGCGTCAGTGTTCGACGTTTTATCTGCTCTTAAAAAAACGTCACAAGATTTCTGGGAAAAGAGCTCGAGGCTCCAGATCTGACAAAGAGCGACGTTCATCTTCTCATGGAGCTTCAGGCCAGAAAACGGAGACGAGACTCGGAGCTGCTGAAAGACGATGATCAGAGTTAAATCTGCAGAGAGTCACAGTTTAAAAAAACCTTTAACTGCAGTTTAGACACTCCCATGATGCAATGCTGCTGTGCTGTCGACTCAGATAATACGGAGGAACGAAAAAGTCTTTTTGTGAAGAATAATAACTTTATTTAAAATTTTTAAATCAGAATAAAGGAGAGGAGGAACAAACAGCAGCTGAGATTCAAAACACTCAAAAAACAGGAAGTGATTCAGATTTATATAAAGACCAAACTACAAACAAGTTAAACGAGTTTAAAATAAGTTAAATAAAATATTTTAAAGTTAAAACAAAATCTAAAAGAGTTAAAACCTGATTAAAAGTTAAGAGCTCAGTTAAAAAATTCAATAAATAAAAAACAAAATGTGAAAAAGTTAAAACTTGATAAGAGCTTAGTTGAAAAAAAATTAATAAAAAAAAATCTAAAATGTTAAAACAAAATTAAATGAGTTAAAAATAAAAAATAAATCTAATGAGTTAAAACGAAATGAAAAGAGTAAAAAATAAATAAAGAGTTTCAGGCCTGATTAAAAATGATGAAAAAAAGAGACTTTTACAGGCTTCTTTATGTGAGCTGGAAAATATCAACAGTGTTTTTTTACTGTCATCATCGAGCCGAAAACACGTCAGAATCAGAAATACTAAGAGAAGATAAATAATCGATAAAATAAATGAAAATAAAGTGATAATAAACAGAGACGAACACTATATACAACAAAATAACATCCATCCAGCTTTAGGTTAGATATCCTGACGACAGCGTGACCTGAGAGAGAGGAGGGTCTGTGGAGGGTCAGTGATACTCTGTCTGTCTGTCCGTCTGTCTGTCTGTCTGTCCGTCTGTGGTTCAGGTCTGTAAACTCAGAGCTGAAACCCTCACAGTGATCGTCTGATGTTCTTGTTCTGTATCTGATATGAACGTCTGCATGTGTCTGTTTCAGGGTCGAGAACGGTCCTCTCCTGACCACCGGCGGTACTCCATGCTGGACCCCTCGGTCCTGGACTCTGAGGTGAGCCGCCTCCGCCAACGGCTGCTGAGCACCGAGGAAGCCCTGAGGAACGCCCTGGAACACAACCAGCAGGTCGACCAGCTGGTGCTGGCCATGAGAAGACACCCGGAGAAAAGTGCGGTAAGACGGAGAGAAACAGACGTCAGTGTAAAAACACAGGAAGTGGTCTGAGGAGACACAGGCGGACAACGACCCGGGTTTACACTAGAGTCATCAAAAACAGACACTTTAGTTTCTTTTGAATAGATAGAAAACAACTAGAAGCTGACTCAGTTCAGCCGCTCCTCTGATTCAGTGGTTCTCAACTGGTCTCACTCTGGGACCCACATTTTCCCACGGTCCAAAAGTCACGACACACTTTTATGAAACTCAAACCGAGAAAATGTAGTTTTTATTAAAAAAAAACCTTTAAAGACTCAAATCTTAAAATCTAAACAGTGATGAGGAATGTTCACAAAGTCATTCTCGGCGTTTCTCGGAACAACACCGGCAGCGACAGCGACTCACTCCATGTGCAGGGGCGTGGTTTCCTCCTCTCTGATTTTGATTGACATCTGGCAGGATAGTCTGACTGGCAACTGAGAAAAGAATGAATGTGATTGGTGGATCGCTGCATATATAGAGTCACATGTCAGTGTATGTCAGTCAGTTACCCTTGAAATTAGACGAGTTCATTCACCTCCGACATCGCAGGCCCTGACATGTGACTATCACGCACACATACATCGCCATGACGACGCTCAAACGATATTTCGTGCAGCCCTAACGTCAAATGTACAAACTGGAAAGGTTCATCGACGGAAACAGGTTTAAAAAAATCCGGATAGAGGCGTGTTAGCGCTGTACGACATCATCACCTCCTCTAGTTTATAAATGTAGTTTGTCATCGTTTACTGAGATATGGTGAACTATCATCTCTGCTGTGGGCTGACGATGGATGTCTCTCTTTCTCTCTCCCTCTCTCTCTCTCTCTCTCTCTTTTAGGCTCATGGAGCAAATTCAGCCAATGGGATCCATCATCAGGAGGCGGACGGCGCTCATGATGTTGGTATTTGTTCTTATAAAAAACTCATGAATGTGGCGCCTCTGTGACGTCCTGAAACCCCGTCTGTGTTTGTTCTTCAGGACCAACACTGATACGAGCGGAGGAGGAGGAGGAGGAGGAGCAGGAGGAGGAGGAGGACTTCAGCGGGACACTCAGAGACTCCCTCAACATTTCTGTCCAACTCTGAGACTGGAGGACATTTCAGTTTACGGTCCAAACCAAAACAGCCAATCTGAGTTCTGAGTGAATTTACGTGTTGTTGCCGAGCGCTTCTATTAGCCAATCAAGACGACCGCTTAAAGTACTGTCAAATATACACGAGAGAGGGGACACGGGCATGAACGAAGAGAGAGACGGAGACCAACACCAGAGAGACAGTCTGGACCTGCAGACCGCCGGGACTCTGTGAGACTTTGTGACGGGAGAGCGGCTGACGGACGCTGACGGAGGAGGAAGTGAAGACCCGCCTCTTTTCTCGTCTTTGTTTTTTATTTATTACTTTGATTTTGCTCCTCAGCTTTGTAATAATCCTGTTCTGGCCAGTGACACTCTGAGCGGCTCTGGAGGACGGCGCCGGTTTTAGAGGGAGTTTGGGTCTTTGTCTCATGTGAGGAAGAGTTCGCTGGTCATTATTCAGACTGACGCCTTAATGTGAGGAGGAGACTTTAAAAACACGTTCAGAGGACACGACAAAGAACCACTGACGGTTCTTGGACTGGGTTCATCGTGTCTTTCTTGATAAATGACCATCAGACGTTCTTTTCTACAGACACGGGTTCTTTAACGACCTCGCCGACATGTTCCGCCGTGCTGACAGCGGTCTTGTGTCACGTGATGGTTGTGTGACGCGTCTTAAAACAGCTGATGTTTCCGAAGGCGTGGTCTTTCCGTCAGTTTGACAGATCGGTCACGCCTTCAGCTGCCCACTCGCCCCCTGAAATATGGCGCTCCAGGTGTGGGAGAGCAGACACGCCCCCTCATCTCGGTTAACGGTCCACGGGCCTCGCTTCCATGTGGTCACACAACCATCATGTGACACTCTGAGGAAGACTGCTGTCAGCACGTCCAAACATGTCAGCGAGGTAAATAAACACGTGTCTGTATAAAAGAAGATCTGATCGTTACGACTGAAGGTGCTGCTTGGTCCACAGGGGGCGCCAAAACTGGCACACCTCTAAAGTTTCTCCTGGGAGCTGAAAGGTAACTTCACATGACGACCATTTTTGGAGTTTGTCGCTCTATTTAAAACCTAAAACAACAAAACTAACATCAGCTCAAATATCCACGATAACTCCGCCCTCTTTTGGTCGTGAAAACTTAACTTTTTCTAAATCTGACATTTATCAAGCGTTCATGTGTTGGACTCTAAAAAGGACCTTAAAGACATCTAACCAGTTCCCAGAGGTCCAGGTGGTCTAGGTGGTCTTGTGGTCGTGGGGGAACTGAGGCGACATCCATGTTTCAGACGATCAGGTGATTTTAGGTTAAAGCTCCTGTGTGGAACTTTTTTGTTTGTGTGAGTTTGGCGCCCCCTGTGGACAAACCAATAACTTGAGTATAGCAGCTTATCTTGTCTCCAAAAAGTTTTTTTTTTTTCAGACAATATTTCATCTTTTTATCTTTTTAATCCCTAAAAGTTTATCATGAATATTTTGAGGTTAAAAGCTTTGGACCCGCCCCCCCCACGACTTTATAAAAAGGCGTTAAAACTGACGATATTTAAGGTTCAGAGTTTTTCCTGATGGTCTAATTTGCTCTTTCATGTGATTAATTTTCCTCCTTGTCAATTTCAGTCTCTTTAATAACCAGTGAAAAACTCCTCACTGGAGCTTTAAGTCGCCATCAGACCGATCTCCCTTTAAAACCAGGGTCAGGGTCGGGTTATAGGGTCAGTTTGGACCCCCTGTTTGGACTGAAGAGGACTCTGAATGAGGACTTGAGCTCTGAGTCCTGTTAGAGGATGAATACGGTGAATTATTCCCGACTGTTCTGACCGACCCTCCACCATCAGTCCACCTCTGATTTACCGGCTGTTTCATTTCCGCTGGACTGTGTAATCTGACGGACTCCATTGGTACTCTAGTATTAATTCTTCTGGTACACGATGGCAGCCCTGTTTGAGCCCATCATGATGCTGTATTTACATGTCCTTTCACCTTTTGCTAAGCTACTGAAGGGCTGTCACAGGAGCTAAAACCCAAACTATGGATGTAAGATGTTTCGCTAAACGTGTGGATTTCATTCAGAACGATGAATTTCTACTTGAAGTCTTCCAGGTATTGTTTCATCCGTGTGTCGACTAAACTCAAAGATCCTGTTTGCACCTTTTTTTTGCTTCATGAGACTGAGGTGAGCAGCATCCAAGCTCGGTTTTCCTGAGCTGAACATGCAGGACAGGCGCCGGTCAGCGACGATAACGCCGAAATTTTTCATTGGATATTGTACATGGCCTTTTCAGCTGGAGGGTTCGTACCCTTTGGATTATTGCTGCAATGGTTTCAGAGATTGGGTCATTAAATATTAACAATGTTGGCAAAGGCTGCTGGTGTTTTATTTCACTGTCTTTCACTCTTGTGTCACTTCTGTGTGTTTGTTTTTGAGGAGGAAAAACACAGAAGAGAGATTCGCTCTAAAAAAGGCGGTTTGACTTCATGACACCGAAGGGATGGCGGTTTTAGGAGCGACCATAACTACTTATTCATTACTCAGCTGCACACACGGTGAAATAAACCCCGCTGTAAATCATTTCCTCATTTCCAGCAAATATTCGGTGGATGTCGCCCAGAAGAGGAGGCAGAAAGTCGTTTATCTGGAAAAAGGAGGCCAAGTTCCTGCAGATGAAACCAGACGTTGCGTGTTTGTTTGCTCTGTGTGGATTTCTAACCTCCAGATATATCACTTTTCCTGTTGGCGTTGGCAAACGTCAGGTTTTATCCACACGCCCTAGTTTCTTTGCCAGAGGGCAGAGCGGTTATACAGCTGACATTTGGTTCAATAAGTGATTTATGAGCAGGATTAAGGAAACAGAGGAATCATGGAGACGTATTTGGGATTATCATTAAGATATAGAAGAGGATGAGAAATGATTATTACCAATATTTTCTTAAATGACCTTTCCTCAGAATGTAAAGGGATATTCCAGGATTCAAGTTCTTAGTTTGGCATTGATCAATATGCTATAGTATTGATCGGTTGTACGCCAGATCATATGTTATATAACCATCTCATGCTTTAGAGACTAAACCTGGAGATATTCTTCAGCAGTATATTAAAAACTGAGGATGCAGCATCTATGATTTCCAGTTCTTCGTTGAAAGGACAACTGGACGGCGAAACGTCCCAAATAAGTCCAGTTGTCCTTTCCCAAAGAGTGTTAGATTTAGAGTCCTGATGCTCCTAAACCTGGAGATCTTGTTCAGCATTAAAGGGATATTCCGTAACACCGAGTTAGACCCCCCTCCAGAGATGAATGTTGTCGACCGCTTGCCTCTCTAGTTTTACCAACAAATAATGCTCAGAACAGCACCTAACTTCATCAACAGGACATATAGGGTCACAGACATAGTACTAGACACCAAACATCTTTTTAACTTTGACTCATTTCTTTAGCAAAGAGACTAAACACAACTCACCTACTCTCTTCCAGCAGACGCTTGTAGTAATAATGCATCAGATTTCATACAGCGCTTTATCAGAGACCCTCAGAGCTCTTTTCATTGGATCCATCATTCATTCATTCACTCACACAGTCACACCCTGGTGGTGGTAAACTACCTAAGTAATCTCAGACGCCCTGGGGCAGACCGATGGAAACATGGCTGCCAGTTTGCGCCTACGGTCTCTGGGAGTGTGGGGACACACGCTGGGAGTAAGGTGGGTTAAGTGTCTTGCCTAAGGACACAACAGACAGACTTGGGATAGGGGGGAATCGAACCACCAACCTACTCTCTTCCAGCAGCCGCTTGTTTGTAGAGAGACCTCAGGCCAGTCCATTACAGACTACAGCGGGGTGCCGCAGCTCAAGGAAGAACATTTATGATCATTTCTTCACGGAAATACAATCAGACCGAGACGTTAAGACAGAAGAACTACAGCGTCTGTAAAATGATTAATATGGTGATTATTACTTTAAAGAAATGATGAAGAAATGATCATTCTGGGAGTAAGACGTTTCGCCGTCTCAACTAAGTCCAGTTGTCCTTTCAACAAAGAACTGGAAATCATAGATGCTGCATCCTCAGTTTTTGACATACTGCTGAAGAATATCTCCAGGTTACAACTGATCAATATTATAGCATATTGATCAATGCCAAGAACTTGAATCCAGGGGTTCTTTTACGCCAGGATATTGTGGAAAGATTATTTGAGAAACTATCAGTAATAATCATTTCTCATCCTCTTCTATATCTTTATAATAATCCCAAACATGACTCCATAATTTAGACAATAAAGCCATGTTTTCTCTGTGTATTGCTATCGTGCGGTCGTTATCGAGGGGGTGTCTCACTCGGTGTTTCTGTGTGTTTGACCCTGAACTAATTTTACACCTGAATATCCCTTTACACTGGACTAAAAATACACATGATAGGAAGAAAATCCTCACAACAGATTTTCATTCACTGAGAAAAAACCCTCTGAAACACTTTCCTCCATCAAACCCAGTGTGAGGATGTTTGTCCATTAAAGTGAGAGTGTTCCTCAGAGTGTCAGACTGAGATTTCAGCTGCTGCTTCACTCACTCTCTCAATAATATCATCAGAATAAATTCTATTGAGGATTTCTCCCTCCCATGTAAATTCTGCTCCCTGGAGGGTTTTTCCAGAGGTTCCTCCGTTAATCCTGTATGTAAATTGCAGCCAATAGATGCTGTTGTTGAGTTGGGCTGGGATTAGCAGGAGGCGAATGAGTTTCAATTTTACTGGATTACAGAACAAAGAAAGGGGAAAGGGACACCCTGCACTGTTAAGGGAAAAAGAGAAATAAACTTGGAATAAATACTCAGAAAACAGACTTTAAACCGGGGATTTAAGCTCGACACTGGGATGATCGGGATTACGGTGTTTTAGCAGACGGTGGAGCGACATTGTGGATGGGAATTGTGAGCGATTCTGATGGATTAAAACGGGGGAATAAATAAACCTATTCCGGGATTGACAGCAGCAACAAGGCTATTTAATCGCTAATTAAGGTGAGATTTGTCTCCCCTTTTTCCATTCATGTTTAGTTTTATTGTATGTTTGCGCTGGGCGTGTTGGTTTTTGTGTCTGTGCCGATAGAAATTACAGATTATAACCTAATTTCTGGGCTGGGGGAGGAGATGAAAGGAAAAGTGCTAAGGCTAGTTAGCATAAGGGCTAACGCTGTCGAGCTAACGACTTTTCAGAACAGCTAGTTAGCTAAATGTGAAAGTAACCGTGAGGTAGTTAAGCAGCGTTGACTAGTTAGACTAGTGTTGAGTTAAAGCAGAGAGGTTGTGGTTAGTTATCGGTTAAACAGACGCCTCCCTGTAACCTTGTGAACAGTGGACAGCTAGCCTGTGTTTATTATTAGGATTCAGCGTCTGTCTGCTGCTGCTGTTGGCTTCATAACCTTCTGATGTTTTACTATCACTGTTCAGCTTACCGGACAAAACCAGCGAACTGAAGCCAGTTTACAACAATAACTAACATTTCAACTTGTGTTTACAATCATTTACTAACAGATAATCCGGTTACACTGTCATAAAGAGGCTGTACATAAACAATAAGCAGGTAATGTCTGTCCAAGGACGTGTCCGAACAAGTGGCTGGAGGGGGGTACAGCCCCACCACCATAAAGACACCTGCCCGGCCACCCCTAAACTTTTATCTGGATTTCACAGATTTGGTTAGACTTGATTTATTCTGGATTTTTGACTTGAAGAAATGACTCACAGTAAACACTAAACTTAAGAGGAGGAGTTTTCCTAAGAAAGGAAAAGTCTGAGGATTAATGTGGGACCAAGATGATAATTTCTCAGTATCCCTGCTGATATTTTTTAAGTGTTGAAACATCTGTGAGGAGATTTAAACTGGTAACAAAAAAGACAAACTATCAAGGACGCACCTTCATGACTCGCAAGAGAAAACTAGACCATCTGCAAAAACAAGGACCATTCATGTTTAGTAAGTTTTCAGCCTGTTTGGGTAAATCAGACAGGTTTGAGGGGGTAGGTGTTGGATGATGGAATAGAAAAATAAACTACTGTGTGTATATTCAAGATGAGTGAAAAGATGGGGCTCGACAATGCGACCGTTTCACTCGCATTTGCGACTAAAAGTAGATGTGTGTGAATTGTCAAATGTATTGAGGGTCACGTGTGTATAAAAAAATTAGCCGAGGTAACAAATGTTTTTTTTCCTGTAAATACGACGGTGAAGTTAGTTTTAGGTTGGATATATCTTCCTGTAAATACGGCCCTGAAAGACATAAAGTCTTCATATTTTTGCCCAAAGACTCAACTCATAGGACAAGATCAGCAACAATTACAGTTCTCACTTTGCCCACAGGGGGCGCCAGAGAAAACAAAAACAGAAAGTTCTGGACGGGAACTTTAACCTCCAGCTAACGACACAGTAAACGATGCAGTGCTAATGAAGACTACGGTTTCATGTAGTCGTTTGTTTCGGTGTGTCGACAGTCTGCTTAACCAGGTTTTATGTCAACACGGTCTGGGACTTAGTCGATTAACCAGCATTCAGAAAATTAACACAAATTTTCTTATATTTTTACCATCAAATGCACCAAATAATATTCCATGCATGTTATAAAAACACAGTTAACTTTTACCCGTCATGTTTAACTCTGTTGTAAATATTGGCCTTTTGACCCCCTGTCTCAATCGTTTGCTGATTAGCTAAAGTCGTCAGCATAAACATCTAAACTGATCACACATGCTCCTGTCAAAAACATGAACTTTTCCAGGTTTATTTCAGCCGCGTTACACTGAAGAGGCTGCAAATAGAGAATAATAGAGAAGCGTCTGCTGTGGTGTAGTCATCCTTTCTGATGGATAATGAGCGAACACATCTTTTAACACCGAGTTGTGTTGTAGTTTTTATTCCCTCTGTGCTCTCAGCTGTCGGCTCCTCGGGCTGATAGGAAGTTATTTTTAAAAAGTGACTGGTAGGAAACTCTGCTGGATTAAATTCGCAGGAGTACAAAGAAATCCGACAGGTTTGTACACACACTCATTTCCTTTTGCCAGAGCAGACCTTGACTTTATTTATGACTCTCAGGTCTCATATCCTGCAGTTTCAACCCTTTTTCTCCCGAGTCCAGCTTCTTAAAGTCACCTCTCTCTCTCCACTCTCATGTGGTGTGAGCTAAAGAGCTCGTTTTCAGGCAGAGGAAGTTTAGAAACAACTCCCAGCCGTGCGTGAAATCAAACAAGATCACGCCAAAACTATTACGGATATGTCAGTGTCGAGTTACCGCGCCTGAACCAGACCACATTTAGAAATAAGTCTTCTCACCAGGAACTCATTAGTTATCAATATTGGTGACCTGTAGTTGTAAATATCCGAAGAAACAAACACTTCATGTTTCTTTATTCACAAGTTTATAGTCTGAATGTCTGATCAATAAATGAACATCAGCAGATTAATCCGTGACAAACACGCAGAAAACAGGATTAACCGGTGTCATGGGAAACACGTCTCATGCGTGGAAATACTGACTCTAAATGACTGGATCTGAAGTTCATTACTGGTGCTGATCAATAAGGTATTGTTAATGTATTGATACTTTTAGGACACCTGAACATATTGGCTGCTGGATCCATTTTCTCTTCCCAAACTGGTCCGAGGGTTCTGCTTGTGCTCCAGAACTAGACTTGGAAGATGAGCAGCATCTATGTGGCGCATTTCTATCATTCGGTCCAAAGGTACAGAGCTGCGGACGTAGATACTCTAACAGCAGCGATCACTGAAATAGATCCAGTACCAGTACCAGACCAGGACCTCAGTGGGAGGTGTGGGCTCACACAGACTAGTTACTGGAATCAATGTCCTTATTGGTGTGGATATTACTGGTATTAGTGGTTTGAAAATGGCGGCACATCTGTGTCTGAACCTGATCCTGTGATTGAGTTATTACTGCAGCTCTTCACCACAAGTGACATCTATCACAGACAGTTCTACGTTCTTCTGTTTTAATCTTAGCTGAAACCTCCCACTCCTCCTATGATAACCTTGGTCAGGGTTCGGGATCCTGTCTAGATTCCTCAGTCCTGTCCGGCCCTGCAGCGGTTAACAGGAGCGATGGCGGCGTTCCCAAAGGGCCGTGGCCTGAGGCACAGGGCGTAAACAAAGGGATTATGAGCGTGTTTGCTTTGATGAGAAGTCCGATTTGGTTGTCAGACCACTCCCTGTCTTCCTGTTTCATGTTGTTGGTCCGTCTGAACTGAAGCTGTTCTCTTCCTGTTTAAAAGAAGAAAAGGTCCACAGGTATATGAAATAAAAACACATGATAACATGGAGTCAAGACAATAACATCCTCATACTATCAACGGAGCTGTAGAGAAGGGTTAACAGGAAACTGAAGACGCCTGTCAGTGAAGGTCCACATCTGTCTCAGTGAGCCTTTCCTTCGTACTGACCTCACCTGGTTTTACCTTCGATACTCACCTGGTTCACCAAAACCAGAGAGAGCAGCTGTGTACGAGTCCTCAGGGTGTTAACAGTCACAGTCCATAGTTGACAGAGTCAGAGGTATTTCAGAGAATTAACATTTTGACTTTAAAAGTCAAAGCTGCGTTAATGAGCGGAGTTAATGAACCCTTTTAGACTTCGCTCAGGTGTGTTTTATTAATCCAGCAGACACCAAACTCATGGTGTGTAGACGTGTTCATGTTTCCAGATGTGTGGTGAAAAACAAACACTCAGTCAGGATTTGATTTGGACCCCTTTGTCCTCCTTAAACACCTTAAATAAAGGTGTTCAGGGATTAGCTCTGAATGACATCCAGGCAGTGTGCCCAGGATTTCAGGAGCTGGAAGAACCATGCAGGAGAAATATACTGAAATTAGACATCAGCAGAAACGTAAAGAGGGACGAGGGGGGGGCTGGTTTTATTGATGCTGATAATCTTCTTAGTAAATGAAAATAAGAGCCGAGCGTCAAACAGGCAAATCATTTAATAACCAACCGAGATTAGAGAGGAGTTTAAAACACAACGACAGATTATAGGAGGAGTGAAGGAAGGTCTGCTGAAGAGGATCTACTGTTATCTACTGTCATCTACTGTCATCTACTGTCATCTACGGTCATCTACAGTCATCTACTGTCATCTACTGTCATCTACTGTCATCTACTGTCATCTACTGTCATCTACGGTCATCTACAGTCATCTACTGTCATCTACTGTCATCTACAGTCATCTACTGTCATCTACTGTCATCTACTGTCATCTACTGTCATCTACAGTCATCTACTGTCATCTACTGTCATCTACTGTCATCTACTGTCATCTACGTTTATCTACTGTCATCTACTGTCATCTACTGTAATCTACGGTCATCTACTGTCATCTACTGTCATCTAACGTCATCTACTGTGATCTACTACCATCTACTGTCATCTACTGTCATCTACTGTCATCTACTGTCATCTACCATCATCTACCGTCATCTACCATCATCTACTGTAATCTACTGTCATCTACTGTCATCTACTGTCATCTACGGTCATCTACTGTCATCTACAGTCATCTACTGTCATCTACTGTCATCTACTGTCATCTACAGTCATCTACGGTCATCAACGGTCATCTACTGTCATCTACTGTCATCTACCGTCATCTACAGTCATCTACAGTCATCTACAGTCATCTACTGTCATCTACTGTCATCTACGGTCATCTACTGTCATCTACTGTCATCTACGGTCATCTACGGTCATCTACTGTCATCTACTGTCATCTACTGTCATCTACGGTCATCTACGGTCATCTACTGTCATCTACCGTCATCTACTGTCATCTACAGTTATCTACGGTCATCTACTGTCATCTACTGTCATCTACTGTAATCTACTGTAATCTACTGTCATCTACTGTCATCTACTCTCATCTACGGTCATCTACTGTCATCTACCGTCATCTACCGTAATCTACTGTCATCTACTGTCATCTACGGTCATCTACTGTCATCTACTGTCATCTACTGTCATCTACTGTCATCTACTGTCATCTACTGTCATTAATCGTCCAGGTTGATACCGGCTCAGAAATCAGAGTGAATTCTGATTGAACCAAGTGAAGCTGAGAGCGTGAATTCCTCTGATCACCTGTTTCTAGACTAATTCTGCTTGAATTTGAGTGAAAGTTGGACCAGAACCAAAGTGGGTTTTGTTGGGATGTTTCTGTTCTTTAAAAATCACTTTGTCCATGATTTGGTTCTGTCTGTGAGAACAGAAAGAAGACCTGGACCTGGATTTGATCCATGCAGTTTGGGGACCAGCTTCATCATCAGAACCGCTCAAACTTGATTCTGGTCGAACCTGCGTTTGAAAGGCGTCCAGCCCGTGATCCGACACGCTCTGCCTGGACGCCGTTTAAAACACCGACACTCAAACCAACCAGAACTGCCGGCCCGGTTTTAATAACGGAGCTTTAAGCAGAGGGATGGTTATGAGGCGGCGGTAGCTCAGGAGGAAGAGCGGTCGTCTAATAACCGGAAGGTTGGCGGTTCAATTCCCGCCCATCCCAAGTCTGTCTGTTGTGTCCGTGGGCAGGACACTGAACCCACCTGACTCCCCGAGGTGTGACTGTGTGAATGAATGAATGATGTGAATAATGTATCTGATGTAAAGAGCTCTGAGGGTCTCTGATGAAGGACTGAATTAAATCTGATGAATTAAGAAGAATCTTTAATGTCTGAAGGTTTGCGGTCCGTCTCTGGGAAGTCTGGGGTTACTGATTCTGGTCCAGATAAACCTGCTCAGTATTCTGAGAGAAGAACCTGAAGAGGACTGTGAAATCATACTAAAGCTTCCTCTGGCACTGCAGTTGACATGGCATTACCCATGATCCTCTGTTGATCCCCGCCGCTCTCCTCCTCCTCGCTCCTTCTTCTTCTTCTTCTGCAGTTTTAATCTGTGAGGGAGAGACGGCGTCTATTTCCAGGCTGTAATAATTTAAGGGGGGGGGGGGGCTAATGTTCGCCGGCCCCTGAGGGGGGGAGGCAGATTTAGACGGCCAATAGACTTGGCACAGTGAGAGTGGTGCAGCTGAACCCCACCACAGCACACACACACACACACGCACACACACACACACTCTCTCTCTCTCTCTCTCTCTCTCTGTATTGAGTCAGTGGCGCTCAGCCCTGCCAGAGGCGAGTATAATGGTTCCCAGTGTCTGGAGAGATTAAAGGCCAGGGCTGCATTGTTCAAATGCCCCGAGATTAGTTTCCAAGGAGACGGGTTTCCGTTGCCATGAGAACATAGTGTCTGGCTTTAGCTGAGCGGTTTTTCCTCGAACTGCTCCGTTTATCTGTTTACAAGTTTACTCACATGGTTCTGGAGGTCTGGAGGGTTCTGTTTTGGAGTTACAGTGGAAGTAAAAACTGATCCTGGTCTTCAGAGTCAGTGTCTCCTCGTTGTCTTCCTCGTGTGATAATCAAGTTTAAAGAGTTTAAGCACAGTCCTGGTTTTAGTCTGATCTGGATCTCTGTCTCGGTTAGTCTTTGATAGACTGCAGCAGACATCCATGTCCTTCTTTGACCTCTGCTGACCTTTCTCATCACCTGCTTGACGTGAAGTTTGTTCATGTAGTTCCTGACTTTGGATCAACATCTCTGATTACCTTGTTATTGACCGAATTATTGACGTGAACGTGTCCTCCTCCCCAACACTAGGGGGCGATATGGGTCTTTACAACCGTCAACAACAACAGCAGGTCGGTGTCAGACGTCAGAAGTGTCTACAACTGCTGCTGGGCATTTTGGAGAAACAAGAAGATGGAGCATCGTACAGCGTTGTTTTTGTCCGACATGATGGACGCGCTACTTTTTCTAAAGAGGAGACCAACGCTACTCCTCTACTCTGGGGGTTTGTTACGGGGTTACGGGGGCGTGGCGTCATACTGCGACTACGCTGGTTACATGGTAGAGAAAATCGGATTCCAATCTCATTATCTGGGTGTTTTAATCTGAGTTCTTAAACTCTGATTATAGTCGGACTAAAGTGTTTACATGACCTTCAGTTGTCCGGTCTTTATTGGAGTAAGACAATAATTCGATTTTCTCAAGTGTCACGTAGACATACTGAGTGATTTGATCAGAGAAAAGCAGGAGCTGAATTGAAGTCTGTAATCATTCAGTGTTTCTGAGGTTTTGGACCCTGACGAACATCAAAAACACTGGTTTTAAAGTTTGTAGACACCATCTCAAATGTTTGTTGATTAGTTCTTTCTGAAAAAGGTCAGTCAGTTTATCGGTAACACGTCAAGATTCACCTCTTTGTGAGAGACTGTGTGAGCGTTAAATCTCAGAATAATGTTTGTCAGTGTCAAACTGACAGTAATTCTGGGATCTCATGGCCTTCAGCGTAAATATCATTAACAGATCTGAGAAAGGCTGAACAAACCAGAACTGTGACTCTGGAGGGGGAGTCACCGCACAGACTCCAAACAAACAAACAAACAAACAAACAAACAAACAAACAAACAAACAGCGTTAAAACTTTACTGCAGAGGAACCAGCAGATTCAGAGGAGAGTTCACTTCATCATCAAACTTTCACAGTTTCAGTCGTTTCAGGAAACTCAGATGAAAGTTTGTCCCTGAAATGTTTTTATTTCAGCCACAGAGTTTAAAAGTTTTCCTGTAAATCAGCCGACTCTGTGTTTATTCATGATTCACACAGCAGGTCCACTGTTCTGGTTCTGGGTCGGTTTAGGGTTTTTATTTGGACCGGTCCGTCACTAACTTTACTTTTACCTGATAAAAGATCATAAATCCTGTTTCAGACCGGGTCTTTATTTTGAGTCGATTAAAGACTGTTTGTAAATCTGAACAAAGAGAGAATAACTGAGGCTTCAGTAACCAACAGGATTATTATTAATAATGATAATTAAATGTATTATTATTATTATTATTGACAGTCTTCAGTTCTACTTTAGAGATAATGTTTTTAGTCCACAGACTATAAGAGAGAATAAATGAACAAAAATAAAAAACTGTAAAAAATGATGATTTAATAAAAACCTCTTTATTTAAACGAGTCGATCCAGACCTCTGTTCTTAAAAAATCATGATCCTGTATCAGAGACGTCTCCCTGATCCTCTGAACTCAAACTCACATTTGCTTAAAGTCAAAATAAACCGACTCAGCAGAAACTGCTTTGACTGCAGCTCGCCGCTGCTGCACGTGTGTGCACGTGTGTATGTGCACGCTCACACGCCGCTCTCTGTCTGTGTGGCGCTGTCGTGGCCGTCTGCCTAAACTCTGGTCGTCTGTCCCCGCAGAGGCATGGCTCAGATGAGGAAGCTGGCATGTGACGGCATCAGGACCAACTCCCGGGGCGAGCTGCAGGTCCCGCTGGTGTCGGCCCGACAGGAGATCCTCACCAGCCTGGTGTCGGCGCTCGACTCTGTGGTAAGTCCAGAAACAGGAAGACTGTGGAGATCTGGACCTGAGAGGAACAGATGGAAACAAAGAAAAACAAGTGATTTCTGATCCTCTGTCATAAAACGGAATAATTATGATTATGATAATAACAGTTATAATAATACCAATAATCATTTTGATATAGATTATGATAATGATAATAATAACAACATTAATAAAGACAGTAATAATAACAATATTAATATTAATTATGAAATTTATAATATCAACAACAATAATAACATTGATAACTATAACTATAATAACAGCAATATTAATATTTTAAATATGAAAATAATGATAACAAGATTAATGACAAAAATAATGATGATAATAATAATAGTAATAATTATAATAATTCAGAAAAATGAAAACATAGATAATGGTAATAATTATGATTATAACAATAAATAATAATTATAATGATATCAAATGATAATAATAATAATAGTAGTAATAATAGTATTTATAATGATGATTAAAGCCTAATTATGTTGATTAAAATGATGATAATAATAATAAAAATAACAATATCAATGATATTAATAATATTGATAATAATGTTGATATTCAAAATGATAATGATAATAATAATAATTATATGTTTAGCCTAATTATGATAATATTGATAATAACTGATGTTGTGTTTCTCTCGTTAAATTCAGTTTGGCATCGTTAACCCTGAGGTAACCTGGGGGCGGAGCTATCTCTGTCCCCTCTGAGTTCAGTCGTTCTCATTATTTGACATCCGTCTGGTCCTGATCTTCATGACTCCTGTGTGTTGTTGTTTTCCAGTGTATGGCCATGTCCAAGCTGAACGCAGAGGTGGCGTGCGTCACGATACACGAGGACAGCGTGATCGCGGTGGGCACGGAAAAAGGCCGAGTGTTCCTGAACTCCAGGAGGGAAATCCAAACAGACTTCTACAAGTTCTGCCGTAAGTTTCCTCCTCCTCCTCCTCCTCCTCCTCCTCCTCCTCCTCCTCCTCCTCCTCCTCCTCCTCTTCGTCTTCTGGAGGATCAGTGACTCTTCATCATTCAGTTTGAAGGAAAATCAGATCTTCTTATTGCTGCTAAATCTGAGAGGTTCACCTAAAAACGCTCTCATGTCAGCGTCAGGCTCAGTGTTTCTGGGATCGTGTGTTTTAACAGTTTCCTGTGTCGGTCCATTTTTTCAGCTTCATGTGTTTTTCTTCTTCTATCCATGAAAATCTTCGGATGTTTCTGAAACTGTGTTTTTACGCCTCATTTAGTAAAACCATTCACTGTGTTTGTAAAATAACCGTCATCACCGCGCTCCTCTTCTGTGATGAGACACTCAGAGAGGCGTGACGGAGACGTATTCAGGCGAGGAGAGTTTATCTAAGACACGCCTCTGAGACGTGAGGCGATTCAAACTTCAGCTGCAGCGTGACGACAAACGACGGAAACAACGGAAACAACGGAAACAACAGACGGACGAGGAAGACCAGGAAGACTCAACAAGAGATTACAGATTACAGACTGTATACTACAAATTACAGACTACAGATTACAGATTAAGTACTACAGAATAATTCTTAGTTTCGTCTCTTTTTAAAGAAAATTCAAACTCCAAGAGAAACTGATAACAAAAGTGAAAATTAAAAGAAGAAGAGGAGAAACTTTTTCAGATCTGACTTTAATATTTTTTCAGATTATAAAAATGGTTTCAGAGGAATTTAAAGTTTCTGATGTTGAGAGTCTGACCTTCACAGCTGAGGAGACATGACAGCAAACGCTCAATCCCACTTAGTCCTGAAGAGTCTGGGTCGGATCAGTCAGAGTCTCTGCAGCAGGAACAGATTTAGGTTCTCTGCAGACGGTCAGACGGTCAGACGGTCACGATGATCTCTGTCAGTGAAGGAGCTGAGGTGAGGTTCTCTGCAGACGTTCATGATAGACTTCTGTCTTCTGTCCTCAGGGCTGCCATGTCTTCAGAACCTGACCCCAACAAATGTCCATACCAAAGACCAGGAAGGCGACCACAGCAAACTGAGCAAAGATGGCGACCACGGGAAACAGAGAGCGCCGTCAGACGCCCAGTCCAACGTCTTTGTTCTGAGGAAGATGGTGGAGGAGGTTTTCACCGTGCTCTACAGTAAGGATGGGACTTCTGAAGCTCCTCACGGAGACGGTCTGATGTTGGTCTTCATCAGAGTCGGTCAGGACGGTCTCTCTCTTCTTCCTCCTGCAGGTGAGGCTGTGGGGAAGAGCAGCCTGGTCCCTGTGCCTTATGAGTGGATCCAGAAGGACCCCGGCTGCGTGGTGGCCCACGGTCTGCCCGACGGCGTCGCCCTGAAGAAGCCCTCGGACTACGACACCAAGACCCTGATGAAGATCCTGGAGCAGAGCCACAGAATCCACTTCACAGTGAAACGGTGAGTGAGCTCAGATCTCTGAACTCTGGTGTCAGAGAACGAGAGAGAGAGAGAGAGAGAGAGAGAGAGAGAGAGAGAGAGAGGGAGAGAGAGGGAGAGGGAGAGGGAGAGAGAGAAAGAGAGAAAGAGAGAAAGAGAGGGAGAGAGAGAGAGAGAGAGAGAGAGAGAGAGAGAGAGAGAGAGAGAGAGAGAGAGAGAGAGAGAGAGAGAGAGAGAGAGAGAGAGAGAGAGAGAGAGAGAGAGAGAGAGAGAGAGAGAGAGAGAGAGAGAGAGAGAGAGAGAGAGAGAGAGAGAGAGAGAGAGAGAGAGAGAGAGAGAGAGAGAGAGAGAGAGAGAGAGAGAGAGAGAGAGAGAGAGAGAGAGAGAGAGAGAGAGAGAGAGAGAGAGAGAGAGAGAGAGAGAGAGAGAGAGAGAGAGAGAGAGAGAGAGAGAGAGAGAGAGAGAGAGAGAGAGAGAGAGAGAGAGAGAGAGGGAGAGAGGGAGAGAGGGAGAGGGAGGGAGAGAGAGAGAGAGAGAGAGAGAGGGAGAGAGTGAGAGAGAGAGAGAGAGTCCAGACCAGAGGGATCTCCTGCTGAGAGATCTTCTGAGAAGTCAAACTAACTTCAGATCCAAACGTCTGATCCTGAGAAGCTTCGATTAGAGCCGTGGGCGTCAGAGCGCGCTCAGACGGATTCTGTAAATCTAAACGTTGAATCTTGATCTGAAATCATAGATTCTCATTTCATCCTCTAGATGTCTCTCTCCTTGTTTCTGTCCTCAGACCTGCAGAAGAGTCCAAGTCCAGCACGGATGTCAATCACAACTCCTCCTCTGCCGTCATGACGCCGGGCGCTCACAGCGGCGCAGCTAAATCCGCCGCACAGTCGTCCAGTCCCGCCACGTCCGGTTCCTCGGTCCTGTCCAGTTTCCTGTACGGCATGCCCATGTCCTCCAAACCTCACCCTGATGGGAAGCTGGACTTCAAACCCATGTCCCTCCTCAACCTGGGCAAAGACAGGGCGGCCAACTGGACGGCAGGGGCCGACAAGACGGGGACATCCATGAAGGACTGCGGCGGCACCGGTAAGACCGTGTCAGAGCGCCACCTTCAGGTCGGGGTCAAACAGCCGAGCGTGACACACTGTTAGCTGTAAATTCAGGAGTGAATCAGAGCGAAGCTTTCACCGATAAAAACAGAAGTTTAATAATCGTCATAAAACAGAAACATGTTTTTATCAGAAACTCAGAGTTCAGAGGAAATTACAGAAAACGAGAAAATGACTCCTTACTTTACTGAGAGCAGCTCTTTGATCCGTCTGATGATCGTGTCTGAGGAACAGAAACACGCAGATTTCACTTCCTTTAAAAACCTGTTTTGTTTTCCTGTTCCAGACGAGTCATCCAGACCTCCTGGTGAGCAGGGTCAGAGTCCTCCTGGGGTCCACATCTCCAAGAGGCTCCTCTTCTCCATCGTGCACGAAAAGTCAGGTAAGGTCGACGCATCACCACGTGTTAGTGTGAGTCCATATCAGCTGACATTGACCTTCATCACTCCTGATTGATCACTGATCGATCACATGGTTTATATAACATCATTTCACACAAACTGGAGGAATCAGTCCAGAGACTCGACACTGACATGAAACCAACATCAGACCTCCAAATATGGAGGAATTATCTGGTGCCAGCGCGTGATTGGTCGGTACTGTTACACATGGATAAACTCTCGAGCTCAAATCAACGATATCTGATCAGGGATCGACTCTAACTTTGTTCACAAGGAGCACAAAGAACTTTAGGGGATCAATGAAAACTGATCAATAATGTTTGTCTTATTGATCGACCTTAGTACTATTATTAGAAATCAATTTTAGGTCTTTTGGTCACATGACAGTGAAGCTTTTGAAGGAAAACAGCCTTTTCTGAGAACATCAACCGGTAATTTATTGACGGTCCCTTATTCAACACCGACGTTGACAGTGAGGGTGTCGAGTAGATTTAACCGCGCTGCTGTTGTTATTCCCGGTTATGGAGAGTGAGAAGACACCGGTAGATCCTCAGAGAATGTCCGTCAGATATCCAACCTGAAACTAACTTCACCGCCGTATTTACAGGAAAATATATCCAACCTGAAACTAACTTCACCGCCGTATTTACAGGAAAATATATCCAACCTGAAACTAACTTCACCGCCGTATTTACAGGAAAATATATCCAACCTGAAACTAACTTCACCGCCATATTTACAGGAAAATATATCCAACCTAAAACTAACTTCACCGCCGTATTTAGTTGAGTTTTGACAAAAACAACCGAAGTCCTCAGCAGCATTTATCAAATGGACATGAAGGACAGCTGAGGTCCTCACTGAGGTTTCAAACATCTCTCCTCAGTCTGAAGTCTGCTTCTCTAGACCCTGGGAATGACACATATAGATATAGATATATAAATATAGATCAGTAAAGCCGTGTGTGTGGTCATGTATGTAAAAATAGAAGTTCCCGTCTGCTCTCAGGGTTGGTTCCCGTCTTCCTGATCCTCCTGAGTCCTGCTCACAGACTGGTCCAGAAGCCAAGTGCTGTTTACTCAACAAAAGGCTTACCGAACACTAAAGCTGCAAAATTAAGAGCTAAGCTGCTAATATGTCAGGAATAATCCCCTAAGAAGATTGCTCTCACTTCCACAGCTGATACTGAGTTGATGTAGAAGATTAATTTGTTCGTTTGAGCAGAAGAAGAAGAATAAAAACAGCTGATTTAAGGAGAACGTTTGTGTTTGTTCTCCTGCAGAGAAATGGGACTCCTTCATCAGAGAGACGGAGGACATCAACACTCTGAGGGAGTGTGTGCAGATCCTCTTCAACAGCAGATACGGTCAGGAGAATCTACTTACTCTAGTTCTATGTTTCAGAATCTCAGAATCTTCAGAATCTCCTCCCTCCTCCCTCTCTCTCCTCCTCCTCTCTCCTCCCTCTCTCCTCTCTCTCCTCTCTCTCTCCTCTCTCTCTTCTCTCTCTCCTCTCCTCCTCCTCCCTCTCTCTTCTCCTCCTCTCTCTCTCCTCTCTCTCCTCTCCTCTCTCCTCTCCTGCCCCTCCTCCTCCTCCCTCTATCTCTCTCCTCTCTCTCTCCTCCCTCTCTCTCCTCTCTCTCCTCTCTCTCCTCCCTCTCTCTCCTCTCTCTTCTCTCTCTCCTCTCCTCCTCCTCCCTCTCTCTTCTCCTCCTCTCTCTCTCCTCTCTCTCCTCTCCTCTCTCCTCTCCTGCCCCTCCTCCTCCTCCCTCTATCTCTCTCCTCTCTCTCTCCTCCCTCTCTCTCCTCTCTCTCCTCTCTCTCCTCCTCCTCTCTCCTCCCCCTCCTCCTCTCTCTCCCTCCTCCTCCTCTCTCTCTCTCCTCCTCCTCTCTCTCCTCTCTCTCCTCTCCTCCTCCTCCTCCTCCCTCTCTCTTCTCCTCCTCTCTCTCTCCTCTCTCTCCTCTCTCTCTCCTCTCTCTCCTCTCCTCTCTCCTCTCCTGCCCCTCCTCCTCCTCCCTCTATCTCTCTCCTCTCTCTCTCCTCCCTCTCTCTCCTCTCTCTCCCTCCTCCTCCTCTCCTCTCTCTCCTCCTCTCTCCTCCTCCTCTCCTCTCTCTCTCTCTCTCCTTCCTCCTCCCCCTCCCCCTCCTCTCTCTCTCCTCCTCCTCCTCCCTCCCTCTCCTCTCTCTCCTCCCTTTCTCTCTCCTCTCTCTCCTCTCCTCTCTCCTCCTCTCTCCTCTCTCTCTCTCTCTCTCTCTCTCCTCCTCTCTCCTCTCCTCTCTCCTCTCCTCTCTCTCCTCTCCCTCTCTCTCCTCTCTCCTCCCTCTCCCCCTCCTCCCCCTCCCTCTCTCTCCTCCTCTCTCTCCTCCTCCTCTGTAGATGTTGATGGATTGAGGTCAGTGTTTCGGTTTGATCTCCTCCTCTCTCCTCCCCCTCCCTCTCTCTCTCTCTCTCTCTCTCTCCTCCTCTCTCTCTCCTCCCTCTCTCTCCTCCTCTCTCTCTCCTCTCTCCTCTCCTCTCCCTCCCCCTCCTCTCCTCCTCTCTCCTCCTCTCTCCTCTCCTCTCTCTCCTCTCTCTCCTCTCCTCCTCTCTCCTCCTCTCCCTCCTCCCCCTCCTCCCTCCTCTCTCCTCCTCCTCTGTAGATGTTGATGGATTGAGGTCAGTGTTTCGGTTTGATCTCCTCCTCTCTCTCCTCTCCTCTCCTCTCTCTCTCTCCTCTCTTTCCTCCTCTCCCTCTCTCTCCTCTCCTCTCTCTCCTCTCCTCTCTCTCTCTCTCTCTCTCTCTCTCTCCTCTCTCTCCTCCCCCTCCTCTCTCCTCCTCCTCCTCCTCTGTAGATGTTGATGGATTGAGGTCAGTGTTTGATCTCCTCCTCTCTCTCTCCTCCCTCCTCCCCCTCCTCCCTCCTCTCTCTCCTCCTCTCCTCTCTCCTCCTCTCTCCTCTCTCTCTCTCCTCCTCTCTCCTCTCTCCTCCTCCTCTGTAGATGTTGATGGATTGAGGTCAGTGTTTGATCTCCTCCTGTTTTGGATCTTTGGAGATGATGAATCCTTAAATTTCCTCCTCGTCTCAGTCGTAGTTAAATCTCTGTGTCGTTCAGGTTCTTTGTGTTTCTACAGGAAGTGAACATGAATTAAAGGAGGAGACACTTCCTGTTTACAGACTGTTTATTTATCGGAGCCCAAAGCGCTGATTTTCGTTCCCTTTAAGTTCAGGTTCTCCGCCTCTCCTCTGCCCCGCCCCCTCCAGCTGCACGCCAAAATAAGATCAACCTCAGAGGAGCGCTGAGGTTAGAGGCGGGGCCACACAGGTCATTTCTAACCTCTCCACTGTGTCCCCCCCTCAGCTGAGGCCCTGGGTCTGGATCACATGGTGCCTGTCCCGTACCGGAAGATCGCCTGTGACCCCGGCGCCGTGGAGATCATCGGCATCCCGGACCAGATCCCCTTCAAGAGACCCTGCACCTACGGAGTCCCCAAACTCAAACGCATCCTGGACGAGCGCCACGGCATCCGCTTCATCGTGAAGAGGTAACCATGGCAACAGTCGACCTGACGGTCTGATGGCGTTTGTCCGGTCAGGTCCTCAAAATGAAAAACTCTCAGGTCCTCCACTTTTTTAAGAGCTGATGACGAGAAAGTTTGAGTCAAAGATCGTTAACGAGCTGATACTGCTGAGTTAACGAAGGGTTAACGTCACGGTAACGCCCCTCTCTGAACTCACAGCCGCTCTTCTCTCTCTCTCTCTGTTTCAGGATGTTCGATGAGCGGATCTTCACAGGTGAGAAACCAACAGTGATGTTTTTGTTGTCATGACGACCTCATCAGCTGTTTTAGCTCTTTTACCGTAAATGACAGGATATAATGACAGTAAATAAAGATGGAGGACGACCGCTGTCTTTCCTTCATTACCTCAAAAACTAGAATCAAAGAATAAAAACTGATCCAGATCCATAAAAACCTGAACCTCGTCCTCACGCCCAGACTTGTTGATGGCGGTCTAAACGGCGTCCTCGCTCTTTGCTCTGTGACAGGATGAAAAAGTTGACAGTGAAACTTTCTTTTTTTGTGTTGGTTTGGAATCTGTCCGAGTGAGGGGCATCTACATGTTTGTCTAAGTAGAGTCAGCAGAGAGAGTCAGCTCTATGTTTGTATATCTACGCCCCACAGTCGCAGGTTTGTTTGTTTATTTCTCTGTTTTTGTCGAAGCTGCTGGAAAAATCGCCAGAGAGGAGGGAAAACTAGACCTGAGCTCCACGCCTGAAGACGGCTTCCCCGATGGTCTGACCATCCCGCCCACCGCCACCACCGCCGCCGAGCTGGTCAGCAATCCTCACAGCAGCAGGTTGGAGCGCCGCCCACACACACACACACTCACACACACACACACACCAACCCTGCAGCCTGTGTTATTTTGATGCAGAAACATGAGAAAGTGTTTTTACCCTCCGGTCTCTCCTGGATCTTGTGGTCCACGTCTCTGCACCCCCACACAGAAGTCTGATCTGGATTTACTGGATCTGTTCAGCAGACCTGAACTCCAGTTTATCCTCTGAATCACGGGTTCTTAACCAGCTTCACTCTGGGACTCACAGTTTGGTCCTGAAGTCACGACCCACTTTTATAAATATATATACAAAATTTATCAGTTTTATTTTTTATTTAAAAAAAACTCAAATCTTTGATATAAATCGACCGTTTTTATAGAGTAAAGTTCATTCCAGAGAACATGATCTGATGACGACGACTGAAGTTACTTAAACAGAAAATATCAAATCAAACAAAATAAAGACCAAAAAAAAACCATGTAATTTTTCTGCATTCAGGACACTTTAAACTGAGGAGGACCACGACATAACGCAGGCCTTTCAAAATAAGATATTTTTCAAAATAAAAGACTTGTCAAACATCAGATGCGCGTCAAATATTTACTTTTCTTGATCAGCTGTTTGCGACCCATCCAGAACGTGTCCATGACCCACTTTTGGGTCGGGACCCACCAGTTGAGAACCACTGCTCCAAATCTGCTGTTCCAGGCTCCGGTTAATGTAGACCGGTTCAGGGGGACAACCATGTGGATCCTCATGGATCTGACAACGAGGAGGTTTTTCTAAACCAGGAAATGTTTCAGTCCGAGTTTCAGTCGAAGCGTCGGGTTTTAGAGACGCTTTAAACGGCGGGTAGAAAACCTGAACATGACCACGAGAAACTCGAGTAACTCTGAGTGAGTTTAAAAGTCTGAGGTGGATCTGCTCAGACGTAGAGAGTCCGGCCCAGTTCCAGGAGAACTGTTGGGACTTTAAGTGTCTCCTCTGAACCCTGCTGAGTTTCTTGTGTTTGATTTAATTCCACAGATCGACAAGTGCGTGTGTGAGCCCCCTGGCCGACTGTGAAGCAGGTACGTACGACAAAACCAGAGCTGCTGCTGCTTCATCAACACCTTTGATTTGATCTCAAACCCGGGGTGAGGAGGTAAAGTCTGAGAGAGACATGAGAAAAAGTCTCATCGAGTCCCTTCATAGACGTCCTCTCACCGACTTAGAGCAGTTTCAGAGTTAAAAACAGAGACACACGCTGACAGGAACCCTCTGCTCCATCCCTGCAGGTCCTTCAGGAGACTGCATCCCTCTGAAGAGGATTAAAACCGAACCTCCAGACGGGGAAATCATCCAGGTGATGGTGCCAGGTGAGTCTGCACACGCTCAGTGGGCGTTAACTTTCAGGAGACATAATGGCGAGCCAGCCAGGACTGAAACCTGGTAGGTCCTCAGAGAGACCAGGATGGTTTAAAGGTGGGGATCCTGTGGGGCTGACCTTTGACCTGTGGTCTTGTGTGTCTGTGCAGAGGCCGGTTCGAGTGCGGAGGAGCCGAGTGAGTCTGTGTCCGAGCCGGTCGCAGCTGCCGCAGCCTCGCCCTCTGCGCCGTCTGCTCCCTCTGCTCCTTCAGCTCCTCCTGCTCCTCCTGCTCCGTCTGCTCCCCACCACCCGCTGGAGAACCACGCAGGTAAGCTCCGCCCCCCTCTGACTGCAGCTCAGTCTCACCCAGCATCCATCCACCAGCGTAAAAACACTTCTCCTGTTTTCTTTCTTCCTCCACAATCTAAACTCCCACGACCCCGACCTCCCAGCTCCTTAACCTCGGTCCTTAGCTCCGCCCCCTCGATCCGCCCCAAAGTGTCTCTAATCTGTAAAAGACAGACCGCATCATCTTCAGACTCTTCAGGTGTAAATTTGTCAGATGGTGCCATCTGTGTTTTTACAGAGCTGGAGTTACAGACCGTCCTTCAGGTGTTTCAGAGTCACAGACCTGCTCCTCATAGTTCCCACCAGTCCTCCATAGTCCTCCATAGTCCTCCACAGTCCTCCATAGTCCTCCCTCCATCCTACACAGACTTAGACTAGAGACCGAGACCTCTGAGGAGACTTCACTCTCTCTGTACAAACCTGCAGATCATCAACACAACGTTCCTAACCCTCGTCTCGTCCTCTGAGGACATGTGTCATGTTGTTCCTCTTTATTCTGAGCCGACAGTCTCAGTTTGAAAGATCGGAAAATTAAATTATCGGAGAGTTTTTATTTTTCTTCATGTTAAAAATAAACTCGGTGTCTCCTGTAGTTCTCCGTCGCCACATTTTAGCTCCGCCCACCCTCCTTTGTCGGCCAATAGACTTCCATTAAAAACAGTTTTTTTTGAGAGTTTGTGTTTACGTCTCCATAACAACATATTAAACCTTTTTTCTGCAGTCAGTCGATCAGCAGGACTCTAAATCTGACTGATATATGTGTGTAATCAGGGTCATATTTTAGTTAGAGGATAAACACTTGTAAATGATTCCTATCTTACAGATATCTTCTGATTTTATATATTTTTATATATAAAATTAATTTATTATGAACAAATGAATTTGATCACATTTGTTTTGGTCGAGGACGAGGCTCCAGAAAAGGAGGTAAAAATGTCGAGTTTTTCCGCTCCAACAGACTCAGCTGTTAAAAACTTTATCAATAAAAATGACACGGTGAACAAAAACTGGAATAAAAAGGAAAAAAACATCAAATTTTTTATTTATTACTTTTTTAATGATCAGAGCTGAAGTTGTTTCAGAGATTTGAGTCAAAAAAAGTTTAAAAACATGTTAAAAATGATGATTTTATGAACATTTATCTGCATGTCCGTTTCGGGGACAAAGTCGGCTGGATGGAGCTTCAGATTAACAGGAACTAAAGGGTTAAAAAAAGTCACTTCGTGTTGGGGCGTCCTCATGAAGTGGGCGGAGTCTCCTCGGCGGTCTGGGGTCCAGCTGTCAGGACACCTTTTGTTTTGTTTGTTTGATTTCATTGTGCTGTGTTTAAGTTTTCTTTTCTTTCACCAACGACCTCTAAAGGAGACAGAACACAGGTGAGTGCAGATCATTCACTCACATCTCTGTCATTTCTGCTCATGTCTGGACCGGTACCAAGTCCAGAACCATGTTTGAAAGTGGGACTGGACCCAGTTAGACCATCATCATCATCATCATCAGTGTAACCTTCATCTTAATGACAGTCAGGGACATCTAAATCTGGGACAGGCTGATAGGTTCATCAGAGAAGGACCGGGACATAGAGAGTCAGAACCTCAGATCTGAGACCCCCTGTGTGTTACCTTAGAGAGTCTGGGTTCTGGACTCTACTGACAGAAAACCAGAACCCGTCCTGTTCGATAAGGTCCGAGTGTCACTGCTTCAGTCAGCTGATCTGACACTAAGAGGGGTGGGACTGGTCACCCGGGTAACCAGGTAAACAGATGATCACAGAGAGGTCCGGTTCAGGGAGCGTCAGAAAACACGAAGGAACCTGCTGGTTTATTTTAGTCAGTAAAATCACTGATTGAATCTTTAGTTTTGTTGATGCTTCACAGCTGATCAGGTTTCACTCCTCTGATGGTGTTTCTCCATCTTCTGTAGCAGAGCCTCTGTCTCCCAGTTCGATGTCCCAGAGCATCAGAAGATCCTCTGAAGGTACGTCAGACCGACCCGCTCACTGCTCTGGAGGATGGAGGAGAGTCGGACCTTTATATGAGTGTGGGAGAGGACAGTACAGTTTAATATAAGACAGTACAGTTTAATACAATACTATAGAAGACAGTATGGTTATATACAATACAGTACAGTACAGTTTAATATAAGACAGTACAGTTTAATACAATACTATAGAAGACAATGTGGTTATATATAATACAGTACACTTCAATACAATACTATAGAATACAATGTGGTTATATATAATACAGTACACTTCAATACAATACTATAGAATACAATATGGTTATATATAATACAGTACAGTTTAATATAAGACAGTACACTTCAATACAATACTATAGAATACAATATGGTTATATATAATACAGTACAGTACAATACAATACAGTACAGTTTAATATAAGACAGTACAGTTCAATATAATATAATACAGTTAAAACAGTTCAATTCAACAAAATACAGTTTAATAATATTCAATACAGTTTAATACAGTTCAGTTTAATATAATTTATCACAATTCAATACACTTCAATAAAATACACTTAAGTTTAATACAGTTTAATATAATACAGTCAAATATAGTTTAATTTAATACAGTTGAATAAAATACACTTCAATACAGTTTAATACAGTTTAGTTCAACACAAAACAGTTTAAAACAGTTCAATAAAGTTCAATGCAATACATTAAAATACAGTTCAATTTAGTACAGTTTTATGAAATACATTTTGATAAAATTCAATTCATTCCAATACAGTTTAATATAATTAAATAGAGTTCACTACAATTCAATACAGTTTAATACCATATAATACAGTTATATACAATACAGTACATTTCAATAAAGTGCAATTCAACACAATACAGTTCAATACAGTTCAATACAGTTTAATTTAACACAATACTGTATAATACAGTTAAATATAATACAGTTCAGTACAATACAGTACTTTTCAAGTGCGATTCAACACAATACAGTTTAATACAGTTTAACACAGTATAATATAGTATGACACAGTTCAGTACAATTCAATACAGTTTAATGTAATACTGTTTAATATAATACAGGTCAGTACAGTTCAGTCTCTCTCTCTCTCTCTCTCTCTCTCTCTCTCTCTCTCTCTCTCTCTCTCTGACGACCTCTGACCTCTCATGAAAATGTCTTCTCTCCTCTCTGACTCCCTCAGCCGGCAGTTTGGTGGAGGATATCGGTGAGATGATTCTGCAGCTCCGGAGACAAGTGGAGAACCTCTTCAGCATCAAGTTTGGTAAGAGTCCTGAACCTGCAGATCTTTGTGGTCCTTGTTTTTATGACTGTGAAGGTTTCTAAAAGCACCTCTCAGACCTTAGACATTCTCAGACATGATGAGGGTCCAGACCATGAAGGACCTGTTTTGACAGAGACTTACCTGATCCTACCGTACTTCTTCTTTGGGTCACATGTCAGACTTCTCTCTCTCCACCTCCTCTCCCTCAGCTGAAGCTCTGGGTCTCCCAGAACCAGCCAAGGTGCCGTACTCCAAGTTCCAGATGTACCCGGAGGATCTGTACGTCACCGGGCTGCCGGAGGGAATCTCACTGCGAAGGCCGAACTGTTTCGGAGCGGCTAAACTACGAAAAATCCTGAGTGTGAGCGGACAGATCCAGTTTGTCATCAACAGGTGAGAGCAGGACTGTGAGACCGGATCAGAACCACGTTTGGTATTAAGACCGCTCTATCAGAGACTGTCTGAACCTTCATGTTCATGTTCAGTCTTTGATACGTCCCTCTGTGTTTGTCTGCAGACCTGAGCTGCTGACTGAGCAGGTCAAACAAGAGATGCCTTCCATCCCCGTCTGTGATCCAGGTACGAAGATCTGACCCCCAATCTCCACCTTCATCCTGATCGTCTCCTAAAAGGTCGTATCCTCCGATCGTAGCTGATCGTAACCATTCAAGTTAATGTGTCAATTTACACCGACTTCTTTCCGTTCCTCTGCGGATCGCCGGACTCCTCAGCTGATCACAAGAGTTCTATTTTTTCTGGACGCCGGAGCATGGCGGATAAATTCAGCACAGATTAACCCGTGCTGGAAAGGAAGTCGGGCACAGACACAAAATAAAACATCCGGCTTCTTTTCAAAATAAAACACTCCGTGTTTCAGGAGGATCGTATTTCACACCATGCAAACGGGCGGAGACGAACAAGTGAAAGGTTTTTAGACGTCATTTCACCCCGATGACACCATGGATGAGGAGATGCTGATTCTAGAAGTCTAGAAGTAGATTTCCTCCTCTGGAAGGACACAATCTACTGCTTATATGTCTATGTGTCTGTCTTTAGAGAGACAACTCGTTATCGCGCGATTGAGCGTGAATCTGCAGGTTCTTGTGAGTTCTTGTGATTCCTGATGTCTGTAATCCGCCATGAAATTCGCCTCCGGTAGGAAATGGCGGACGGTGAAAATTCGCCATTTTAGATGCGGTGAAAATTGGAGGTGAGGTGTCCTTCACCCTTTAGGAGGTAGAGAGACTTTCTTTGGACCAGAACCCTGAAACACTGAAACTACGGCTCAGTTCTCGTTGGTCTGCTGGTAAAATAAAACTATGAAGAACGTGGGGAGCATAAATCAATCAATCAATCAATCAATAAAGTTATTATTGTGGTAAATCAGAGCGAACAAGCCCTCAAGTGTGCTGAACCGAGTCTGAATCCAGTCCCTGTGATCCACACCAGCTCACAGTGAACACCTGGATGTGGCGCTCAGGTCCAGCTGTCACACACGTGGTCGTCTTCGATGAGACGGTTCAGGTTTTTTTTATTTCCCTCTGCAGAAAAAAAAAAACCCACAGAAGTGTTTTTAGAGTCAGGAGGAGGTCTGTGAGTAAATCCACCATCTGGAGGCTCATAAAGCTGCTTTAAGACGGTTTCCTCTCCGTCCTCGGCCTGCATGATTTCAGGAGGTCAGATTTAGTTCATGTTCTATTTTTGAAGCTCCTCTTCAGAGGAGGAGAATCGTCCTCTCAGGGAGTTTTCAGCTTTTATGAGTTTAAAGCTGCTGGATCAGGGAGGGGCTCACCGTCTTTGTTCAGGAGAAAAAAGGACAAAACTAAAGTTTAACGTCTAAATGTGTCTCCGCAGAGCTGGACGCCAAGGACGCCTCTCCGCTAACAGAGGACGCCGCAGCTTTATCCAAGAGACCGGGGTTCTCAGGTGTGTTGGCGTCCAAGTCTTCAGTCAGGACTTTGAAGGGTTTTATCCCTGAAACCTGAATCAGTTTTATCTTCACGCTCAGAGACTCTGCTGGGACCACGGAAACTCTGAAATCTCTAAACTTGTGTGGTTTCTCGTCTCCAGAGTGCCTGGAGTCCAAACTGTCCAGGATCGACCTGGCCAACACGCTGCGAGAGCAGGTCCAGGATCTGTTCAACAGGAAGTACGGGGAGGCATTGGGCATCAAGTACCCGGTCCAAGTGCCTTACAAGAGGATCAAGAACAACCCGGACTCCGTCATCATCGAAGGCCTTCCCCCGGGGATCCCCTTCAGGAAGCCCTGCACCTTCGGATCCCAGAACCTGGAGAGGATCCTGGCGGTCGCCGACAAGATCAGCTTCACCATCACCAGGTGAGGATAATCCTGGTCCACGTGAAGACCACCAAGATCAGGTCTGCTGGTCTTCAAACGTCAGGAAGTCTAAATATCAAAAACACAAAAACAGTCTTTAAAAAAAAAACAAGAAAAGTCGACAAACGAACTTTTAAAAACGAAACGAAGCTGCAGACCTGCTCCTGGTGATGTCACTGTCAGTGATGTCATAACTCAGGTGAACTCACCTGATGAACCGTGTCCCACATGAGGACCTAAACCCTGTTTCTGTGTCTCTGCAGACCCTTCCAAGGACTCATTCCTAAACCAGGTGAGATCAGATCTTCTCCATCATCAAATAGTAGACCTTTAAAGACCTTCACCGTAGACCTGACCCTGACCCTGACCCTGACCCTAACCCTGACCCTGACCCTAGTCCTCACCCTAACCCTGACCCTGACCCTGACCCTGACCCTGACCCCGGTCCAGACTTGTCCTGTCAGTGTTCCTCCGTCACTCTGAATAAATCACCTGTTTGTTTTTTTTCTTCATCAGCACCTCGAAGAGTCACGTTACTGAAGAAAGCGTACGCCTCCATCAGCGGTGAGTCCACGTTCACAGACGTTTCCTTCATGACCGTCTTCAAACGTCACTCACTGACTCTTTACCTCCACAGACGATGACGACATCAACCGCATGGGCGAGAAGGTCGTCCTCCGAGAGCAGGTCAAGGAGCTGTTCAACAAGAAATACGGTAAAAACCACGGCCTGTGTTTTTAAACGACCAGATTAAATTTATACAGGGATCGACTCTAACTCTGTTCACATGTTCTCATGAGTTAAAAAAGTAAGGAGCACAAAGAACTTTAGGGGATCAATGAAAACTGATCAATAATGTTTGTCTTATTGATCGACCTTAGTACTACTATTAGAAATCAATTTTAGGTCTTTTGGTCACATGACAGTGAAGCTATTGAAGGAAAACAGCCTTTACTGAGAACATCAACCGGTAATTTATTGACGGTCCCTTATTCAACACCGACGTTGACAGTGAGGGTGTCGAGTAGATTTAACCGCGCTGCTGTTGTTATTCCCGGTTATGGAGAGTGAGAAGACACCGGTAGATCCTCAGAGAATGTCCGTCAGATATCCAACCTGAAACTAACTTCACCGCTGTATTTACAGGAGAATATATCCAACCTGAAACTAACTTCACCGCCGTATTTACAGGAAAATATATCCAACCTGAAACTAACTTCATCGCCGTATTTACAGGAAAATATATCCAACCTGAAACTAACTTCACCGTATTTACAGGAAAATATATCCAACCTTAAACTAACTTCACCGCCGTATTTACAGGAAAATATATCCAACCTGAAACTAACTTCACCGCCGTATTTACAGGAAAATATATCCAACCTAAAACTAACTTCACCGCTATATTTACAGGATAATATATGCAACCTAAAACTAACTTCACCGCCGTATTTACAGGAAAATATATCCAACCTGAAACTAACTTCACCGCCGTATTTACAGGAAAATATATCCAACCTAAAACTAACTTCACCGCCGTATTTACAGGAAAATATATCCAACCTAAAACTAACTTCACCGCCGTATTTACAGGAAAATATATCCAACCTTAAACTAACTTCACCGCCGTATTTACAGGAAAAAAAAAAAACATTTGTTGATTTTCTTTTATTCGCACATGTGACCCTAAATACACTTCACTATTCACACACGTCTATTTTTAGTCGCAGTGAAACGGTTGAACTGTCGAACCCTGGTTTAGTGCAGCAGCAGCAGCAGCAGCTGGCCGCTCTCCTCCGCTCTCCTCCGCTCTCCTCCGCTCTCCTCCACATACTTGAGTTTTTATTCCTGCGGATTAACCTCGGCCCGGATTACCACCTAAAATACCAAATACTGGACTCTGAGTGTTTCGGCCCTAATCTGATCCAGTCCCTCACAGAGAAGATAAAGAGGTTTCTGTGCACTGAGGGATTTGGACGGACAAAGAGAGGAGGGGTGAGCAAAGGAGCGTCATAATGTAGAATCCGACCACTAGATGTCGCTGCGTATCCCTGTTTTTACTCAGTGTTTCTTTAAGGTCCCAGAACGTCATGATCTTCTGTGACGTTTGAAAAAGTCGATGTTTTTGGTCATTTTGAGAGCCGCAGCTTCGCTCTCGTTCCAGTTCTGTTGAAGTTTTCCTACAAACTGAAGGTTTCGTTATTTTTATTTTATTTAACCAGGTAAGAAAGATTATCCTGCAGAGATGATCGACATGTGATAACCATCTCCTGTTTGAGCCCCTCACTCAGGTTTTTGGTCGCATCAGTCGATAAATGAAACAGGAACAGTTTGAGACTCACAGATCTCCATCATGTTCCTGTTTCTCCTGCTGTGGGTTCAGGCGAGGCTCTGGGCCTGGACCGCTCCGTCGTGGTCCCGTACAAACTCATCCGTGGCAGTCCTGAGTCTGTGGAGGTGGGTGGTCTTCCAGACGAGGTCCCCTTCAGGAACCCAAACACCTATGACATCGTGTGCCTGGAGAAGATCCTTCAAGCTGCCGATGAAATAACGTTCAACGTGAAGAGTCAGCTTCAGTGAGTGAAGGGTTTCAGGGTTTCAGGGTTTCAGGGTTTCAGGGGGACTCTTGAGTTTCTTTATGGTTTTAAATCTGAACCTCTGAGATGTCAAAGAAAAACAAAAATCCTCTGAAGGACCTGAAACACCTCAGCTGTGGTCGGGAGTCTTTCTCTCACGCTCTTTTCTCTTCCACAGACCATTTGCAGAAATCTGTAGCCAAGCTTGTAACACAGGTGAGAGTTTCAGCTGTTTTATATAAGGATTTATATTTATATATATATAATAATGTGTGTGTTAAAGTCTTAATAAGGGGAGAACAAAAACAGCCGCTCTGTGTTTCCAGTAGGAACAAACGCCTCCACCAACCGACGGAAACGTAAGAGAGTCCAGGAGAGCAGCAGAGGACCCGCCTCCTCTGACATGGGCATATCAACCAATCAGATTCCAGTGATGGTAAGTCTGTCATAGGCAGTCATCACGCCGTCTCATGGCGCCTCAGAGATCTCATTTAAACACGTTTAGATAAAAACCTCTCACTGCTGAGAGGCGAGGTCGTTCACCTCTTTGTACTAATGAAAGCTTTTCCTCCACCGTTATGTCTGACTGTGCTCTCTCATTGTGTGTGTGTGTGTGTGTGTGTGTGTGCGCGCCCCTGCAGCAGTGGCCCATGTACATGGTGGACTACAGCGGAGTGAATGTGCAGGTTCCCGGCAAAGTCAATTACTGAAGGTCAGACGTGGACTCCAGCTGAGAGATGAACGGAGGAGGAGTTAGTGGAGGAGAAGTTCACGACTCTCCACCATGAAAGAGAGAGAGAGAGAGAGAGAGACACTAACACTTCAGTCACTAAAACAAACTCTACAGACTGACGCAGAGAGTCGGACTCTGAATGTATGTGGACGTACGTGTGTCAGGGCAAAGAGCGTGGTTCAGTCTCCACACAGAGTCAGCAGGACAGAGCTCACCTTTGATTTTCCTTCTCAAACAGCAGACATGTTGTTGTTGTTCTACCCCTCTACACTCATACTGTTTATGTTCTACCCCTCTTCACTCATGTTTGTCTTTTATGTTCCTTCCCTCTCTCCACTCATACCTTCGTCGTTGTTCTCCCCCCCTCTTCAGTCCTGCTGTCCGCCCTGACTCTCACAGAAATGTCCATCCACTGACTCATGTTGTTGTTCTACCCCTCTTCAGTCGTGTTTGTCTACCCCTCTACACTCGTTTTTTTTGTTCTACCCCTCCACACTCATGTTGTCGTTGTTCTCCCCCCCTAAAGTGTCCTGCTGTCCGCCCTGGCTCTCACAGAAATGTCCATCCACTGACTCATGTTGTTGTTTTACTGACGGGAAATGTCTTTGATAACAATCTGGTTCATGATATTCAGATATTTGTACTTTTTATTTATTATATTTATTAAATATAACATTATGTGCAGGGATGTAAAATACATTATTCTATTACACATCTCCATGAACTCTCACAACACTAACACACATGGTAATAGTCACTCAGTTAACTCCAGGTACCACTGATGGTGGGTCTCACAGCAGGATCCAGGTCTGGTCCAGGTCTGGTCCAGGTCTGGTCCAGGTCTGGTGCAGGTCTGGTCCAGGTCTGATAGTTCTGGGTTTTCCTCTGGTGTCCTCACAGGTGGAGGCTCAGACTCTGGGGTCAGGTGTTGAAGCTGTGTCTCAGGTTTATGAAGGTGTAGAGAGTCTGACAAAAACAAACAGGAGGTCTCACTCACAGTCAGGATTCATGAAGGAGGAGAGAGGAGGAGGAGAGAGGAGAGCAGGTTTAGACGTTTGAAAAACTAATAATTGCTCTTTTTTGTCCCATTGACTTCAATACAAATTAATTTACAATAGAGAAAAGTAGAATCACCCTGATTCTGATCAAACCGACGTTGTTGATCAATAGTTTGTCCTAAACTCTGGTAGAGACTGAAAATTGTCCATAAGAGGAATAATATAGTATAACAATAGTGTCTCAGTGTTTTCCCCGTTGAGCTCCAGTCCTTCACATTTATCGACCCGATCGTGACCTTCACCTTCGATGCTGACGTGCGTCCCAAAGCTCGGCTGTCTTCTCCTGATGAAACAGAGAGAGTTAAACTTCTGTCAGCTTCTTCATGTCAGACCTGAAACACAGCCGTAAAAAACGCCTGAACCTCACTACCTGAGCGAGGCACCAGGAGAAAAAACAACACACTGAAAATGGTGAACTGGGCGCCATGGCAACGGACAAACCCCTGCTGACTCAGCAGTCAGGAGTACCTGCAATAGAGACAGCAGACCTTCATGAAACAGCCTCTTTACGTTAGCGCCACCTACCAACATGTAAAATACTAAGTCAGCCTGAATGTAACATGTAAAGGAAGAACGGTATGTTATTCTGCAACGACTGTCTCTGGACTAACAATATTTAATATGCTGTACCTTAACGCCAATTAGGCCTTTCAAATAAAATGTGTTGCCTTGCACTTTGACCTTGTCGGGTTGGTTTTTGATGGACGACGTAAAGACTTCATCTCCATGGACTTAAGGAGGCGCCGGGTTCAGGCGCCGCTGTCTGCAACGGGGCTCAGAAGTCCCTGATGGTTTCCACGAGTGTTTCCCCTGGAGGATTTCAGAGTCCCCTAAGACTACAATAAACCAGGTCCACTATCCTTTAAAAAACTCTCTCAGTGTCTGCTGGCTGATTCGCACTTTGAGCTCAGAGTAAAAACGTTTTTAATTCATTGTGATTTTTATTGTTGTGTAATATTAAATATGAATGTAATGTTCCTGTAATATGACAGAGTTTTTCCCATCTGTGAGTCCCTCTGCCTGCTCCAGAGGTCAGACCTGGATGGGGCACCTCTAAAGACCATGATGGTTAATCTATAACGCCACAGGCAGCCATTAGCTCTGACGATCAGCTCTAATGATCGTACAACAGAAGGGTAATAAAAAAAGGCTGTTTAAAATGACCCTGTGGGTTTAAACGACACAAAATGACCCTTTTATTTAAGCAGCAGAGGTCTCCACATGAGGACGAAACGATTCACTCTGATGATGAATCTGTGTACCACAGTCTGAGGTGGAGAAGACAATGAAGGTGATGGAACAGGACGACTCAGACCCTCCAACATTTCCACAGAAACTAAGGAAATATGTCGGAGCAGATAAATAATAAACCTGTAGTGTAACTGTTTACATGGGGACGTGGTACTTTGCTCCATAGATATATATAAGAAAGGCTAGATGACTCTATGAGGCGGAGTCACCGGCGTCCCAACACAGCAGCCATCTTACTCCAGTACACCACCCTGTTACGCTCTATGGTAGCTGACGGGAGGTCAGTAATCTACATGATCAAAAATCCTCTTAACTCTGAAATCTTGACAGATTTATAAATGGTTTAGTTTATTACAGACCTTAATAACGTGGCTGTGAGTCAGGATGTTTGGAAATGTTAAAATGACAGATTTACTAAAAAAAAGACTTAAACATGAAGAACAGTTGTTTCACGGCTGTTTGCGCGCCAGGGCTAACTTTGAGTCAATTTGTGCAAGTTGTTAAGGCTGAGACCACAATCAAGTTTTTAATTTCTTTTATGACAGCCTATTAAGTATTACTAATATAACATAATGGAACAAAATGGAATGATTAAATGTTTTACATATAAATGATTTAATATAACTGCCTTGTGTGTGTAGGCCTACAGTTATTGTTCTACCTATCTGTTTAATGTTTATTTATGTAAATCCATGGTTAAAATTATTCTTGAGTAAACAGGAACATAACTAAAACTCTGAGGTTTGTTACAAACCAAACTGTTTGAGAATCGGTTTAAAATTAATCAATCTATGGTTATTTAAATGATACATGAACTGTAGACTGGAATGTTAGGAGTGGGTGAGCTGACTATAGTAAGATGGCCGCCATGCGCAGACGTCGGTCTCCATTGGCTAACAGCCATAGACTGTATTTACTATTATATACATTATATTTTTCTATATACAGTCTATGCTACCAACGTGTGTAAGCCATCTAGTGTTTATATATCTATGGTTTTCTCAGTCAGGTAGGAACCTTCATGTCCAGGTAGATTCTCCGCCCGGAAGAGGAACCTGTGTTTTTGAGCGCGAAAATTCTGCCGCGGTAAACGAGAGTAGATCCTGTTTTTTATCGTCTTTTTATCGTTTTTGTTGCTCTGAGAAGTGAAATAAACACTCGGTGTGTTCAGAAAAGTTATTTAAAGTGGACTTTCAGTCAACAAGAGGAACTTTTACCGAACCTCAGTCTGTTAATCCGGGTCACATAAACTCAGAACCGGGACTTCTGACACTAGAACCTGGAGCTCTGAGACCGTTTCTGAAGTTTGGAGATGTTCGTGTTTGGAGGTGAGACGAGAAGAGACATGGTGGAGGTGAGCAGACGGGGTTTGTGGAGACCTGCTGCCCGGAGGTGAACGGCTGGAGCGGGGAGAGATCCCGGTGAGGCCCGCGGGTGGAGAGGAACCGGAGGAACCGATAATAAACGGAGGAAACAGGTTTGTGAAGTTCTTATCTTAAAGTTCTTCTTATCTTATCTAATGTGAAACTTTACCAGGAAGTTCTCTGTTCACATAAAGTTAAAACTAAAACATGCAGTGAGGAACCTTTTTATTACTCTGGCCCCGTCTGTGGAACAGTTTACCTGAAGAGCTGAGGACTGAAACTGAACTGAATGACTTTAAAACTCAACTAAAAACATAGATTTTTAGTCTTCCTTCATTTAATTAAATTCTATATCATTAACTTTGTTTAAGTGTATTAAGAGTATCTGGGCCACATTAAGAAAAAAAAATAAAGACTTCAAGATTAAAGTCATTAATTTACTAGAATAAAATCATCACTAACGAGAATTAAGTTGTAATAAAGTACTTGTGAAATAAAGTCATTTTATTCTAACCTGCTGTTTAAGATGACAGTTGTTGAAATTAGAGCCTTGGAGAATTTCGTGGAAATTTACTTCAATATAAGTTTCTCAAACAAGGAGATACTTCATTTTTTGGCACATCAGCACCACATTATCATAACAGTAGAAGTAGATTATTACAACTGTATTCTTGTAAGTAATTTTTTTATTATGACTTTATTCTCGTAATTATTTTATTACAACTTAATTCTCATAAGAAATTATTTTATTACGACTTAATTCTCATAAGAAATTATTTTATTACGACTTTATTCTCGTTTTCCTGTTTCCACTGAATCAAACCCTTTTGAGTTCATGCTTGTTAATCCTGTTTCTGTTGTGTTTAGACGGTTAGGGTAGGTTTTGGTTTTTTTTATTCCTTTTTCTGTGTAAAGAACTTGGTGTTACATGGTCGTGTGAGAAAAGTGCTTTATAAATAAAGACTGATGATACCAACATAAAGATGACCATCTAAATAAAATAAGTGTGCACACGCAGAGTGGAAACTCCAGTGCAGTGGTATCTGAAACAAACATTAAATTTTTAATGGAAATGACTTTTTGTAAGTTGTTGACTGTCGGGAGAGTTTCAGAGAAATGACCATGATTATTATTATCAATTTTCTGTAAAACCAGGAAAAAAAAAACACTTTTATTAAGAAGTCCCCCCCCCCCCATTACATCCTGAGGAAACATGTTTAACTTTTATAACCAACTAGAATAAAAACGATCCAGCTGATAGGTTCTATTAAACCGGGCTGGTTCAGTGTTTGTGTTGGTTACTGCAGAGCTGGTGGTTAATAGATTAGATTAGATGAGATGAGATCAGATTAGATTAGATTAGCAGACTATGTCTATTAGGGGTGGAAGAGAAAATCGATTCACAGAAGTATTGTAGTTTTTTGTTTTAAATTTTTAAAATCTTTTTTTTTTTTTTCAAATTTAAGAATAAATCCTAAAAACTGACTTATATGTGATGTGTGTTTTTTGGTTCCTGGAATAGTCAGTAGACAATAATAATCATTCAATTGTTTCACTCAATTTAAATCAAATCCAAAAAATCATAGAAAATTCTAATCGTCTCAGCCCGACTGTTTATCTGACAGTAACAGCCTCTCTGAATTCTCCTCGCTGTCGTCTGTAAACCTGAATTTTTCTGCTGTTTTCACTCGTTTCTGTGGCGTCTGTCGTTTATCTGCAGACATGAGGATTAGTTTGAGGTAAAAACAGACACTTCAGTCTGAGTCGGATTTACCGTGTTTCTTTATTGCAGACTTTTTAAACTTTTGCTCGTATACATGTCAGACTCGGTACTGCAGCTCTGTGAGCAGATTAATGTGTGTGGATACAGGAAGTGAGCTTGTAGCCGACAGGAACCTGGTCGTGCTCCTCGCTGCTTCACCTGTCTCGGTCCAGACCTTGATTGTCACCCTGTAAAATCAGCTTCATGACTTCTTCTCAGCGGTCCTCCCCATCTGGAGGCTGCCTCGACTTAAACCCTCGCCTCGTCCCTCCTCACATACATGACGACACAAACTAACGCATTAAATGACAGAAAGAGCGCCTGAGGGAAGTTCCTGCAGTGTCTCGACCATGAAAACCTAAACTCGAGTGCATCAGACCTCCGAGGAGTTCAGGGAGTCCAGTAAATCCAGACTCTGAGAGGTCGGGGTTAACTGAGTGTCCTCTCTGTGTTTACCTTTTTACAGTATTGTTAGGAGTTTATTTACACGGTTGAGTATCTCCAGCTCATAAATATTTATACTCACTTTGCTACAGGAGTGTCCGTGTCTCTGCTCAACACTAACCCGCCCTCTTTAATTGCATAACTTCCCAATTTTCAAACAGAGTTAAAAAAAAAACAAAAATCACACGTATGTCAGCTAAACGCACCGTCACAACTAAAGTGCTGAATGAGATTTTGATCCCGATGGAAGCTGCCGTTCTCATGGAAACCAGACCAGGAGGAGGAGGAGGAGGAGGAAACAGAAGGAGAACATCTCCAGGAGGCTCAGCACTGAAGCTCGGAGGTTTGATGTGATGAGGAGGATCACGCCGGCGTCCTCCTCTGTTCTCTGCTCACGGCGGTTCCCCCTCTCGCTCACTCATGAGGGTCGAGCAGATGTTGTTGATATTAACTGACATTAACAGGCGGGGGGGTGCAGGAGCTCCACCTGGCTGCAGAGGGTGGAGCACAGAGGGTTAAATCAGCAGTGAGAGGACATGTGAGGAGGAGCTGGGACCTAGCTGCTGCCGCCCCCACCGCCGCCGGCACCGCCGACGCCCATAGCGGGAGCTTTGAGGCAGTCCTCGGTCACGCCCTGAGAGGCCAGCTCAGACAGAACATTGTCCAGGTAGTTCGGGTCCGGGTAGCCATGGCCCGACAGGTTGGACATCATCTCCGTTTTGTGGTGGATGCCGTTCCACACCACCGTGTCGGGCTCGCCGGTGGTGCTGGACGTTCCCACGGTGAAGATGAGACGCCGCATCCACGCCACCTTCAGCAGCTCCAGAACCTGATCAGAGAAGAGAGACGGGTCAGACGTAAACCAGAGACTCAGAAACCACCTTAACGAAATATGTTGGAGTTTTTTCAGAGCAGGTTTCATGTTTGTTCACCGAGTCTGACCTTCAGAGGAACTCGGAAAAGTCCAAGACCTCCAACCGGTTCTGTCCCACAAATTCTGCTCGGACCTCAGCAGGTTCAGACCAAATTTTTTAGATTTTATGAACTTTTTTCTCTTTTGCCCGAAACTTTTGAATCATGGACACGAATGAAGAAGTTGTAAAAGTCAAAGTTCTTTCCTCTCGCACTAAAACCGCTCAGACCTGAACTGATCCTGTGAGTCACTCAGTCCGTTTCCATGACACTCGAGAAAACCGAATTATCGCCTTATTCCGATTAAGACCGGACATCTGAAGGTCATGTAAACACCTTAGTCCGACTATAATCAGAGTTTGAGAACTCCGATTAAGACATCCAGATAATGAGATTGGAATTCGATTTTCTCTACCATGTAACCAGCGTAGTTGGAGTATGATCGGACAATGAGCCACGCCCCCGTAACCCCATAACAAAACCCCAGAGTAGAGGAGTAGCGTTGGTCTCCTCTTTAGAAAAAGTAGCGCGTCCATCATGTCGGACAAAAACAAAACTGTACGATGCTCCATCTTCTTGTTTCTCCAAAATGCCCAGCAGCAGTTGTAGACACTTCTGACGTCTGAAACCGACCTGCTGTTGTTGTTGACAGTTGGATGGGGTCGGAAACAGCGCCGCTGAAAAGTCCTATGAGCTTAGTCTGATTAAACTGTGGATGTAAACGCACAGAGTGATGGAGGACACAGTCAGAGAGGTCTCTGTTCCTGCTCCTCTAGACCATCTCCTAAAAACGCTCCACCGATGACTGACTGTTTACGGCGTGTACGGAGGGACTCGCTGATGTTTCCGGCGTGTTCTGCAGAGAGCGAAACCCAGCGGACTCTGAGGGTGGGACTCAGAAAACCTCCAGCGGGGTAATTTGGTCTTAATTTCCATTAACGGGAGAACATGGAGGTTATTTATAGACGCTAAAGAGCGCAGCTGCAGATGTCACTGAGCAGGAAACGAACCGCTGAGTTACCGTGGAAACCACACCACTTTATAACGAGCCCAGAGTGTTCTTCATCTAATCACAGGGAGACACGGTCAGGACCGTGGAGCCTCACGCAGACGCCGGTGTCGAGGGTTGGACTGTCACTCTGTACCTGGACCAGAGACACCAGGAGACTCAGACCTGGACTAAGACAGGGGTCTAAAGTCACTTTAGTGTCTACTTTGGAAATCCTGGACTTCAACCAGCTGCATGGTGGTGAAACTCTGGACATGGTTCTTGGAGGACTGGCGGTTCTGGGTTCAGTATTAGGAAAGTCTGGTGTATTCTTTACCTTTCGGCCTTTGTCGTTGTCTGGGAGGAAACAGAAGCGAGGAAACCCTCTGCAGGTGAAGGGCTGCCCCGGGTTAGGGTGTTCGGGGCCCTGGAGGAGGAAGAGGAGAAGTTTCAGGTGAGTGGAGAGGTTCAAAAGTTTGGTTCTGGAGGTTCTGCTGAAGGTCTGGACTAAAAGAGGTCCAACAGCTCAATACTGGTCTGATCCTCTGATGTAAACTCATCAGACATGAAGCTTCTGCTCACTAAAGGACACAGACGGAAAAGTGAAGTTCTCCCAGAGTCAGGAACCAAAGCTGACATTTTTACGCTGGCTTTAATCCCGACTTTTTTAACTCTGACTTTTTAACTTAAACTTTTTAATCCCGACTTTTTAAACTCTTGTCAGGTGGAGTTGAGGTGGAATCAGGGTAAGAAAACATCTCTCAGTTTTCTCCTGTTTATCCTCCGGCTCCTGATCTGTAAGTCAGAGACGTCTCAACATTAGACCCTGAAACTGAATCATGCAGGAACAGGATCTCAGACCTGGACTCAGTGTAAACATGTTCCAGGTCCATGGGGACTTTTAGTCTCTGCACAGACTCTGTAGGACTGCAGGAGAGACGAGGACACACGTACAGATCTCCATGAGGACACACCTGTATACCAGGAGGTATGCTGTAGATGATCTGGATGGTTCCACAGTCGGGGTGTCCCGGCAGCGACTGGGCGATGCTGTAGATCTCCATCTTTCCTTTGGGCTGCGTGCCGGTCTTCTCCCCGTAGATTGTCTTACATGAGGGACACTGAAGGCTGCCGTCCTGAGGTTTAAGGACACACAGTAGTCATTAGTGGAGCATTAATATTAATGATCATGTGAGATTTCAGTAGCGGCAGTGTGCACAGCTGAAACTAACTGGACCAATAAAGACACTTAAGTCCTGTTCTCCACTAAAAGGATTTTAAATCGGACTCTGTCCCTTTAAGAGTCTCTCCCTCCGCTCGCCTCACGCTGAATGTCATGGCGGACTTTTTCAGGTCAATCGATACACACAAGAGCTTTACATCCCAAAGTGACTTAGTCCACTGATTGTGTGAGTAGTTAGCATGCAGCGCGTGGCGGCGGCGGCGGCGTCTCCGAACCTTGGTCCCGTTGTTGTACATGGCCAGCATACAGAGCATGTGCAGGGTGTGTCCACACTTGATGAATTTCCCCACAGTGTCTGGCAGGATGCTTTGGCCGCCCTCCTCTGTGGACGCCGTCTCGTAGCCGGACGGGTTGGACAGCTGATCCATGCAGATGATGCAGTCCTGAAAGAGACACGGTGAATCTCTGATGAGACTCAGACTGACTCGGTTTTACAGCCGGACTCATCCGAGTGAAAAATCACATTTCTCTGTTTCTGCTGACAGTTAACCACTGACCCGTAAAAGTCTGAGTCAGAGACCAGAATCAGGTCTTTCTCAGCAGGTCTAGGAGGAAAAACAGACCGAGACATTTACCTCATCTGGTACTCCGGTCACGACCTCCATGTAGCGCTGAATCACTTCCTCAGGTCTCTGAGCGGAGGCTGAAAGAGGGAGAGAGGAGAAAACACAGAGATGAGCCGGGCTTTATAGAACTAAAGGAGTCCAAACTAAGAAGAGTTCATCAAACCAACGGAGGAGCGAACACGGTGAGTGCAGAGACAGACAGACGGACAGAGGAGGAGGAGGAGTGAAGGACGGAGGAGCGTGGACGTGATGAAGAGCAGGGATGAAGATGTTTCTGTGAGTGTCCAGCCCGTTTAGGGAACAAGGTTCCAACATGAACCAGATATCCTTCATTTCCTGACACTCTGAGAAAATGGCGTTATCAAACCTGAGGGTCGGCGAGCTCAGACTCATGAACTGATGAGTCCCATACGCCTCATTCATCGCCTATTAATCTAAACAGCGGGAGTGACTGACAACCTGAGAGCGACAAAGATCTGAGTGATTAAAACAAAGAGCAGCTACTATTTCACCTGACCGGGTCTTAAACCGTCTGATCATTAACTTCAATTAACACCAATTAACTCTTACTAACCCCACTTAACTCAAACTAACTCCAATAGCATCACATTAACTCAACAAACTACAATTAACTAGAATAACTTCAATTGACTTAAACTTACTCAAATAACTCAAATAACTCCAATTAACAAGACTAATTCCAATTAACTTTTATTAACTCAACTAACTTCAATTAACTCAATTAACTCAAATAAACACCAATTGATACAACAAACTCTAATTAACTTAAATGACTACAACTAGCCCTTATTAACTTACCAACTCCAATTAAGTCAACCAACTCCATTCAACTCTAATAATTCAACAAACTCCAATTACCTTGATTCACTCCAATTAACTTTAATTAACTTAACTATTTCCAGTTAACTTAATGAACTTTAATTAACCCTGTACTTGTACAGCCTGTTCTGTGTCTGTAAACACAGATCCATTAATGTTGGAAGTGCAGGTGAGGTGACAGCCAATCAAACTCTGAGGAGCCTTAAGAGGAGGACATTGAGCAGTTGATGGTTTGGAGATGAAGGTGTAGCTTTCGGATCTTGAGAGGGACCATTGAGGAACATTGACAGCACGGCTCTGTAGTAGAAGAGTCCTGGTTCTGAACTGGCCCGCCTGCAGTCCTGACTCCTCCCCAACTGAAAACATTCGGAGTATCATGAAAAAACTGAAGACCAGGGACCCTGAGCAGCAGACTGAGACAACAGGGACCTGTTTACACAAAGGTCAACAGGTCCCTGTCCCAACCGGACCTGAACCATCTCCAAACCATCAAACCCTCCTCAGGCAGTGGTCCCAGTTTGGTGTCAGGGAGACTCAGTTTCAGACTCATCCGAGCAGCTGTGAACCCTGTTCTGATGGATCTGGGCTTTAGTTTCCACCATCTGTAAGAAGACGTGATCTGACTCTGAGTTTATAAGTTTAGTGATAAATACTAAAGCTGCGTTTACGGAGCTTAAGGCTCCACGTTTGTCAGACTCTCTGTTTACAGTTTTTATTCGAACACCGTCAGGAAAATAAAAAACTGAGTGTTGGAGGAGGACTGGATGATTTCATGGAGGGTTAGCTGCTGAAATAAAACCAGAGAGTCAGACAAGACCAGAGCGAGGACTTGTGAGCAGACGTATGAGGACGTGGACACACAGCATGGACTCATGAGGACAGTGAGCTGATGGAGGATGGTCCTCAAGCCTGTGGAGATGGAGCAAAAGAAAGTGATGGAGGAGGAGAAGAAGCAGATGGAGGGCTGGGACGTGGTAGCTACCTCTCCTGTGCTGCCTCTTTGCTCTCCTAACTGAACTGCTGCTGCTGCTGCTGCTGCTGGGGGGCTTGCAGGGTCTGCTGGCTGGGGGGAGGAGAGGAGGAGGAAGAGAGAAAGGTGGAGCAGGTGGATGCTGCTGCTGCTGCTGTTGTTGCTGCTGCTGCTGCTGCTGCTGAGGGAGGGGGGCGGATGTGAAGTGCACGCCGAGTCCCACTGCTGACATCAAAATGGAGGCCATGCCTGGAGCGGGGGGGGGGGTGGGGTTGGGATGAGGCGGGGCGGGGCAGGGTGGGGCGGGGTGAGGGTTGAGAGCGAGTGGAGAGATGCAGGAGCAGAAAGGAACAAATCAAAGGTATGAGAGATGATGTCTCCACCGAGTCCCTCAACCATCCACAGAGAGAAACCCGACCCGGGACACGGGACCAGAGTGGGACGGGGGTGTGGCTATACCTGGACAAGCTCCACCCACAGGTGAAGGTGTCAACACAGAGCCAGAAGAACCGGGACTCAGACGGGAGAGTCCATCACACACAGGGGAGCAAAGGGTTCGATCACTGCTGACCTGATGTAGGTGGGTTTATGGGGGGCAGCGGTCCTGACCTTCTGATCTGACTGTCTCAGGGACCTACTGTGACCATCTCTGACCTGGGCTTCCATTACACAGGAGACCCGGATCAGGGCATGAGGGGTTCTGTCTTTGCTCACTCGGTGCCTCTGCTTCACTAACACACACTGCCTCCATAAATATTATAATTAACGCCTAGATATCATCACCTTCATTCTGACACCGCATCCGGAACGGCACTGATCCGGAACGTGGCAATTTTCGCCGTCCGCCAATTCCTACAGGATCTGTTTGTGAGGCCAATGTCGTGTCGGGTTTTGGACAGCAGGACTCATGAGAATTAACAAGAACCCACAGATTCACGTTCAATCGTGTGATAACGAGTTGTCTCTCTAAAGACAGACACATAGACATATTAGCAGTAGATTGTGTCCTTCCAGAGGAGGAAATCTACTTCTAGACTTCTAGAATCAGCATCTCCTCATCCATGGTGTCATCGGGGTGAAATGACGTCCAATGTCGTGTCGGGTTTTGGGCAGCAGGAATCATGAGAACTCACAAGAACCTGCAGATTCACCCTTTCCAGCACGGGTTAATCTGTGCTGAATTTATCCGCCATGCTCCGGCGTCCAGAAAAATTGTAACCCTTGTGATCAGCTGAGGAGTCCGGCGATCCGCAGAGGAACGGAAAGAAGTCGGTGTAAATTGACACGTTACCTTGAATGGTTACGATCAGCTACGATCGGAGGATACGACCTTTTAGGAGACGATCAGGATGAAGGTGGAGATCAGGGGTAACTGTTAGCAGATACTTCAGACCAGAGTCCCAAACACTCTGAGGGTTTATGACCAGCAGAAACTCAGCAGTACCTCCTGACCTCCCAGACTTTGGCCCCGCCCTGATCTTTGCTAACAGCTCCATCATCCTGTGCTAACATAACAGAGACCTGCTGAGGTGGACAAACATCCCGAGTATGCAGACTGAGACGACTGTGTTAGCTCTTCAAATGTCTCTCCTGACTCCGACTCCTGCGTTTGTGTAAAATCAGATTATCTCTTTAAACATCATGAAGGTGAACAGCTTTTTCATTATTAACGTCCGTTTGGTTAAACTGACCTCCTGTGTCAGGACGTGTTCGACTGTGAGGAGACTCCAGAAGAGTTTCCTCCACACTCCAAACCCCTGAGATCTCAAACAGGTCAGAACTTTCCTCAGAATAATCCCGAGAACAAACGGTTCTGTTGAGATTATCTTTGTGACGAGGACTAAAGCGGTGAGTGTCTTTACTGTCAGAGCAGGAGCATTATGGGATATCAGCGAGTGACCTTTCAGGTCCTTCAGACAACCACATGACCGTGACATCATCACAGCTCTGCAGTGATATTTATTAAAAATAACTGGACATTATAGTTCATCTAAAGTTCATCATCAGGGAGGAAACTCTGAGTTACAGCAGCAGGAAACTGAGCCTGTTTTCAGGAACCTTTGACCCTGACTTTAACGTGGAGGGACGTTTCTTTTCAAACCCACATCCTTCAGTTTTCAGCGGCACGCCGTTCCTAACCAGACTGACACTCACTCACCAGACGAATGCAGAAGAAGAGGCACATGAACAAAAACACAGACATCAAGGAGAAGAAGTGCACGCCTCTGAAAAGTCTGAGCGGAGGTCAGACAGGATGGATGGTCAGTGACCCGTTTACCTGCCAGGGCGGAGCTCACGCTGGTGGATCCATTCAGCTGCACAGAGATGGAAGGAACACTGCGGGACAGGAAACAAGGACGGGGACACTCAGTCAGAACCGGCAGGACAACAGGACAGAACCAGAATTTACCCAGAGGAGTTCTGATACCAAAGAGGGGCGGGAAAACGAGATAACCGCCAACATTTACCGACTTTAGACATCCGCCAATAAACCCATCCAGAACTACGAGAACAGACGTGATTTATGACACACTTTATAACGAATAAAGAATAGTTATAATTATTGTTATTATTATTATTGTTTTGATCATAATCATCTTCATAATAATAAAATAATAATCACCATCAGCAGCAGAAAATAATCAGGATATTTTTAATAATAATTATTATGATTAGTTATATAATCATCACCATTATCAACTAAATAATAATATTGATTATTTTATTAACATTTATAATAATAATAATTAAAAATAAACAAGAATTAAAGTCATAGTAATAATAATGATAATAATAAACAAAATAAATTATAATAATCTTAATATTAGTAATATTTATAATAAGTATAATTGAAAATAAATAACAATTAAAGTAAAATAATAATAATAAACATAATAAATAAGTTTTCTGTGTTTTCTTGATTCTGCTTCTTTTTAGTTACTAGAGTTGAGGGACTTAACTTAGTCCTGAACTATGACCCTTTTTCTGCACATTACAGCCTAAACCCTCTTATCTCGAGTGCAGAGCTCCAATCGCTCGTACACCGACCGTGGCGACCGTCAAAAGCCGGTCCTGGCACCATCAGAGGTGTGTCACAGGGAAACCTGCAGGCTGTAGTGCTCAAACAGACAAACGGTCACCAACCTTAACCCGTTGGCGCTGGTCGAGCTGCTCAGAAGCGGTGGAGGCAGTTGGCTACCAGAGGGCGGTGGAGGCCAGGGGCTGCCCCAGGACATCCCCCCGACAGAGAGGGGTCTCCTAGGATACGGTGAGTATACAGAGGTGGGGTGAGCAGCGACAGCCCTTCCCGTCCCCTGCAGGCTGGGCCGGTTCAGACTGCTCGATGAAAAGGAGTGTCGGGATCGACTGGGCATGGGTCCTGTGCTGCTATGGCTCAGACACTGCTGGCAGGAGCAGGCTGGACCTGAGGGGATGGCTGGAGGACCAGTGGAGGCCAGAGGGTAGGGGAGGTTGCACTGGCGCCTGACCTGCCGTCTGTAACCGGTCGATTTGTTCACTTGGGCCAGAGATGTCAGATCCACTATGTAGTTATATCCATGAGGGCCCAGGTCCGCTATGCCTTGGCGGGCCTGATAGCTGTGCTCCAGAAGGATAGAGGTTCGAGTCTCATATGGAGTCCATCCCCCTTCATCATTGGCCCATTCCCAGTAAACACCACTGCCCAGGCCTGAGGACTGGGCAAACAGAGACCGGCGTACTGAGCGGGTCTTACCTGGAAGAGAAAGACAGAATTCTTCATCAGTACAGGAAAACAGGGAGAGGTTCTGGTTCTTAAAATGTCACCCGGAGTACAAGTCCAAAGTCCTACAGCTGGGAAAGCAGGGCGTGAAAACCCGACTGTTATCGACTCATTGTTTAATGTGGAGTAGGGAGCTCATGAAGACCCAGACCATCAAGGATGACCGGACCGGTAACCCGGCTGGAGGATGGGACGTCCATGATTTCTACAATCAATTAATCAATCAGTCTTTATTTATAAAGCACTTTTCTTACAGAACCATGTCACACAAAGTGAAAAGGAATAAAAGAAACAAAGAAAACCCAAATCTACCCCAACCCAACCGCTCAGTCCCACCCCACCATCCAAACAGAAACAGGATTAACACACATGAACTTAAAAAGGGCTCGATTTAGTGGAAACAGGAATTTTAAAACTCAAGATAAGGAAACACTGGAGGTTTAAAATCTAAAAACAGAGTAACATAGAATGAAATTTAAGAAATTATTATTAAAATGAAATAAAAACAAGTAAAAGACACTAAAATAAGAACACCAAATCAGCTCAATAAAAGACGATCCTGTCATTAAAACTAGAAAGAGATAAATGCTGAAACATTTAATGATATAAAATTTAGTTAAAAGTAAAACCAAAAAGGTTTGTTTTCAGTTTGGTTTTAGAGTCATTCAGATTAGTTTCGGTCCTCAGCTCTTCAGGTCAGCTGTTCCACAGACGGGGCCGTAGTCATAAAAAGATGTCTTATCGTATGTTTTAGTTTCAACTTTAGGTAATAATGTTAACAGAGAACTTCCTGATGACCTTATGACTCGACCTGACTCATAAAGTAAAAGAAGATTAGATAAATAAGAAGGGCCAAACCCATTAAGAGCTTTAAAAGCCAATAAAACAACCTTAAAATCTATTATAAACGAGACAGGGAGCCAAAGCAGAGACCTTTAAATCGGTGTAATGTGATCTCTTGCTGAGCTGTAAAAAGTTCTCTGACATCCATGATTTAACGTCTAAAATGCAGTTAAAAGAGACATCAAGTGGCCCTGTGTCATCAGGAGACACGGCGACATAAAGTTGTGTGTCGTCAGCATAGCTGTGGAAATAGATGCCGTACCTCCATATAAAGATTAAAAAGAGTGGGGCCTAAAATGGAACCTTGGGGAACACCACACTTCATGTCAAAACATTTAGAGAGCAAAATAAAATAGTCAGTAAGAGATTCAAAGCAGTTAAAAACAGCCAATAAAATTACAGTCTGTCTAAAAGAATTTCGTGGTCGACTGTATGAAAATCTGCACTCAGGTCCAATCAGACTAAAACAGACGGTCACTTCTTATCCATGTTGGACCTGAGGTCATGTACTGGGTCCACCTTGGATGAGTGTTTGGGTTCTGTTCTGTTCTTGGAGGTTCTTCTGAGTCCGTGTGGGAACTTCCACTCCAGAGTCAGGTCTGTTTTCCGGGGGAATCTGCCGGAGAGTCCACAGACCTCAGTCACAGGGTCTGATCCGGGATTTCTCCAACATATATCTGCTTATATTGATCATATTATGTGGTCTTAGAACCCGTTAATGTGGTTCTGATCTGGTGGACTTTAGTGGGACTCTCTGCACCCTGGTCCTCAGCTAAGCTAACCAGCTAAGGTCGGTCCGGCCCTTTAACTCTGCGGTCGGACCACCCTGAGTGTTGTGGTCCACCTGAGACTCACCTGTGTCCTGTCGGAACTGTTTCAGACTCGGTATGTCGATGAGATAAGGCGACAGGCTGGGGTCTGATTGTCCCAGGCAGATGCTGGTCGAGCCGGGTCCCCCTCCTCGGTGGCCCCGCGGAGCCAGACACCTCTCGATGTGGGCGCTCACCTGGCCGCTGTAAGGCCTCCAAAACCCCAGATCGTCCTGCCATTCCCAGACCGCGATCATGGGCTGAGATTGTCCCACAGACCCGGAGGGGTTCGCAGACACAGACGGCCCGTTTCTGGACCCGTTGACTCTGGCACAGGATCCAGACACAATCGCCATATTCTTCCCGGAGCCAGCTCAGGCTAACAACAACTCGATCTGATTAACCGATTATGGCGATCAGGCTAGCTGGGCTCGTGAAAGACGTCCATGTTCGAAAGGTTAGCGGACTTCTGAGAGAGCTACGAGGTGGAGGTTTCACGGAGAAAGACGAACTTCGTATGAAAACGCATTTTGGCAGAGCTGATGGATTCACGACAACGTTAGCTTTGTGACAGCGTTGCCAGGGATCCTTCCTCCTCTGAGGCTGCCTTCAGGGACCGTCGGGAAAATCGGAATTCAGAGAACTGTGTTAGAATTCGACAACAAAATGTCCTTTATTGTCTTTAAACAGAAGGGACAACGAGATTAAAGAGCTTCTCCATTTTCAGTGCAGTTGATACAAAAAAGAAAACAGAGACCGAATTAAAAGTACAAAAATAGTTGTAAGAAAAAAACCCCAATAATGATGATAATAATAATAATAATAATAATAATAATAATAATAATAATAATAATAATAGGTACAGACTATATACAAGTTAAAATAAAATCCTCTTGTGCAGTGTAGGCAGTGCAATGGAAATGAAATCTATATACAAGAATATATAATATTAAGAATAACATATATTTATGTTTATATATGTGTGTATATATGTTTTATATATATATATATATATTTATTTATTTATTTCAATGTATTTAAGTATGTATGTTTTATTTACTCCTCATGCATCGAGCTTTTATACCTCAGACAATAATGCATCATTGTAGGACATAGAGGAAAATGAACATTAATAAAAATATGTAACAAAGGACCAGGTCAGGTATTTTACATATATTAGACTGTTTAAGTTAGATCTGGATCTGGACTTATTATACAAATCTTTATATTATATAGTAAGTAAAACTCATTTAGTTTTACAGGATGAACCAATTTGCACAGAACTAGTTTTTCTTCTATTATAACAGCCAACAGTTCAGAACACACAACCTTCTTTGTATGAAAGAGTAATTTACATGATGTACCTGAAGGGGACATTCTTCTTCGTCTGCAGCACACAGCTTAATTGTCCTTCCTCCACCTCTTCCTCTGCTTTTTTATTTAGGGCAGGTTAAGTCCCTCTGAATAATGTTGCTGCCCCCAACTGGAGATAAATGAGCACAACACAAAAGTCAAAAACAAACCTGCAAAAATCTGATATATGAATACAGAGTGGTTTCAGGAAATCCGAATAAAACAAGATAGACGGAAATACGTGAGTTTAAGAGGGTAGAAGAAGAAGAAAATGTCAGTATTTGTCATATTTAGTAAGTGAAGTTCTTCCCCCAACATGTCGAACATACCGATACAGAATAAGTCAAATATCTTTATAAGTACAGACGGAATAACATACTCTGCTGTCACTGCCCAGTCAAAGTGCATTATAGTCTCTTAAGACAAAATAAAGATCTATGGAACATACTGATGTGCAAGCAGACCAAGTTAGAGTTTATTTTCTTTAAAAAATCTCGTTTTTGTTTTTGTATCTCCGTTTCTTCTGGTAAAGAAAGCTCAAGTATCTTTCAGCTCCTTCTGTCCTGTATTCTCTCCATTTTTGTGGCACCTTGAGTGATATTATTCATGTTTCCCCCACTATAAACCAACTAACAATACTTTAATTAATCAGTTTTATCTCTGAAACAGGCACACTAGATCCCAGTTCATGTGTCTTTGACGTTTTAAAAGCACCTTAGAGGACCCTGAACCATCTTTTCTCGATTAAAAACCATTCTAGCAGGTTTATCTGATCAAAGATCTAATTAAAGCCCCTCAATTAACAAATTAGACAAAAGTTAGAATATCTTTATTGTTATTTCAGCAGGTAAAACCAAATGTAGTTGTGAATGTCTGTTGAATATTCAACCTAAAACTAATGCGCACAAATACATTTTAAGATTCGCACACATCTATTTTTAGTCGCAAATGCGGGTAAAACAGTCGCACTGTTGAGCCCTGGTTTGTGTCAAATTTGGCGCCCCCTTGTGGACAAAGATCCCTGATAGGAAGAGCAGCTGCCAACAGTTTAATGTAGGTGTTTGTTTCCTAAAACAGCATCATTGTGAATTTGAATCTATTTAATCACAGGAGCTTTAAGATGCTGTTTGTTTTCACACCTGTGTTCAGGTGAGGAGCGTGTGCAGCGTCAGGATCGAGTCGGCCTCTACTGTCAATTCAATTAAACCCATAAGAGCGAACGTAACGTTGTTTATAGTGAATATTAAAGATGACGACGATGACTGCAGCTGATCTGATCTGGTGGGTCTTCATTAAGTTCACATAGAAGATAATAGAAGGTGACGGTTCGGACTCCAGTTGGACCATTGTTCAGATTAAAGCTCAGAGGGGATTAAAGTCGAGTCCATCGAACCCTCAGCTGACACCAAATCAATACTCAGTCCAGCAAAGTCGTCTCCAAATGACAAATGCAATAATAATAAACCGGCTGAGCAGCAGGAACACAAAACTCTAACAGGAATAATAATAATAAAGTAGAAGAATGAGGAAACACCATCCATGAGTTCAGGGGTCCACCACCCAAATCTGCAGGGGCTCCATCCACACCTGTCCGTCACTCTGCAGGTGGATGACGTCACTGCTGAATATTTATAAAACTATAAAACTGTTGTCTCCAGTTTAAAATAAATGTAAATGTGACATTTTCTTTATAGTCTGAAACGCACATTGAATCTCAGTGAAGCTAATGCTAACCGACGCTAATCCACTTCAAACAGAGGAGGATTTTTATTGGTCCAGATTTTCACCAGATTTCTGACTCAGAAGTTAAACTCACACCTCAAAAAGCATCTTCAGAGTTTGTGATCTCTCTGCAGATCCTGGTTTCCTGCTGCGTTAGGAGGATTATTCTCCTAAAATTAAACATTTGACACGACTTTACAGCCACTGCAAGAGAGGATTAAGTGGAAGGAGAGACGTGAGACACAATCTGATGATGTTGACCAAGTCTGGGAAAGTTCAAGAGAAATGTTTAAAGGGATATTCCGGCATAGATTTACAATGGCAGTAAAATCTACAGGAACAGCACTCTGAGGTGTTTCAGGATCCGTGCACAGAGCGACACGTCTGAACGCTGTTGAGTCCTGATCTCTCAGAAGAACAGGTTTTCTTTCCTTCGGTTCAAAGTCGAGTCGTGTGTCCTCGAGTCGTTTCCTTGACAGGTGAAGCAGAAGTCGTCCTCGGTGTGAGCACTCAGCAGAGTCTGCAGGTTAAACAGGAGCTGCTGTTTTCTAACTTTGGTGAGTGTTCACGGATAAATGTGAGAGTTCAGGAGACAGAGGAGTGGAGATGATTCATCTGAAGGCCAAAAACAGGAAATGTGCTCGGAGTGAAACTTCAGGCTGTTCCTGATGAATCCTGAGTGTTAGCCCGGGTTTCACTCAGAGAGGTCAGGAATGTGAGGAATGTGGAGACAAAGCATGCTGGGAGTCCGTTTTACACCTGTGCCCACCTGGCAGGTGTTTCCCCTCTCCCTGAGATCAGCTCTGTCACCGCCATGAGACTCGAACCCCGCACCCGCTCATGCATCGTCCGACCATACTCCGACTACGCTGGTCACATGGTCGAGAAAATCGAATTCCAATCTCATTATCTGGGTGTCTTAATCTGAGTTCTTAAACTCTGTTCGTTAGCTGCTCCTTATTTCTGGTACAGGACTGAATCTTCAGGCGCGAGAGACTTTCCAGGGTTGTTGTTATTTTTGTTGTCAGGAAGGGGGGGTGTTGGAGCTTCTGGTATATCAACCTGTCATCAGCTGTTGTCAACATCATCAGTCAAACAAAGATGGAACCCTCAGTCTGAGCAGGATCAGGTCTGACAGAGCGGACTCACCGGGGTCAGGTCTGACAGAGCGGACTCACCGGGATCAGGTCTGACAGAGCGACCTGAGCTTCAGTTCCCACAGAGACTCTCCAGGATCCTCACCTCAGAGTCCACAGCGACAAAACCTCCGAGCAGGTTCAGAGTCTGTCAGAGGAGATGATCCGCCCTGGTCTTCAGAGCTTCACCTCCATGTGACGGGTTTAAAAACAGGCTTTCCAAACTGGATCAAGTATCCAACCTTAAACTAACTTCACCGCCGTATTTACAGGAAAAAACATTTGTGGATTTTTTTTATGCGCACATGTGACCCTAAATACATTTTATTAATTCGCACACATCTATTTTTAGTCGTAAATGCGGTGAAACGGTCGTTCTGTCTCCACCTGAAGGTCTGAGTATTCAGAGGACTGATGGTCCTGAGGGTCTGACGGTTTACTGCGATCTTTGACTTTCTCTTCATTTATTCTTTCGGAGGATTCGAGGAAAAGCAGCGACAGAGACGCTTCGATGTAAAAACAGTCTTGTTTACAGTCGACCATCTGTCACTCAGGGATGACATGTCTGCACGAGCGGCGGCGGCGAGTCAGAGAGTTCAGCCGTGTCAGCGCAGGTTTAAGTGACTCATCTCCATACTAACAGAACCAAATGGACTTTTTAAAGAAGATTACATGTTTGCTGCTCGACTCATTTTAAAATCAGCTTCCAGGAACAACAATCACAATAATCATCAAAACCACGGCCCGCTCTCTCTGTGACATTACGGCTTTTACCACGCTTAATGGGCCGCCACAAGAATGCTAATCAGGCCGACCATGGAAATGAAGCACTTAAGTACTGTGTACTGTGACCCCCAGACCCGGGTTTTAACAGGACCACATCCAAATCCTGGTCTTGGAGGAATCCATGTGAATTTCCAATGAAGGCTTTTCCCTCCTTCTCCTGTTTCTCCAGGCGCTCTGTCTGTCAGCTCTAAACACAGAGGCATAATTGTGCAAATGAACTTGAAGTCATTTACAAACTGACGGCGCCTCTTTAGCGAGAACATTTTATGGTACAACGAGGTTAGCTGGGAGAACGTGCTCCTCGGAAATGAAACTCCTGGTGCGAATAATGACTCCTGAAACACAACATCCCTCCAGAGAAACGTTCATTCACACGAAAACAGGAGGAAATATTCAACAACGGCAGCGTGAGGATAAAGGGATGAAAACAACGATGAAAACGTGACGGCTGTGTGAAGGAGTTATTTTATCTGATTTCTGTAGAAACGTGTCTGATCAGTGGATAAAAAGTGATTTTCAGAGTCGGACAGGTAACATGTCAGCGGGTCTAAAGGAGGATCTTTAGGTTAGAGCGTCCTAACTAAGTCCAGTTGTCCTTCAACGGAGAACTGGAAATAATAGAT